ATTTGCTCATCATTCTGTTGGCAGCCTTCCCTTTGGTGCTTCATTGGATCCCAGCAAATGAGGCCGGTTTCTCCTCTTAAAGAATCACTCATCGTTTGTAAATCGAGTGAAACTCGTTGATACGCTTCGGAAATTCCGGTTTGCGCCGCGCTCAATTCTTTTCTCAGTTGGTGCGATAGTGACTGTGCAGCCTTTTTCCAGTTCGCAATCTTCAGCCAAGGCGTCCCAAAATCGATCTCCGTGACCTGTTCTACGATAAGCTTCGGTTTTGCTGAGATATTGACATTCATCACCCCGTGTGCATCCTCTCGATCCAAGCGTAATGTATACACATTATCAAAAAGTTTCCAAAGATGGAAATTCAGACTGTTTGTCTACCTTGGTAACTTTGACCTCGAATTTTTGGAGACCTTCTCATTGCAGATATGCGAGTTGGTATCTTGACTATCACATGGCATTTCCTCCACAACGTAGACTTGGAATTTATCCGTGGTATTGGGTTTCTGGGCGCTCGGGTGGGATAGCTCTAGAATATCATCACTGACACTCAGAGCCTTATTTTTTCGCACATTTCGAGGGAATAACTGGGATGCGGCCCTGACAGGAACGGTGTCCCCATTAACGGTGTATTGGTGCTGGGAACAAATGTATGAGCCATTGGTGGAAATTATATCCTGGCGCAGCGTAAATGAGATAAGGTTGGCAAGCCCCAGTATAAAGTTTGAGCAAGGCCGAATACAATGGTTCTCCACCCCGTTGCAGCAGGGGGTGATTATGACATGCATACCACCCTAAGCTGACTATTCATGACGATGGAGTTACAATCATCTTAAAGGAATTTCGCAAGCTAGCCTCATGCTTCTGACATCAGACATTTTTGAAGATTTGCTTGCTTTCCCATGGGTTCCATTAAGAGAAGCTAAATTGCGGTTCAGCTGTGAGGGTGCAATGTTCTCAAAAGTCTCCAGGTCAATGGGGTACCTTCCCAAAACCTGTGAATCACCTGTGGTTGGGTCAGTGATTTCCAGGCAAAGATGCAAGGTACGAGTGTCTAAAGGGACACTGTCATTGGGTCTCCTCCAAAGTGGGGATTGTGATATTATCATAGAGGGTATGTTGTGCCTCCTTGTGAATGCAAGAGCGCAATTGCGGGTAACTAAGGTTGCGAAGTCGTCATTGTCTCCCATCACGAAGATAGTAATATCTGGTGCAACCCAGCTAGAAGCTGACATCAATTGGAATCCGGATCCCGCTCTAGTCGATGTGACAGTCTCACGGCCCTTAAGAGAAAGAGAAATTCCATCTGGGTTTTCTGGGCCGAGTGAAGTAGTAGCAGAGACGCATTCCTCCACTACCAACTGGACATGGATCGGGAGTAGCTCTGCATAATTGGGCGTTGAATCTGGACCAAACGAAGCTGGAACAACGTGAAATCGGGACGAATTCGTCGAACTGGCATACAAGCTGTTTTTGGGGCTTGCAACCAAAGTATCTCCAATCTTCTCCAGAACACTATGCTTGAATCCCGGATCACCAATGTACAGAACACGGAATGGCCGGTCCACATCAATGGCTTGCTTGGAAATGGATTGCCGAACAGTGACACTCAGATTGTGGTCCGGGATACATCGTGGAAATCCGATGCGGGATGCTTCGGCCTCGTCGAGAACTTGAAGAGTGTGTTTCAGCTCCACAGGCTCTGTCGACGGCCAGTCGTCCGGTTCGTCAAATAAAATTGACTCGGATGTGGACATGAAGCTAGCTTGCATAATGTGCCCATTCTCGGTATCATTCGCGGTTTCGCGATAGATCGGCGGTAGGAAACCTCGGGACTCAGACGCATGACTCTCAGTATCATCAGTGTCAACCTCACTATCTAGATCCTGGTCGTCGAGGCTGGCAACATCGTCGGCGACGCTGTGTCCAACCAAGGAGATGTTGTCTGTATGTTCTGAGCGCCAGTCATCCTCGGAATGCGCGTCTGAGTTACTGAGCGTGGCCCAGCTCTCACTCAACGAGCTCGCGGGTCGATCCGATGCTACTGACGTCATCGTGCCGGTGCCTCGAGGGCGACGACAAAGTGCCGGGAGACAACTGTGCGGAGTTACTGAGGGGAGAGAGAGAGCCTCAAGACCTAGTCAAGGTTGAAGACGTTAGCAACCACACGACTCGTTTGTGAGAATTCATGGGATCAGGACCCAAGATACCCGTGAGGATGTAGTCCAACACCGAAATAGCCTAATTTGCAGTACACTCTCTCGTACAAAATGCTCGGATAAGATAGTATAATGGTTTCAAGAAGGCAAGGATAGCACTGATGCTTTTCAAGAATGATGGATAACTTGTTGTATTGTTGAAGCCAGTTAATCGTTGTCGATCTATAGAAGCCTGGTGTCTTGTCAAAGGCGGGGGTCTCAAGACTCGTCACCTGAGATTCAAGCTAGATCAGCCCCGTTAAGAATAAGGCATCAAAACACTGCAGAGCAGCAGAACAGTCCGCCAGCACCCCTTGAAGTTTGAGCTGCTGGTTGAAACGATGAGCTGGCACGATCTCGGTTGATGATGGGAATGAGGGAAGGGGAAAGCAGAGGCAAGTGGGGTTTAGGCGTCCGGGGGGAGGGATTAGTTAAGCTTCGCGCCAAAACTTAGGCAGAACCGCGGTCTAGGCCTGATTAGGCTTGGCCTGGAAGTCGAGTCTCCACTCAGCTCCATGTGGCCGTCACCGCGGAACTTTGCGGGAGAAGCATATATGATATCGATGAGCAAGGGGAGGCATGATGATATTTGATTGCGAGTACAGGATGATTACCGGCATCAGGTTCCCATAAATAGTAATCCTTGGACTAACAGAAGAGATTAATAAAGGAGAAGGGGGCGTTCATGGTGAGCTACAGGATTTCTTTACAAGCCACAACGAGCCGGTTCAACCGAAGCCAAAGGAATAACTATCTAATAAGAACCGAATTTAGTGAAAAAAAAAAGAAAAGAATACGGGAATGGGAATTAGAAACCATCCTATGTACACCGAAAACAAGTGCAGAAAAGTCGCAATAACATGAGAACAAAACTGAAATGGTCTACAGAATGGAATATTGTTGTTCATAAGCAGGATGCTGCACATGGCTTCTCCAGGCGTGTTCCATGCCATAGCTCATATGATTTATAGCGAAAGGCCTTTTAATTGCGTTGAGCCGAGTCCACTGAAAACAGAGTAGTGTGATGTGTGATGGGAAGCGCTCAAGGACGTTTGTGCGGTAGACTTGCAGCATTGGAATGTGTAAACCTGGCTTGATCAACGGCTGTGCGTTGAGTAATAGCCTTCTTGGAAAGCTGGGTCAGTAAACCCCAGTACAACTCATAGCAGTGGAACATGAAAAACGGCGAGAGCATAAAAGCATGGCAACGGAGAGAAGTAGATGGGTTTTGGTCATCCAAAAGAAGAGAAGGGTAATTAGAGGCATAAATTCAGGAGTATTGTGTCGTTTTTGAATCGAGAAAAGGTCGATGAGAAAGTGCCCTTGAAACGCCGCCTTCCAACTATCCCATGGCCAACAGGAAATTCAGGCTAATAAAGTAAATATGGGGTTTCCAGGTGCCAGACGGAAACGTGGACACGGAACGATTTGTGACTTGGGGACCGGGCCGCTAAAAGAAAATGCAAGGGTATCTGTCTGGAGTCCAGGGATCAAGGAGACGCCCATCCTCCAACTACCCTGACCCAGTCGGCCAGACAGCTGCCCTGTTTTCCTTCAACGTCAACAATATCGGTGTCACATCTGCATCTGCAGCCCACGCCATTCTCTTTTGGAGGATCTGGAGTATCCCAATACTCGTCCTCTTCTTGCCGTTTCTTTTCATCCTCAGTTGTCATTTCCAGCCAGGGAATTCGATCACGCTGCCGGGCCGGGGCATTTGCTGGGCAGTGTTGGATCGTGGTATGTCGATATCCAAAGTCTCTGAAGTAATGCACGTCGCTGGGAGACAATAATGCACCAGCGGCAAGGGAATGAATAGGCGCATCGCCCCACTGATCACGGTTAGCATAACTGAAGCTAAAAAAATGAGAGAAATTTCCACTCACTCTTTCCATCCAGAAGCCTCCACTCCGATCCATCATAGTAAAGAAGTCTTCGTATTCTTTACTGCGGAACCAATCGAGCCGGGCAATTTCAAAATTGCTCCAGAAGTGACACATGTTATACTTTTCACCCTCCATGGCTTCTGGATCGACGTCCTGGATGCCGCCATCGCCAGGCGCTGTCTGCAAAATCTCATCTGGTAGTGAATTCTCGCCAGGCTTCTCCTCCTTTGGCTTTTGCTCGGTCTCCTCAGGTTCCTCTAGGAACATTTCCCAGAGGCCCTTTGATTTCAAGTTATTGATTCGCTTGTAAGCGGAAGCATAACGGAAAATATTGGGTACAGTTTCCCGAAGTTCTTTGACGGCGATCGTGAATCCGTACGTCTTGTTATTTTCAATCATTTTGAGGAAAGGGTCGCTAAGAATCCGGTTAGCCTTGGCAAGAGAGGTGTGAAGGAAGAGCATACTAGGTAATGTCACAGAAGTACTTAATATCGGGCTCCAGACGCCAGTACCACTCGTAGTTCATGAGTAAAGGATGCTTGTAAAAAAAGCTGGCGTTTGCTGTTAGCGAAAGTTCATTTCGATTGCAGAACAGTGATAATCATACCCTGAGTAGAATCTGCACATGTGATGATAACTTTCCAAGCCACCATACATAATTGCCGCGTCTCCTTGCTTGCGGATCCCTTCTTTTGCTACTTCATGATCTGTCCAATCAGGGTAACCCCACATGGTCGAGTCGATTTTACCGAATTCGACTGGGGCGCTGGTATAATTCCGCACGGTCGCTTTGAACTGTTCATCGAAATCCCCATCGTTGAGGAATACATAGGGATAGTGCCACCATCGATTGAAATGCCTTTCGATGGATTTGATAGACTGGATTACCCCTTCTATCTCCTTATTTCGCGCCAAAACAACGAAGGCTGCGTTTGCTCTCGGGGTCGAGGTGTCAATCTCGAGGCAGCCGGTTGCGAAAACTTTGTCGTACTTCTCGCTGATTTTCCTGCAAATTTGACGGGTATGGTTAGCCGCAATCATTTCCGGAAGACCGTAGGGGATCAAAGCGTACCTTATCGTTGGAGGAGTGCCCGCTGGCACAAGGATTCCGCCCGACGAAGAAGGATGGGTGACAATGAGAAGAACGATAAGAACAATTACAATACATGGGAATAATAAAACGAAACCTAAAGGAATTGAGACGGCAGAGTTTCTTCGTAATCTGATGCGCCGTCTGAAAAAGGCAAACCGTGGTATTACCTCGCCCTTCTCGCTCAAGGCATTTTCGAGAGAGGACGCGATAGGCAAGTAAGACACTCGCTTAGCGAGTCGTCGGATGATGCCCATGGAAGCGGCGTAGTATCAACGTACTTCGATCCTCGTGGATCAGAGAAGGCGATTTCGTAGCGACCAGGGAGCCCCCTTTTATCTATCGAAGAATGCAACACTGCGAGCCTGTCTATCACGAGCAAGGCGCCAGGATGGCGGGATGGGTCACCAAATGGCGACTATCGACGTAGGGAGGGAACTGTTCGACCGTAAGACGTAACGAGCGACTGAAGGGCCGGACTTCGGCTTCGGGTTCAAAGTTGAAAAGCTCGATGAAGGAAGCCCGCGACTCTGCTGACACCAATGCCAACGCCGGTCATTCAATGGACCATAATCCGACTGTGATGGACTGTCTGATTATGGTCATGGATTTTGACAACAAAAGGTTTGAAACTGGTTGGTTTTGGTGAAAAAGGGTTGAGATTATCCTGAGGGTTTTTTCTCCTAGTTGTCTTTCTTGCAGATGAAGTTTAGCAGGAGGAACATTGCCAAGACTGATTCTAACCACAAGGGACGAAAGCAAACCTACAAAACACCTTCCCCCCTGCCTGGTGGTGCAATCTCGAACCAACTGAAAAGTCTAGAATCTCCCATCCATTAACAACACCTCTCTTTTGATTGTTGAATGATGCTATTGAAGATATGCTTGCTTTGATTGATACTGAATTGCTTTTTGAGAAATGATTGATTTCGAGCTCAAGCCTCTGCTGCACTTGAAATTGTCGAAAGGGCACCCTGAAACATGGGTTCTCGACATACCAAACAGAAGATTACGGAGTAAAGAGATTATGATATTTTCTCAGCCAAGAACCTCAATATAAAACAGCACTTCCAGCAGAAAACATTCTGCGAAGCGGCCAACTTGCTGATTAACTAGTGGTCAATCTTACGCGTCAGCTAACCACTAGTTAACACCAAAGCGGGAAGGCCGCTTCGAGAGTGACAAACACAACAAACAGCCCCTTGCGTCTGGCGCACTTTAAAATCATCGATGTTGATAGACTTGACTAACGACTGGCCAGCAAGGTGTCACTCCCTTCGCTATCGACGTACATATGCTTCAGATTCGACGCGCTTTGGATTTTCGCATCGGAGGTGTGGTTTATAATTCGCCTTTTCTGGGCTGGCTACTCCGTACCCCGGAGCCTTTGAATCTGCCGCGAATATACCTCTCGCAATGTAGATACTGCGGAGCTATTTCGCCATATAGCTGCGCCTTCCCAAAAGCACAGCCAATTTCTCGCTTTTGTAGCTCAACATCAATGATAAGCCTATAAACCGTCATTTCATATGCCAGGACTCGTCGTATGCCCTTCAAATATCCATACCTTTCTGGAAAGGTTTCCATAAATGAACCACTTGGCGCACGATTCTTTGGGCAATGAATGCGTGTCTAGTAGCTTAGGTCACTTACCAGATTCTACATACTGATTACTGATACTGGGACATTCTTTCCGAAGATTTGCTTGTTTCGTTGAATATGGAATTGCTCACCACTTGAATTTCTCGACGGCTTGTGTTCACTTGCGTATCCTCGATGCTGTTGGTTTTGAGTGCATAGCGCCGGGTACCGCCGGGTGGCCACCGAGTGACTTCCGGCTTACATAATACAATAGCTTTGCTCATGCCTTCCGCCCCTTTACTAACATCGTCATGGGGTTTGGTGTCATCCATGACCCTTACATATGAGCTTCAGATTCGCCCTCCGTGCTTTAGGCGACTTTTATGTCCAACCTTACTGACTACTGTCTTCTTGACCTTCCTCCCACTTAGCGTTTCCTTCGCTGGAGCTTCGTCCGATGACCAATGTGATATTGCCAGAGCTTGTGCATGGATGGAGAAGCACATTTCTCAAACATCCTCTCCGGTGGCTATGCCGTTGAGAATCCGTTCTCAGAACCTCGAGGATCGAGCTGGGGCATCTCGCGATGATGCACAACCGGTGAAGCCAAGGGTTCCTCGAGGGGAATTTCTCAGCCCTGACACTTTCTCTCCGGTTAATGAGAATGGCAGCTTTGCGTTTGATCGAGTGCTGAAGAGGGGTAGAGTACTGCGGAGGTCCAAAAATAAGCATGTGAGTTGCAAATTCTGTGGCGAATGGGGATTGGAGTTTCTTGTTATGCTGACAATTTGTATGTAGTCTTTTAAAGCGTCGTGGAAGCCCGGTTACCTTGTCCTACGGCCAAACCTCCTTTCGCTATACAAAGACGAAGATGAAGCTCAACTACGCCTGGCGATTACATTGTCTGATATCTCTACCGTTGCACACGTAAAGGCTCCGAGGTCAAAACGTCCAAACGTGTTTGGCATATTTTCCCCAGAGAAAAACTACAGATTTCAGGCACCTTCACAGGCTGACGCTAATAGCTGGGTGGAGATTATCCGCCTTGAATGCTCCGCCGAGTATCCGGATACCTTTTTAGCCTCTGATCGTGTACGCGGACGAGGGTTGTCCACGATGGACGGAGAGGAGAGTGGATGGGACATGTCAGATCATGATGGAAACCGGGGTGACAACATAAGTTCCCCGACGCATAGAGCTCCAGCACCTCGAAGATCAAATTTCCTAGAGGTATCCGGCAACGATATTACCTCTTGTTCAGAATTCTCTGATGTTCCCCGCCAATCACCACCGCATCGCTCTACGGGATCTCTGCACCGCCACGAGCACCCTTCGTTGTCTCCGGCAGCCCACGTCGGCCGCCAACCTTCGCCGCGCCACCACATTAGTCCCCATAGTGATATCGAATCTACAAATTTTAATCCAGAGCGCGTGATATTCAATGGCCATCTCACGTGGCTCAAAATAAAGAAAGGGGTACGGCAATGGAAGAACCTATGGGCAGTGCTCCGGGCCGAAAAATTGTCACTTTATAAAAATGACAGCGAGTATTCCGCTGTAAAGATAATCCCTTTGGATCGAGTGATTGATGCCGCCGATGTTGACCCGATTTCGCGATCCAAAGTCTTTTGTTTTCAAATCATTACTGAGGAGACAATTTACCGGTTCTGCGCTCCGGACGACGAAGCACTTAATCAGTGGCTTGGCTCCTTGAAAAGTGTATTAACCAGGTATCATGAAGCGCCTCGCCATCAACAATCCGGTCCGGCTGTGCCTGGCCCCTCATTGGCGATCCGATGAAGCTTGGCTTGTGCCGTCATTTTCAACGTTTCGCATGTTGGGATTTTGTACTACGTTCTACTGACACATTTGGGGAAGCATTCGTCGATTTCACTTAAAGTACCGTTCAGACGTGATTGGACTAGGAGTTCCTTCTCGCTCATCTCTATATTTTAGCATTTCTCCGGGGTACCAAGGAAGCATTGATTGCTGCGTGTTAATAGGCCTTAAATCAGCGATGCTGTTTGGGAAGCGTATTTTCATTGGAATTTACATTGGCGTGCTGGGTGGCATTTGCTGGATGGCTGGGACTCCTTTGCATGGTGGTTATTGATACCCATTTCCTATGGTGCTAACATCTGATATGTTATTGCGTTCCTTTTTCCTTTCGTACTCGTGATCTTCTTGGCATCGGCGCTCCAGCCTCTGGTGGCAACTTCCGCGCTAATAGTCTTGGCGCTGCGTTTGCGCCTCAACGTCTTCAGCCTCGCGTTTCGCATTTTCTTGTAATCTACCAACAACGGTCGTCGCCCACATCTACTAACCAACATTCGTTTCTTATTGATTGATATATTATTGTTAATTCTTTTCACTCTTTAATGAACTTGTTCTCTCTTTCCCACCGTCACTTTGCATAGAACTACCTCTCGCTCCAGCGATGGGTTTCTTCGATTACCTCCAGAAGAAAGGAGTCGGGGCGATCCAGGCGCAAAAGGTTCAAATCCGTAAAGTAGAGCGCAAGCCTTCAGCAGTAAAGCCTTCTTCCCTACCGGCTTCGAAATCTACCCCATCGCGTACAACACTCGTTTCGAAGGCTACAGTCGCGCGCAGATCCACCAGTTCAGCCAGCACTCCAGTTCGTGATCCTAAACCCAGATCGAAGTCCACCTCGCGTAAGAGGAACGCCTCTGAACAGACGCTATGCAGCAGCAGTGACGATAGCGATACCGACCAGCTGCTAGATTTTCGATTACGCAAGCGGGCAAAAGTCAGTGCGAGCGCTGAGCCGGATCCCCAACGGTGTGTTCGGGATCGGGAAGCTTTCTCGGAAAAAGAAGTGTCGTTTGATATGGTACATGCTGCGGACATTACATCGTCGAAGAGGACTCACGGGTTCGAAAATGCATTCGAAGCTGAAAAGGGGCCGGTCACAGTACAGCTGCGATATCCCGGAGCTTCGCAGAAAGAAAGGTGGGATTGATTTTGATTAATGAAGTGGCTTATCTGTTCCGGATCTGCTAACAATCCAACGTTGTAGATTTCAGTTGATGGTGCCCCGCGATAACGACGGATTCAAGCCACTTGACGATATTGTCCAGGTGATCGAAATCGTTTCCCAGAACTATATTCCCGAGGAGCACGTGCCACTTTTTGATGAGGAATCCAACGGTTTATTACGTCGGTTGCGTCGCGCACTTGTCCAGGGCTCCTTGGCCAATTTCCTTGATGGAATCAAGCATTACAATGAAACTATCAAGCGGCTAAGATTGGACGGATCGATATCCCAACACCTTGATTCCTTGCACATGCTGCGGCTTCCGCTGGTGGAGAGAATATTGACACAAGTTTACTCGCGGACCGTTTCCCCTCGTGTTGACTCGCTACGCCAGTACGTAAACGGAAGTGATAACGTTTATGGGGAACTTTTGCCACGGCTTATTTCGAAGATTTTCGCTGAAACCCGGCTGAAATCAGACCAGACTTTTGTGGATCTAGGGTCAGGAGTCGGAAATGTCGTCCTCCAAGCAGCTTTGGAAATTGGATGCGAGAGTTGGGGCTGCGAGGTGATGCAGAATGCCTGCGATTTGGCAGAGCTCCAAGAGAAAGAGTTCAAGACTCGATGTCGTCTATGGGGCCTTGCTCCTGGTAAAACCCGGTTGATAAGAGGAAGTTTCCTCGAGTCAGATAGCATTGGGAAGATTCTCCACAAAGCCGACGTGGTGCTTATCAACAACCAAGCATTTACCCCCGAATTAAATAACAAGTTGGTTAACTACTTCCTTGACATGAAAGAAGGCTGCCAGATTGTGTCACTCAAGTCGTTTGTGCCCCCAGGCCATCGGATACAAGCTCGGAACTTAAATTCGCCGATCAACCTACTCTCAGTCAAGGAGAAGCAATATTGGTCTGACAGTGTTAGCTGGACTAACGCTGGAGGAAGATATTATATCGCTACGAAGGATAGCTCCCGGTGAAAGCCTTTTCTGAAGCTTGACGTTGAGCTAGCATATCTTTATGTGTGCTATGCCCGACCTTTTATACCCCAGCTTTTCTTCTTTTTGTGCCCGGGAAATTTTCTCGAGGCTGTATTTTTGGATATACGCATATAGAGCAAGGGATACCCCTATGGATTTGCTTGGTGGGCTCTTTCTTTATGAGTTTAGATAAGAGTCAGACTATACCTCCTCCTTTTTGCCTAGCGTTTTGGAAAGTGGTGGAATTTGAATGATTTGATCATCAGCAGAAGGCCCGTACCACTCATGGGAAATGAAAATTTGCAGCATTGATCTATCATAATAATGTAAAACCATTTCAGGCATAAATTCCAGTCGTTTTATCAGTGGCTACTTTTATGAGAACTTCGACGCATTATTCATGGCTTCAGCCTCCTGCCCCATTCTCGCCATCCATCGATCGATCAACTCCTTGTTCTCCCTTTCTAACTTCTTTGCTCGATCCTCCGACATATTGAACTGTAGGTTAAGTGATACAAGTTCATCTTGGACATCCTAAGTGAGCCAAAGCCTCCATATCAGAATCGGCCATGGAAGAACGGTAAAAAAGCGCAGGAAGAATAGAGAGGCATCCTCACATCTAACAGCTTTGCCTTTCCCCGAAGTTCCTCGTCTCGATCTTTCAGCCGCTGCTGCAGCTGCGTTCGTTCCACTGACAAATCTAGAACTTTCTTGTTATCCAGCGACGCTTTCCTCTTTGCGCTTTCTAGCTCCTCTGTTGTCTTTTTCAATCGCGCTAGGAGCTCTGTACGCGAGCGCTGTGCTTCAGCGAGGTCGTGTCGCGCAGTTGTTAGGGTGTCCGCGATGTTGGGGAGCTGTGCGGGGGGTATATCCCGTCTGCTTGGTTGCCTCGAGGGGGTTGTCGGCGGGGGGGTTGGAGTTGAAGGTGTAGCGGGGGTAATGAGGTTGGACTCTAGGTTGCCGGTGCGGTCGGCGAGACGTGTGTCTAAGAAATGATGAGTCGATATTTCTTATGGAGTAGAACGGGCTCACGTTGGTGAGGAGTATCCCGGCCTGGGTTACCGTACAGGCGTTGTAGAGTGATGTATTCGCCTTTTCGCGCTCATCGCGGACTCCAAGCGCGGCATAATACTCTGCGCGCCAATTGGACATGGTCGATTAAAGATGTTTGCGCGTCCCTTGAGAAGGCCGACAAACCGGTGAGTAGCCTGATGTTAATCTCCTGCAGGCTGGCAATGAAGATAGGATGGAGGCACTTGGAGGTCACCTGGACGATCCGGCGAGTGAATGAGCTCCATGGACGACATAAATCTCCCAAGCCACACACAAGGACTTTTGCTGTATTCCCCCCATCCCCAAGGTGCTTTTGCTGTGTTTTCCCTGGAGATACGAGACGTTGTTGAGTTGGCTTGAGATGTCTTGGCAATGATGCATTGAGATCACTCTCCGCCTCCACCACCGGCCTTTCACACGATAAGCTACTCCTTCTTCGTATCTTCAACATTAGACAGCATTGAGTTGTACTGGCAGCTGGATATTTGTGAAATGGTCCTATGAGCACCCTGATAAGACAAGCTAACCGCCTAACCACAGAGAGAGATCTCGATTTTGGAAACAGGAATGGATATATTGGCACGATTGTGAATGCAGAGTGAAGATAACTGAGTGTTGAACCAGAAGAATCTACCTAATCTCGGAAGGAAAATAATGGACGTTGTGCCCAAATGGTCTTCATTTCTTATATCTTGGTATTCCGCTCGCCAGCCCGAGCTATTATCACAGATAATTTTGCGATCTTGATCCTATGAATATTGGTAAATTGATAGAAGCAATCATCATCGGGCAAATCTCATTATTGAGAGTCACATATGACTGAGAACTGCTCCGTAATGTACATTGTGTTCCCGCGCCCATCTACCATTCCGCAAGCGTGTCGCCTCTCCGTTTCCCTCTCAACTCGTATTTGCCCTGAAAAGCAGCAGTAGTACTGTCAGCCAGTAATCTAATAATTAAATCTGCTGATGTGCAATGCCACTCACGTCTGTTTTGTAGGCAAGATAGCCAAGAACCCCAGGAACCAGAGCCATGTAGCAGAATGAGATCCATGCCGTGCGGGGCGTCCACCTAAAGTGCTTGTATCTGTTTTTATTTGCATCTGGACAGATAATTCATGAACGGTTAGCGGCGAGATAATCGGCGAGAAAGGTATGACGGCGATTGGGGAAGAGTGTGCGAACCATAGTATTTCTGGAGGGCGGGGTCCAGATGGAGATCTGCAAATCAATTAGCCAGGAAATATGAACTGATCCAGGGAGCATACTTGAAGGGCCAGCCATGGCTTCTGTTTGCTATCCAGCACACAACGTCTTCCTTCCAGAGCAATCATTGCCGTCTCTCCGTCGGTCACGGTATGCATGTCTTGGCGCTTAGTCACGCGAACCGACAGCTTGCCGCATGCATCATCACAAGGACGCCTTCATCTACTTCATCCTACTGGCGGGCCTTTGCGAATACTCCGACTTACGCCAATTTTATTCCCAGTCTACGAGGGCCTTTGCTTCAGTCATGGCTTCACGGAAGAAGGTTCTCTTGAAGGTTGTTATCTCTACACAGTCTGGTTCTTCGAGTACCGCAAGCTAATGTCGTACTGGTTCCGTAGGTGATCATCCTCGGTGATAGTGGTGTTGGCAAGACGAGTCTTATGAACCAATATGTCGGTCGCCTCTTATTACTACGGCCTCCCGGACGAAGCTCACTGGTCTTTGATGTATAGGTGAATAAAAAGTATAGCGCAAGTTACAAGGCGACCATCGGGGCCGATTACCTGACGAAGGAAGTTCTAGTTGATGATCGGCTAGTTACTATGCAGGTGTGTGGCTTATCTGCCAGCACCTTGTTAGATCCGTTCCCGCTGACCGTCTTCCAGCTTTGGGATACTGCAGGCCAGGAAAGATTCCAGTCGTTAGGTGTTGCCTTTTACCGGGGTGCAGATTGCTGTGTGTTGGTATACGACGTCAATAACTCCAAAAGTTTTGAGAACCTCGATAGCTGGCGGGATGAGTTCCTGATTCAGGCATCACCTAGAGATCCGGAAAGTTTTCCGTTTGTAGGTGATTTGACTCCGCAGTGATCACGACGAATTAACTAACCTTGGGAAAGGTTGTATTAGGAAACAAAGTGGACGTCGACGAGTCGAAGCGGATGATTTCTACGAAACGCGCCTCAACATACTGCCAATCTAAAGGAAATATTCCTTATTTCGAAACAAGTGCCAAGGAGGCTATCAACGTGGAGCAGGCATTTGAAGGTACGTTGCTTCTTCTAGTTGAGGTCTCTTTTATGACTCTGCTAACATGGAGCCACAGTTATTGCAAAGGTCGCTCTTACGCAGGAAGAATCAGAAGAGTTCAACGGCGATTTTACGGACCCAATCAACATACACCTTGACAATGACCGCGACGCCTGTGCTTGTTAATTGCATTTTACCGGCTTTGAATTGCAAATGGCCATTATTTCGCCATAGAGTATATTAACTTGAGTTGCTTCTTACCGCAATCTGGGGGGGGGTGCGTTTGGCGTTGCTTCGCGTATGCTGTTTATCTGGGTATGATCTATCATTTACCCCGTTTGGCCTCATTGCAAATCGTGTTTTCGCTGTAATTTTTCGACCTTTAGGGTGCCCCTGAGTTTTTGACTTTAGCAGAAGTTATCGGCGACCGATTCAAGCTGCTTTCCAAGACCATATACTTTCGTCTGATATCCGTAGTGCTAGTTTCTGTTCCCTGTGTTTGGGTTTGGGTTGTTGATAGCATCCCATCATAAATATTAATTGATCCATAGAATGGTACTTATAAGAATAGTTTTTGTTCGTTACTCGCCAAAAGGAATTTTTGAAGTAACAAGAGACGCTCGATCTCGGCTTTGCGTCACCTGGACACAACCCCGGCGTTATCTTATCTCCTACATGATCTACTCCCCAACATCCCCAACCTCAAATAATGAGAGCTTCTTCTAGCCCATTATAACTATATCTTCTAATAATCGACAATACCCATGACTTTGGAACATTGACCGGAACTCACGGGGCTCCTCAAAATCATGCCTTCCGAGGATGGAACCTCGTCCGCGAATGCCCATCATGCGGAAGTGGTATCCGATCAAGACGAGCCACAAGCCTCGAGTCAAGGACTCATAGCCCGCGGAACGGCGCATCAATCGCGTGGGAAACTTAGCGACAAGAATTTGCCGCTGGGGGGCGTCGCAAGACATACCCTGGGCGTGTCGTTGCTGTTGGTCGTCGTCGTCTTGTGGACTCTGTCGAATTTCCTCGCGAGCGTATGTGGTCTTCCAATGCTGCTGAATCATCTTCTAACTGGCATGCTGACTTCTGTGAATATATGTAGACTATCTTTGCCGATAACACGTACTCCAAGCCTTTTTTCATTACTTATTTGAGTACTGGAGTGTTCACTTTGACGCTCATCCCGCTCACGTTGCGACATATATTCCAATGGTGGAAAGAAAGGAGATCGAATACAACTGGGTTGCTGCAGACAGAAGCGGGACGACGGGATGGAGAGGAATCACACCCATTTCTTACTTCAGGTGAAGATGTCAACGGAAATCAGCAGGATGGACCTGGTCCTGTAGCAGGAGTATTGCCCTGTTATAATAAGGAAACGGGCCCAGGCAGAATGGACTTCCGGGCGACCGCACGATTAAGCCTTCAATTTTGTCTTTTGTGGGTGAGTAGGATATCATTCTTTGATCCGCGGACTTTCATGGTCAAAGCTAACGATCGTTGTAGTTCTCTGTGAGCTTTGCATGATCCGATGGCGTTTACATACGTGTTTACTTACCTTGGATTCAGGCAAACTACTTTGCATATGCATGCCTACAGTTTACAACTGTTGGGAGCACTACCATCCTGACATCAACTAGCGGTTTGTTTACGCTGCTTTGACGCGAGAATGCTTTTCTAACCACGGGTATAGGCGTATGGACACTGATCTTTGGCGCGATAATCGGAGTGGAAAAATTCACCACTCGCAAACTCCTAGGCGTCCTCGCTTCTCTAACAGGAATAATTATCATCTCCAGAGTTGACTTATCTGGCTCCAGTGATGAAGATCGCGGCAATTTCCCTTACAAATCTCCTGCAGAGATTGCGGTGGGCGATGCGATGGCCGCATTTAGTGCTATATTATACGGCGTTTATACAATTGTGATGAAAAAGCAGGTAGGTGACGAGAGTCGAGTCAACATGGGATTGTTCTTTGGGCTAGTTGGGTTATGGAATACCTTGATCATGTGGCCTGGCTTTTTCATCCTGCATTATACAGGACTGGAACCGTTTGCATGGCCGGATTCACACAGGACTTGGACAATAATTCGGGTATGCAATATTACCGCAATATTCTATCTTTATTCCCCTTGTGGCACTAACTCACTATCCTGTTTCTTTAGGCTAACGCGATAATATCCTTGGCCTCCGATATCTGCTGGGCCTATTCTATGCTCCTCACCACCCCTCTGGTCGTCACAGTGGGCCTGAGCATGACAATACCTTTGTCCCTTATTGCACAGATATTCATCCATGGGCTATACTCAAGTGTGCTGTATTGGATTGGAGCTGCGATTGTCTTTGTGTCTTTTGTTTTTGTTAACCACGAGAGTAAAGTTAAAGAAGGAGAGTGAGATTTGACATGTCGACTTTGAATAGGTTTTTCGATTTGACACTTGATACCCTTTATAGAGCGAATACTTGTTCTGCTAACAGCATGTTTCAATGTTTACAAGGGAGGTCATGGTACTCTTTGAACTTCCCGTTTTAGAGCCATTCCCTTTTTTTCGGTATGTACATACATTGAATCGATAGGTTTAAGAATGGTAGGCCCATAAACGAAGTTATATCTGAACTTGTCGAGACTCGAGGTGAGCCATCTCCTATCTTATAAAAGATCTAGGTCTCCAAAAAGACCGTGCGTGGATATCATTTTTCCCTCCCGGCCACAACGACCGATTACTTATTTCGCCTTTTTAGCCAGCCTCTTTTGAGCCCTGACATCCTTTTTCAATCGCGCATCGACGATTTTATACTTCCCTTTAACACCTCGCGGTCTCCCCGAGATTCCCCTATTCCCTCCTCTCGCCACAACTAACTTCACATTTTGCTTGGGCTTTTTCTTCATGGCCCTCGACATCATCCTTGCTATACTTTGTGCCTTATCTCTTTCACTCACACCCTCATCCTCTGCCAAAAGCGCTGATTTCTTTTTCAGTTTTTCTAATCGCTGAGCCTGTTTCATCTTCTTCCTGCCCTTTGCTTCGCGGACTTTCTTGATCGGTCGTGCGTTGAGGGCACGCAACTTTTCACGGATGGCCGCGGCGGCCGCCGCTGTAGTGGGCCGCTGGATTTTGGAGTGCTTACTTTCGTCGTCGAGGAACCATTCGGGGAGGCCGTCAACGTCACGGAAGGAGAATTTGTTGAAGCCATCGTCGACAACGTCAGCGGAAGTTTTTTCGCCTGTGGCCATTTGCTGAGCGAGGGCCATGGCTTCGGCAGTGATGATATCGATATCTAATGTATCGTTTAAGAAGTTGCTCACTTATCCCGGCAAAGAGGGTCGTTTTGACTTACTAAGTTTACCGTCTTTCGTCCGAGGATCATCTCGCGGTTCTTCATCAAACCGTTCTGAACGGCCCTTTGATTCTTTAGCCATCGAGGACGGATCCACGGACATCTCACTTTCATTGTCGGTAGTTTCATAAACTTCGGAGCCGTCCTCGCCTGGAGCTTCGTCTTGAACTGGTTGACTTTGCTCCTGTTCTTCTTCCATCCGTTCATCCTCATCATCTATATCCTCTAGGCCTTGGAATAGATCCTGATCAAAAAACATTGCAGCTTTATTGGACAGGCCGTTGGCCGGCCGACTTCTTAGGGTGAGGGATTGGGGTTGAAAAGTATCACCATCCTCCTCATCAGATCCATCGTCTTTGTTCGAGTCAGAGAATCCTTCCCATTCTTCAGTTTCAAGATCTTTGCGAGCCTTCTTGGCCCGTAACTTTGAATCGCGCATTTCACGATCTTCTTGGTACCTTTCATACAATGCATCCAAATCTCGCTCGAGGCGGTCCTCCTCTTCATCAGATTCCTCATCGCCTGTAGCCGAGCTTTCTTCATCGTCATCACTTTCCACATGAACCATTCTCCCACTAGTAACTTTCTTTGTGGCACCTTCTCGAGCAATCGGCTTTATAGAAAACATCGATCCTTCGCCTAGCGGGCCACTCTGTTCCATACCAATATCTGTGGGCGTGATCATATGCATCTGCAGTCGTACAATCTCTTTCTGTTTCCGTTCATTTTCTCGACGACGTTCTTTCTTTTTCCTAGATGTATCTTGGTCCCTCAATCGCTGTAACTCTTCCTGTATGGCTAGTTCTTCATCCATTGGTTCAATTTCTGCAACTTCTTCTTGCTCTTCTGTTTTCTTGCCTCCCTTCTTAACGGCTAGTCCAAACTTTTCGCGCACCTTGAGACGCCATCTCAGGAGTGTTCGAAATTCTTTCTTGCCCAGAACCTTCAAATCCTCACAGCATTTCCGGATTTCGTCTGTGGTTTCGGGAAGACGTTCAAGCGTTGCGAGGGCCAAATCGCCGCTCGCAGATTGCTGAAAACTTAAGGTATTATAAGTACCAAGAATCGCAATTGGGTCAGTTGTATTAATGAATTCAGTAACGGCTATTTCTTTATGCTGGGTGTAGTCTCCCTCCTCGTAGCCTTCCCTCTTTCGCTTCTTCTTTTCTGGATTGAATACTTTCGCTTCGTTATTGGGTGTGGGGTCCTGTAGCTCGGCGAAAACGTGCCGTGAATCTAGGAATTTAGGGTCGATGTGCTTTGGTGCTTTGAATCCCCGGCATACGACGAAGATTTCCGCAGAAACGTTTCTTGAGGATGGAGGTTTCGTCGCTTCCACAGAAGTGAAAAGTTGCTTGAATACCCATAAGAGTGGATTGTAATCTTTCGATCTGAAAACCTTTGTAACAAATGATCCCCCCGGAACCAAAAACTCCGTTGCGAGCTTTAGTGACTGCAGGACTAGCTCGGCCTGTGAGAAGGCATCTTGAACCCATGCTGTACCGACATTGGGGGCGCCATCATGAAGAACTGTATCGGCTTTCCAGGTTTTGAGATGCTGTCGGATTGTGGCACGGCACTTGTCCGTTGTGATGTCGCTTTGAAAGGTGATGACCCGTGGAATTGGTTTTATCGGCGAGAGGTCGACTCCAACAATGAGAGAGTCCGTCGGCATACATTCCGCGGCGACCTGACACCATGACTACAGACCAACTTTCCATTAGAGATAACTAAAGTCAAATAGAGCAATTGAGTCGACTCACACCAGGTGCCGCGCAAAGATCAAGAAGCACTTTGCTTTTTTCAAGGAAGCCATATTTCTTGTTGAGCTGGATCAGTTTGAAGGCTGCACGAGCTCTGTAGCCTTTCTCTTTGGCAAGCTTATACCACTTATCCAAGCGGCCTTTGCCATGCTTACAGAGGGAAACCCGTTAGCTTTGATATAAATGGAGGAATTAATAATATAGATCATACCTTTTTCTGAATAGCCATCCTGCACAGTCTCCCAGGGGTAGAGAGCAGATGAACAACCTCACCGGCCTCACTGTTGTCGTCGCCTCTTGATATCAAAATTCGAAATAAATATCTGAGTGCCAAGACATGCTCCAGCCACACCTCAACAGCCACACATGGTCCCTTACATAATCGTCAGCCTTGGTGTGGATGACATCACGTTATCGTGGCTCTCGGCCTATCAGATGCTCATGCGCTGTCCACGCTTTCCGACGTCCATGAGACTGTCGAGTGCCAGTTCAGCAGAAATCACCAGCCTGCAGCCTTGCATTGTCTATTGTGAAGCGCGACCTAAGCCTTGATTCATGTTTTCGAGGTTCCTGTGATGCACGTTCATATCTTCTTCATATGGAGCCTATGGAGCCTCGGAAGCTGGTGAATCAACGAAATGACTGTGAACCCGACCCACCCTTAAAAACAGATCTGAGAGACGACTCGTCAAAGAGCGGAAAGGAGAATGCGGTGGTACGTATCAGTACCCATTGGCGGTATTTGTCTAGCTAATCGCTCTCAGATTTGGCACATGAGATCCTGGCCACGAAAATCCAAGGCAGCAGCCGTGACAGAGGTTGCCCGCGAGAGCATCTGCGCAACAAACACGGGCTTGTCTGAATGTAATCGATCAAGTACAGCTGTGCTACGGCCGTCAAGAACCCAATCGATAGACCTTATGAAGAAGGGCAGGGCGTCAACACGGTCACTTCCCGCAGAAGTTACTACGACTCGAATTAATATTGCGTCGAGCGGATCGTTCCCCGTGCTGAACACTCCGGATGGACTGCCTTCGACTGTAAAACTCGATAATGGGCAGTCTCATACCGACCAAGAGCCACCAAACACGCTCCCTGACCTGAAGGATGTTGCAGAGAGCGATCAAGCTGAATCAAAAGGAAGCCCAGGCGCAGGTGGGGAAACAACTGACCCAGGTCTCACAGCAGAAAAGGATATACAGACGAGTACAACCAATAGGTCCTCTGGATGGTTTGCCTGGCTTTCGCGCAAGGACGGGATCGATGATCCCGTTGCTTCTGAGCACACCGAAAATACTGACCGCTCACCAGACAAGTCTTTACCAAAGGATGAAGTGACTCCAGAACCAGAACCAGAAGGTGTCTCTCAGCCGACGGCCAATTCAGACCAGGGAAATATCGAAACGACCATTCAGGGGCCTCTTGCAACTGACGACAATACTTCGCTGGCAACCTCACAGAAAAGATCCTGGTTATTTATGTGGACGAGCGGTTCTGCGCCGCAGCAAGCTGACTCTGGAAATGGAGAATCCGAGCAAGCTGGGATTCGCTTGGTTGAAGAGGGGCCAACAAAGTCGGATCAAACAGCTTCAGCCCAACATGGAGACATCTCGGAGACAGAGAACGGCGTGAGCGTGAATGAGGATACCCGACCTCCAGCGAAAGATATGCCCAAATCTTGGCTCTTTTGGCCTAGAGACAAGCAGCCCGTAGAAACTGGGCGAAGTGGCTTGCAAGAAATCCAGGCTACCACACTAGACGCGCCGCAACAGGATACCGCCGAGACATCTGCCGACAAAGCAGGTGCCAAAGTCGACCCAACTTTACCAACAACGAAACCCAAAATCGTTTCGAAAGCGGGATCGCTGAAGTCAGCGAAAGCCACAGCGGCCTTGAGTATTGAACCTCCATCTGAACAAGCCAGACAACCTGCTTCTTCGCGGGTAAAGAAAACCCAGGCTCTACCTAACCTAGTCTTACCGTCATTTGAAAGTACTTTTCCCTTACAAGAACGCCCAGGCTTACTACGACAACTTGGAAGGTTAATCTATTATGACAAGGGCCCAACGCCAAACCATGTCTTGCGTGCACATGACCGGCCGCAGGTGAAGAAAGCATTAGCCATCGGTGTTCACGGGTATTTTCCAGCGCCATTAATACGAAATATCATCGGCCAGCCTACGGGAACATCGATGAAATTTGCAACTATGGCAGAACAAGCTATTCTACAATGGGCCGCAGTGAATGGTTCGCCCTGTCAGGTTGAGAAAATCATGCTAGAAGGCGAAGGTCGTATATCTGAACGGGTAGATCTGCTATGGAAGCTTCTACTCAATTGGATTGACCACATTAGGACTGCTGACTTCATTATGGTATCTTGTCATAGTCAGGGAGTGCCCGTGGCGACGATGCTGGTTGCTAAATTGATTGCTTTTGGTTGTGTTAGCTCGACTCGAATAGGCATCTGTGCCATGGCTGGGGTGAACCTAGGTCCGTTCCCCGATTATAGATCAAGGTGGATAAGTGGTTCAGCTGGTGAACTCTTCGACTTTGCGAATGGGGAGAGCAAGGTCTCGCTTGATTATATGGCAGCTCTACAAACTGCACTTGACTTCGGAGTCAGGATAACGTATGTTGGTAGTATCGATGATCAATTGGTGTCGCTAGAGGTTAGTGGTATCGTTTCCCTTGCTCGAGGGTATAAAATACTAATTGAAAGGTAGTCATCCGTTTTCGCGACTATTTCCCATCCTCATATATGTCGAGCTGTATTCGTCGACGGCAGAGTCCACGCCCCAAGTTTGTACGTGGTTGTCTTTTCCTCCAGAGATCATCGAGGCCTCAGCTGATCCATTATAGCGTGTCACATTTGGTCGGTTTTGCTATGAAGTTACGGAATCTTGGAATATCAGATCATGGCCTTATACGCGAGCTTAGCTCTCCATTGGCAGGCAGTCTTTATTCGGGAGAAGGGCATTCTAGGCTATACGATGACGAAACAGTTTATCGGTAAGTCGTGCTCATCTCATCATCTACGTTTAGTTTTAACAAACCTATAATCAGCCTGGCTGTCCAATTCGCCCTGGAAACCACTTCTGCCTCCAACACAAAGCTAGAAATCCATCAACATCGCGCCTCAGCTCCCGCGAATCCTTATATTCTTCCCTTTGCTATGCGCGGCGTCCTAGAGGAAGAGTACGTTCGTAGGGAATTATCCCAAGAGACAACCGAATTGCTTCAGCAATTTGATGACTGGAAACCATCCACGAAGGTTTTAAAGGATGTTAAATTCCGATTGGAAGGCATCCGGTCAAAACTCTGATGACCAACAAAACCGCGAGAAAGATATACTCTTGCCAGGAGGTTTCAATTTTAAGCAGCGAAACTTGTTATATACCCCCATGTTCTGTCGAAGCCGAACGCTGAGGTTTTAGTTATTCGTCTTAAGCTGTGTTCCTATAATCGGGTGGGCATAGAATATAGATAGGAATCAGGGATTGAATACGATGAGTTATTCAATAACGTTAAGTGGAAGCAAGTAAAATTTCCGCACTGCTCGACAATATGGTTCTGAGTTTGTGAAGGGGCAGAATGTGGATTTATCCCTGCCTTTTCGCTTGATATTCTGCCTATCTGGGAGATATCGATATTCTGCTGAAGAGGCGCACAGCCGGAAAAAAAAAAAAAAAAGCAACCGAAGCCAAGTGTTAGAACCGAGGTCTCGCTCTGAAGGTTCTCAACCGCCCGTAACAGGTGATTTGCGAAAAAATCGAAAAAAGATTTGTGGATACAGAGGCGATGAATACATGGTTAGAGGGAGGAAAGCGAAAGAAAGGCTGTTGAAAACATCAAAGGATACGAAACACATTTCTTTCTTCTCAACCTCGAGAGATAGAAGGTTGTAACTGTTGGTCCGGAACAAGTATATAAGTCATCAACGCACTATAGACGATATAAAGGGTATCTCTTTCGGAGGAGGGTTCACCAGAAAAAAAAGGTTTTAGTGAAGGTAGTCTCAAACCAACCGGAATTATTTTAAGAAGAGCTTCAACCAAGCCTCCTAAATCATAGATCGTAACTTCTTTCTTTCGTTTCCTGTTTGAATGAACGAAAGGGTGCAACGGACACGCGTCCAAGTCGAATGACAGCGTTGGTGTCGTGTTCCTGACAGCATAGCAAGTCCTTCGCTACCCAACCAATGATAATAGGCATTCAGCGACGATTGCCGCTCATGCTACGGTTGGGGAAACGCCGTCATGTAGGCCCCTTCGATTTCATCTAGAGCGGTTGGGCTTGTCAGCACACAAAGCAATTCCAGGGAGACGAGTACTAAGAAGGGCAAGGTTTGTGGGGGAATGGATGCCAACCTCTCATTCCATCTAACGCTTCGAAAGCAATAGCATAATTTTTGACTGCGCCAACTACGCATTGCAGACCATGTCGAAGTTTCTCGCGTAGCTGATCAACATTGCCTAGCGGGCTCTTTTTTCCATCGTGTCTAGTGACATGAGATTTATAATAGAGCATAAGCATCGCATAACTACTTTGCATAGCGCAACAAGCAAATGAGGGCATTGTGCGAGGCATAGGGTCGCATGATAAACGAAGTCCAGCGAAGCGCCCATTTCCATAGAAAGGGTTTGGGTACGGTAGACTGTCAAACATCCGTGCGATAGTCAAAGCGGACTCTAGACACACAGCGGTCGAATCATAACTAGAGAACGGGAATGATTCTTCAGAGACCCAGGAATAGCCGGATGATGCATCCGAGGCCGGTGGGGACACGCATGGTGAAACGTCACTAGAATCCGGTATCTGGGGTAAGGTCGTAGAGCAGCAAGAGAATTTAGAACTTGCTTGCAGCAGCTCAGTACCTGTACTCTCTAGGCCTTCTGACCCAACGCTTGCGCATGTAAGATCGCAGTGCTTTTTAATAAAGATAGGGATATCTAAAAACGCCCGAAATCGATGAAGTTTTATACGAGCACTTTATAACTATTAGTATGAAAGAACGGGTGCAAAGGGGAACACAAAATTACCTGCTAATTTTTATTCGCGAAATCGCTCTGATGCTGTTTGCTGTGATAACCTCCGAACGATACGTATCGATCATAGAGGAAAGGGGCGGAGGAAGGATATTGGCTTGAGACAAAGCAGATGCAGCCCAAGAGTCAAGCTTCCTTACATGCTCATAGATGCGTGACATGTCAGCACGGCTTCGGAGAGCCCTGTTCAAATCACATATGTATTGGGTTGCAGAAGTCAAGACCTGTTGCGACTGAACTAGAACAGACCAAGCCTAAAGTATTCGTTAGAAAATATCAATGGCAAAGGGAGAGGGCCTAGGTACCTCAGTGTCAGCGGCAAAATGAGGTAAGGGGGTGACGAAACGTGGGTCGGTCACAAGGATCGTGGGAGGCTATATGCGAAAAAGAGATTAGATACTGGCCAGTTAACATGACTAGTTTAGGAACTCGAGCTCACCGTTGTGCTAACAATAGAACCCTGGCAAACACAGTAATACTATCCGTGTCGTTAGATGCAACCATTCCCAATATCGGGGATTTTAGCGTACTGTCATCCACCATGCCCGTCGTCTAGCTTCAGCGAATACATCATCTTCCCTGCCAAGTGAATGAAGTGACATGTTTATAGCCATAACGTATGCTTCTCCAGCACGCTTCCGCATCTTGACAAGGTTGCCGCGCTGTGTATACTCATAGATGCTTAGGATCAACAATGCAAGTATACTTTCCAGTTCAACAGGCGTGTTAGGGTGGACTGGCAACCGCTTTGGTATCGCTCGCTCGTTTTGGAGCGCTTCTGCCGGGCTGGCACAAGATTCGATAAGCTCAGATTCTCCCTCTACACTCTCTAATGCAGCCAGAGCGAATTTGTGGGAATACGAGCGCCTTATCAAAACAGATTCTGGAGAGGATGGGTCTGGGTCTGTCGGGTGCGGGACACGTGCGAGTATAGCCGAAATGGCCAAAGTCACTGGAGATTTTGGATGATAGGTAAGGGGTGGGTTATCGGAGGCCATGTCAGGGGTTGCCGGCATGTCTAAAGGCGCTTCGACACAAGGCGGTGCAGGGGCGGGAGGAAATATCGGAAAATAATCATGGATGAAAGTGTAATAGCCATTCAAACTGCAGTACACATTAGACTGGCACATTTCGCAGGGGATGGTATCGGAGCTGGTGTAGGCTACTGACATATCTTGTTCACTGCCATACACTCTTACCCTTGTCGGGGCTGAAGGGGAAATGTGTACAGGCACAGTTTCCGGAGCCAATGGCGTATAGGAAGTGGTAGATTGAGGCACGAAAAGGCCTTCAAACATTGACTGGACTTCCACGGGAAAATCTAATGCTCGTAGGCCGGCACCGGGAACGGCAAGGGTGTCAACTTGGTTAAAGAGTTCTATGTTGCTTGTTGGGTCAATTCTGTCCGGCCAAAAAGTCCTTCCGCAGCGGCGCATACCTTCATCAAGTCGTGGAATCGGCTGGATGACATTCCACAATTTGCTATCTGGCGACTCTAGCGCGACGGAAGCTGCAGGAATGACTTTCTTTTTCCTTGGGCCTCCTCGCCTACTTGGTAAATAGCTGCAGTCCTTCCCCTTTAGAGTGCACTAGAAACGGTCATGAACGTTTAGCAGACGCTTTTCTCCCACTCCTCTGCCTGGGGCCATTACCAACTTACGCTAGAGCAAGGATCCTTCCCGTCGCATCTTATTCTCGAGGCGCGACTAGAGTAATTGAGTCACTAAATGCAGTTCATTGAAACGGTGAGATGGGAACCCTTGGTTCACGATATCAAAAGTCCAGCAGAAGAAGTTGCGAAACTGTATGCGACCGCAACCAGCGCCCATCGAAATGAAGGAACCACTGACCAGGATAAACAAGCGACTTTCACCGGTGGTTTCGTAAACTTCTTCCGAGTGCCCCTGCCAGCTGGTGTTTTTCCCAGGCGTAGCTCATTTTTGCTATCCGCGTCCATGTTCGTTCGGGAGCAGAAATTAGCTCTGGCGAAAGCTGGTTGAGGCCGGGTTTGCAAATTAGCCTTCCAGCAACTTGCTCGTAGAGTATATCAGCAATTGGCTTGACATGGCAGAAGCATGCGCGACCGAATGAGAGACTCAGCGACAACGAGAAGGTGATCAAGCGTGTTCAGCCCAACGCGGACTTCGATGGGCATATGTCATGGTGCCAAGCACAACGTTCGTGTTAATTCACCAGCTGCTGAGTCAGCAATCTGAGATCGCACCACAAACCCCACACACGATATGCACTTGCGCGATCGGAAGTTGCTTGGCATCACGCCCTGGTTCTGCAGCGCCGCAACACTCCAGAAGGATCGGACTTGCAGTTGCCCCGAGCTGCATTAAATCTGCCAGCAAAATACTACTGGTCGAGAACCCGAGGCACGAATGGAACGAAGGCATTGAGAGGGCCAGAGGCTGATATCTTCATCACAGCCAATCCCGATGGTTGAATTAGGGTTTCCCGCTACTGACCAATTGGGCTAGGCAGCCACACCCAGGCGTGAGTCACATGACTCGCTTCCCAATCCGGAGCCGCCGACATCAGATGAATGTGGTTTTGATATTGGTGAAGTAGTCACTGAGAGCTAGCTAAAATACGCAGAAAATCGCAGGATAGATTTCAAGCCTGAATTACGAGGTGTTTCAAACTCCTATGCATCTCGCGTCTAGCCCGTGGATCTCTGGTACTCCGTTTGGAGGGCATTGATTTGGGAAACATATTGAACACTATCCCACACACTTCTAGGCACTTTGGTCGGTAATTTATGGCCCATCAGGGACAAATCGATAAGCCACATCCCAACGACAAACTCTTCCCGCGACAACATCCCGAGAGCATCGTGGCTAACCAGGTTCCAAATCTCCTCTAGCTTGGGACGTGGCAGCCGAGAACGAGACCAGATATCGTCAACAACAATGTTAAAGACCAGGTCCTCAAATGAAACCGATTTCCGAATTCGTCGTTCCTCGATATCGGGAACATCCATGAGGCCAAACCGAGCGATGCCCTTATTTGCCGCCCAAACTCCTTCATATGTCTTTCGGTCCTTGTCAGTGATTTGATCTGGCCGCCGTTTTTGGTTGCCTTTGTCAAATATGTAGGGACGGGGATCAATGGTAACGCGTTTTGGGGACTTTCTCCGCGGCGCATCGCTGTCGGATTTGGTCTCGTCACGTAAAGTCTTCTTCAGACCCTTACTCGGGCTTGGGGTTCTTGATTTATTCCTATCAGCGTGTGGTGCTTGCAACAACAAATTAGAACGAGGCTGACTGCGCCTTGGAGGTGGAGGCGGCGGTTTGGACTCCATCTTCGACGGAGATGCGGCCCGCGATGATGCTAATGAGGAGGCCGCAATAGCGTCCGCTAAAGAGCTTTCGGACCTGCTAGTGTGCTGCGGGAGTAAAGTAGGCTTGCTTGTGGAGCGTCTTAGAATTTCAGGTTGACGATGTGAATCGAGCCGTAACCGTCGCGCAGCATCCGCAGATATTGTTGCTGATTTGGGCGGAACCCGAGGCGCTTCCTTTTTCCTCGGGGGCAGTGCAGGAGGCCCTTTCGGGGAATTCTTGTCCATGGATGAAATAGTGTCAGGTTTCCCTATGACATCGAGTCCCGCGTCTGTAAAAGTCTCTTTTGACAACAGCTTGATATTCTCACGAGTGGTGGATAAAGATGTGGTCTGGTCGTTTGGGTGAGTGGCTGTGGAGTGTAGAGCCGAGTGAGAGCTGTGACCCTTGACTCGCTGGGATTCATATATTCCGGTAACCATGGGTGTTGGCAGCTTTGTTCCCCGGTTCAACGAGGTCTGTACCGCGGATCTCTCTACCGCAAGCTTGGCAGCAATATGCTGAGGATATTCCATTTGAGTTGAGTTTCCTGGAGTCACAGTCGGAGATTCCAAAGTTCCAGTTGCACCAGAGGAAAATTGCTTAACCCTGGACCTCACCGACTCCGTTGATTGGGAGACATCGTGACACTTGTGCTCGTTTGTGGACTCAGCATTCTTGCTTTGAATTCCGCTGTTTAGAATTGCTGTGGCTTTGCCAGCTTGTGACGGAAAGACAACCATTGCCCCACGCAAAGCATCTAAGCTAGCATCCGTCCTATCTCCCTGGAAGGTCCCACGGTACAGAGAGCCCCCGTTCCGTTCATTTTTTGGCATGGAATCGTGGTTGGTGTATCTCAGAGTTTGAAAAAGCTATTGTGGGTCCAATCGATTGGGTGAAAGTGTCAAGCATTCTCTGAAGGGTGTGGCATCTTGGATTAGAGGGTGAATATCCAAATGATTTATGACTTTTTGATGTGACGAGCGATGGCAGTAAGCAATAGGGGCAATGGATTTGGAGGCCTGCGCTTTGGTGTTGCATCACCAACCTTTGCTCACAAGTTTAATTGGTTCATACCATAGGTTTAGTCAGCCTGATGTGCCAAGCCACTCCAAGGAGCATCCTGAGCTCCAACTCATGTTCTTGAATATCTACTCCGTATTTTATGAGCAAAATCTCATTGTTCTATGGAGGGCTCTTACAGTATTTTAATGGAGTCTTTGTTTTTCAGACAAAAACCACTTCTCTCAATCAATTGGATGCCAAGCCACTAACAGCGCTTATTCTACCGGGGCTGTGACATCAGAGCACGTGACTAGGCGTTTACGAAGTCGCGTTCTGCTGCCTGGAGCTGGACGTCGTGTCGTGGAGAAGGTGAAGAAGAGCAAGAGGAGGGACCTGGGATTACAATTGCTGTGAATTGATATTTTATCGACGGGCTAGCAAAACCTTTACCAAGACACGCGTGGATAAACATTTAGTTTTTCAAGGTAGCAAGCGGCGATGGACGGTCTCAACGGTCCCAAAGGAGAAACTGAGCAGGAGCTCGACGAGAAGTATGTCGGCGAATCTCATCATCGGTAGCTTGATTAACGTTGTGATAGATATCCTAACCGTCCGCGGAACCACCATCCCACTCTTCCCTTTCATGATTTGTTTCTTGATCTTTTCAACCCCTTAAATGAAAACAAGAAAAGGCCAGCGGGGTCAACTGTCGCCCGTAGAAAGCTCGGGCCACATGGGGGACAGCAAACCCTTTCTCCGCAGGAATTGCGGCGAGATATCATTCAACGTTTCATTTCAAAATGGAGAAATGAGGTGGGCGATGACATCTACCCAGCTTTTCGATTGATCATCCCTGAGAAAGATCGGGACCGTGCAATGTATGGCTTGAAAGAAAAGACAATTGGAAAACTGCTGGTCAAGATAATGAAAATTGATAAAAACTCCGAGGATGGCTTCAACCTCTTGAATTGGAAGCTCCCAGGGCAGAGCATGGCTAGTCGAATGGCGGGCGATTTCGCTGGACGTTGTTACGAGGTAATTTCAAAGCGGCCTATGAGAACGGAGGTTGGCAACATGACTGTCCAGGAAGTCAACGAGAAGCTAGACTTATTAGCTGCTGCCAACAAGGAAGACGAGCAGCTACCTATCCTTGAAGACTTCTACAGGAAAATGAACCCTGAGGAACTGTTATGGCTCATCAGGATTATTTTGCGCCAAATGAAAGTTGGCGCCACCGAACGTACGTTTTTCGAGATCTGGCACCCAGATGCAGAGACTCTATTTAGCATATCGAGCAGCCTTCGGCGGGTTTGCTGGGAATTATACAACCCAAACGTCCGCTTGGAGGATGAAGAGACTGGGGTAACCCTTATGCAATGCTTTCAGCCGCAATTAGCACAGTTTCAGATGCATTCGTTCCAACGAATGATTGAGAAAATGAGGCTGTCACCAGAAGATCCTTCGTTTTGGATTGAAGAAAAGATGGATGGGGAGAGAATGCAGCTTCACATGATGTCTGATGATTCCATTACCGGCGGGAAAAGATTTAAATTTTGGTCACGCAAAGCCAAGGACTACACTTACCTATATGGAAATGGTTTTTATGATGAGAATGGCGCATTGACCCGCCATCTTAAGGATGCTTTCGCAGATGGGGTCCAGAACATCATTCTTGACGGAGAAATGATCACTTGGGACCCAGAACAAGACGCCCCGGTTCCTTTTGGCACGCTTAAGACTGCTGCACTATCAGAGCAACGGAATCCTTTCTCCGCCACAGGCCAAAGGCCACTATTTCGCGCTTTTGATATTCTATATCTTAATGATAAGGCGTTAACTAGATACACATTACGGGATAGAAGGAAGGCTTTAGAGGCTAGCATTAAGCCCGTGCATCGTCGCTTCGAAATTCATACCTACGAGGTCGGTTATTCTGCTGCCCATATCGAGCCTCAACTTCGTAAGGTTGTGGCCGAAGCTTCTGAAGGGCTTGTTCTCAAGAATCCCGACTCACCCTATCGACTGAATGAACGCCATGATGATTGGATGAAAGTGAAGCCTGAATATATGACCGAATTTGGTGAATCCCTTGATTGCGTGGTGATCGGTGGATACTACGGTTCAGGGAAGAGGGGTGGTGCATTAGCAACCTTTCTCTGTGGGCTGAGGGTTGATGAAGCTCAAATTCGACAAGGCGCTAATCCGATGAAATGCTACTCATTTTGCAAGGTCGGTGGAGGGTTTACTGCTGCCGACTATGCGAATGTTCGTCATCATACCGATAGTAAATGGAAGGACTGGGACCCCAAGAAGCCGCCAACAGAATTTATTGAATTGGCTGGTGGCGACGCACAATACGAACGTCCCGATGTTTGGATTAGACCCGATGAGTCTGTCGTACTATGCGTGAAAGCATCCTCCGTAACCCCCAGTGACCAATTTCGATTGGGCTTAACTGTCCGCTTCCCACGGTTCAAGAGGTTGCGAATGGATAAAACTTGGGAAAGCGCACTGTCGATCCAGGAGTTTATGGATTTAAAGTCCAATGCTGAACGGGAACAGAAGGAGAAAGAATTCAAAATTGATAACTCCCGGAAAAGAAAGCCTAAGAGAACAACAAAGAAACCCCTTACCATTGCGGGATATGATGAAAACAAAAAAGCTGAGTTCGACGGTCCGTCGGGACGTGTATTTGAAGGAATGAACTTCTGTGAGTTCTACCAGTATCTGATCAAATATTCACGTCTAAAAGTGATTCTCTAGTCGTTATGACCGATGCGCTTGAACCAGAAAAGAAATCTAAACTTGAGCTGGAAAAATTGATAAAAGCAAATGGTGGCAAGATCTACCAGACGAACACAGCAGCATCAAATACAATTTGCATTGCGGAGCGAAGTACTTTGCGGCATCCCAAAGCTCCTACGGACCAATTCTGACAAGACACATAGGGACCGTGAAGGTGGCTTCGATACAAAAAGCGGCGAAAGAAAACATCGTTCGACCTTCGTGGCTACTTGATTGCATTAAGCAGAATGAAGCTGACCTGGGCCTGCCGGATCTATTACTCCCATTGGAGCCAAGGTTTGATAGAAGCATGCCCCGAATACTCTCCGGACTCAGGCTTCTAACTTGTCTCGTGTCACAGACATATGTATTTCACCGTGAAGGGCCAGGAGCAGGAGATTTCCTCAAACGTCGACCAATATTCAGACAGCTACGTACGAGATACCACAACGAAGGAGCTTACCAAGGTAAATTAGATATATTCCCTCAAGGGCGTTGAAACCATCTATCTGACCTCTTAATAGCTCCTCGCCTCTATGCCCGCCATCTCAAATCTTTCGGCATCCCGCATCTCGAAAATCGAGGACCAGATGCAATCCCGACACGAACAAGAAGGCACGTTTCACGACTTGCCCGGCTGGCTCTTTAAAAACCAAGTATTATACTTTTCACAATCTAGATCCAGCTCAGATTCCAAGGTATCATCCTCCCGCCTTGCATCCAATATCGCTAGATTTGCGGGCGCGTCACTGGTGTCTAAACCGGATGATAAACGTGTTACGCACATTATCCTTGACAAGGATAGCAGGTCGGCCGACGTCTCTGCTTTGCGATCCAGTATATCAAAACGTGTGGGTGCAGGTAGGATACCGCACATTGTGACTGTTGAATGGATAAATGAAAGCTGGAAGGCGAAAACGTTACTGGATGAAGAACGTATGTATTTTCATGATTTTTATTGCCCTGGACCCATATTCCGGAGGGGATCTCAACTGTTGACCTGTATTTCTAATCTGACATTACTCAGGGTTTTTTCCAATGTTGAAGGCCTAGCCCTTGCACTTGTCGACTACTTCATATTTCCTTCTAGAGCTTTTGAAGGGGGTCCATTTTGAATTCCGGTAAGCACATGCTTTTATCTGCGTTGAAAATTATAGCAAAGTGTGTATTGACGCGTTCTATCGTAGTCATATATCCGTCTCATAGGTTTTTCATAGTTGGGATTCAAAAAAAAGCCAATTAGTTCTATTGGTGCTATTGCTATAATTGACCCGCATTCAACCTGAAGATTTCGTATTTTGCTCAATACTATTACAAGTTTGACCGCCCCACCGCCGCAGCAAACGCTGTAATTCCCACAATTCGTCTTTTGATTGAGATACAGCACGTTTCGGCATTACCCGGTCAAGAGCCTGGATGAGTTTCAATTTTGGGACCATATAAACGCAGCCTGCCCTTTCGTCATAAAGATAGATTAGGAGCCCGGTTTGCGGTTCCCTAGTCACAATCAATTTGCTCGATGATGTGAGCCTTGGTTTATCGCTCACGGGGACGCAGCGTACTGTGCCATCTTCAGCCGAAGACGGGACGCAGACTCTCCTTGGAAGCCGACCGTGCTCAGGTCGTAACGGAAGACCAGCGCGGTTCTTAATCGATAGATGGGCGGGTGTATTCTTTCTCTTCTTCGAATTATTTAATAACGCAAGCCGCAGAAGGTCGTGGCGTTGTCGCCGTCGTTGTTTATGTGTGCGACGGTCTGTATTTCTTTCTGCCCTGCTCTCTTTGAAAATTTTCAGGATTATACGTAACAGCTCAGGGACGACGTTCAACCATTTCCCGCATCTAGCCCAACCTAACCTCGTCCTCAAATCCCGACCCGACGCCCCAGAATCATCTCCAACTGCTCGCTCCTTGGCCTTTCCTTCGCCATTGCTCCTCCTTTCGTTTTCCTCTTGGCACTTCCCGGCGAAGGAAATCGTGCTCCCTGCGGATTCAAGGGTCCGTTGGTTAGGTGCTTGATTTGGCCCGACTGAAGTCGTTTGTGGCATGGATGGCTTCGGCAACGGCGTTGTGCGCTTCCTCTTGCTCCCCGAAGAAGCATTAGAGTCGAATCGGAGCGGGCCGTCACGGACTATGCGTTCACAACTTTGAACTGGTGACGGTGTTGGCTGTGGCCATGGAAGGAAGGAATCCATCTCCTATGAAGAGTTGGACACATTCATTAATAATACTCGTGTGTCAACCCTACCAACGAAAGTGCCGGCCAACAAAGGTGCCACGCAGAAACTGGATTTTATTATAACGTTTACCCTATGGTCGATTGTCAGGGCTTATCAAAGAAAAAAAGGTCAACAAAGCTAGAAATCTCGTTGCCTGAGAAATCTTGGTCGAGTAATTTCTCGCAATAATCAAGATGGAAACGAGGAAAAGCGTTGAAGAATCTACGGGGCGGGGTCTCCCGTTTTAATTGCACTGCTATCGAGTCATCACCAATGTCCGGAAGGAACAGCCTACGTGAAAATGACGACTTGAGTTTCAGCTCATTCAGAACGCCGGTAGAATGCATGTCTGCCTCTTTGTTGTTACCATGGCACCTGTGAGGGCCATGTATGCATTGGATGGATGGATGCTGGGTCTCATGAATTCTAGGACGGTGCAAACATGGATCGCTCCTGTATCATCGTATGGCTAACGCCATTATACTGTACAGGCTTTAGGCATCCACGAACTGATTTACCTCAGGCAACTTTGACTCTGGACCTCAGCTGTCAACGGCGTCATTGATTAAGCGGGATTGATTGGAAGTGGTAGCTCCCTCCTGAACGCGCAGGAAAGGGGCTAGATGTGAAGGCCCCAAGATCCAGGCAGGAAGATTACTGCAATACTGTCATGGGTGCCGCTTGCCACTTGGTCGAACGGGATTCGAGCCTAAACCTCCGCCTGCCCTTCCGTCTTTCAACCTCATGCTGCGATCTTTCTTTCTCTGTTCTGGTTTTCCCCGTTGGCGGTGGCGCTTGGATAGCCCTTTCCACGCGGAATCCAAATCGTGTCATCGCAGAGGTCACTTGGTCAGCAGTTGTGAAAGCGAATAAGCTCAACTCGCCTTCGAATCGATAGAGTTAGGTCAATGGCGGCAACCGGGTTCACTTTTTAAATTCCTAGTTCCTTCGATAGTTTCGACTCATACTGTTTTAGTAACCAAAGTGTCGGCTGCAACAGCCTAAAGTGGATGTCAGAATCATACAGAGTGTAAACACTACCTTATCAAAGGTCTGGTTGAGTTGGTGTAGTTTTGCGAATATCGGAGCCCTGGAAAAGGGGCATGTCTGGCTGACTGTATCCATTGTCGTGAGAGGTGCAAACTAGGCAAACCTGCAAACAAGACAAACATGACCCTCGCAGCGTCAGTTTTTGGTCAGAGACGACGCTGAGCATGAACTGCGAGATCTCACCACTCAAACTCTGGCTCTCACCATTACCCATCGATTTGAAATGGCTAGATATAATAGGAAAATCCTTTCTGCATCCTGATCCTACCTCGATAATGCAGCTCCGCCTACCCTTCCTCGCTTGTCCACCCTTTCGCTGCCTTAAATCATGAACACATACCATCGACACCCTTTGTCTTACTCGGTTCAAAGCTCCGGCGGACACTACATTCATGATGATCTTGGCTCTCGATGGATGCCCTATGTATCGGCGATAGCATACACTTTCGCATCTTCGGTCCTCCTGTACTTCCTGTTGATACACCTCCATGTCCTACCACCGATTCCATTCTCCACACTAGCTTGGAAGCTCCTCGTGATGCTTTCTCCGTCGCCGCTTGTTTTCGCGCTAGATAAGGATATAACGGAAGGAACCACCACAAAAGATGGCCCAGTACTCCACAACTCTGTCGGTACGGCAGCAAAGGAAGAAGCGTTGCGGAGAATTTTCCGTTTCAGTCGAATACCGTTCTTTTCCCAGGGCCCCGGGCAACGAAACTCGAGTTCTTCGTTTCCGAAGTCAACGGTGGTGGCGCCTCCAGGGCTAGGGAATTTCAATAACTCTTGCTATCAGAACAGTGTTATTCAGGGATTAGCGTCACTTCGACAGCTTAGTGCCTTTTTGAACAACAGCCTTGAATCATTCGGGCATGCGCGGGAGATGTCAACGCATGTATCCCTGAAAGCCACAATCATTCAGCTCAATGATCTTTCGAATACAGGTCGCAGACTGTGGTTACCAGGGGAACTCAAGTCGATGAGCAGCTGGCAGCAACAAGACGCTCAAGAATACTATTCAAAGGTCATCGAGCAGATTGACAAAGAAATAAGTCAAGCCTCGAAATTGAAAGCTATGGACGACGGGTTTAAGTCTGGTATAACGTCCGACCAAAAGACACAGGCAGCGCCCACTGGTTCCCAGGGGTGTGACATTCTAAAAAGATTTGGCTTTGTGGATTTGGTCGGCCCTTTTGATAACCCCCTCGAAGGACTAACTGTGCAACGGGTCGGGTGTATGACTTGCGGTTACTGCGAAGGACTATCCCTGATCCCTTTTACATGCCTTACGGTTCCGCTGTCCCAGCGAATGGAATATGATGTACGGGACTGTTTAGACGATTATACTGCGCTAGAGCCCATTGAAGGGGTAGAATGCACCAAATGCACCGTATTACGCGTTGAATCCGGCCTGGTCGAATTCTTAGACAAACTGGAAGCCCAAGATTGTATTCAGCTTGAGCCGAGTGAAAAGGCACAGAAGGAAGCCTTGAGAAAAATGACAGAATCTAGATTGCATGCCGTTCGAGGGGTCCTTTCCCAGGAAGACTTTTCAGAAAAAACTCTTCTTGAAAAATGCCGTCTCAACCCGAAGAATCGCGTTTCCTCTACAAAGTCGAGGCAGTCTGTCATTGCAAGGGCGCCCAAATCGCTAGCCATCCACATAAATCGAAGCGTGTTTGATGAATTAACCGGAGTTTTGAGGAAGAACTATGCCAAAGTCATCTTCCCAGATATTTTGGATTTAGACGAATGGTGTTTGGGCAGCAAGCAAAGTAAGAAAGAAGACGATGATTTGACGGAAAATTGGGAAGCAGATCCTACCAAATCTATGCTATCATCCCCAAACTCCACGTTCCAATCCCTTAATAGGAGATACGAATTGCGGGCTGTTATTACGCATTTTGGACGACACGACGATGGGCATTATATCTGTTATAGAAAGATTTCATTCGAATCTCCTCGCCCCACATCCCTAGTTGAGCATGGCTTGGATGGGAACGAACGGAAAAATGATCAATGGTTTGAACTGAGCGATGCAGACGTCACGCCAGTTAGCAAGAATCATGTCTTGTCGCAAGGTGGAGTATTCATGCTGTTCTATGAGTTGATAGAAGGCACCCCTGAAGAGGCCTCCGAAGAGTCCTCCGGTATCTCTTCCAAACAATCTGAAATTACACTGGAAACCTCCTCTGAAATGCCGGTTGATATCCCAGATTGAGGATGGCCAGCGCCAACTTTTCATTATGAAATGCTACGAACATTGTTGTAGGATTTTACTTAAGAGATTATTTCCTACATCCTATCAGTGTCGCCGCTCCTGTTTCAACTGGGAGCTCCTTCTATCATTAAAGACCTTCCCAGCGTGGGCTACAAGCCAAGTCAAGCCCCATGCGGGTTCGGAAGGCCTAGACGATATGGTCATCGTCCCGTCCCGAGATCATCCTGCTCCCCATGGAGCCTGAAGCATCCACCCTTTGTGGGTGAGCTTCTTCTTCATTAAATACATGTACTGTACACGTTCCTGTAACTATCAGGTTTAGTGGAATAGACGCGCTGTCTAGAAAGCATAATGCATTCTTTTCCCTGATCGCCACGCTGAAAGGAGACGTCACCGCTTGTCTGGTCCAAGAAATTCTGATAGAGATAGAAAGAAAGTGAACGGTACGGTTGAGTTCAAGTGAACTAAGCCAAGACAGAAGGGAATTGTGGTCATTTGTACCATGGTTCAAGAACCCACGAGGGCCTAAGGCAACCATTCTTCACCGCAAATCTAGGATAATTTGAGCATCGGCATGTTGCCTTGCGAAAGTTGGACAATATCAATACACTAGCAATAGTGTCGACACAGCTACTCGCAACGGGCGCGGTCGCTGTGTGAATGCTTTTTTCACGTCTATACTGTTCGATTCCCCACGAAACGGCTTTCATCTGGGGAGTTTCTGGGGAACAGAATAAGCATGGAGCCCCCTGAAACCTTAACCTTACTCAGAAGCTTCTTTTGTTTTGGCTCCGGATACCAACGACGACGCATGCCCGCTGTCCACTAAACCAAGCCACTTGGCGGCATCCCTTGCTTTGCGTCCTGCGATTGTGGCAGGCCTAGCCTGGTCGCAAGTCTATGACAGCATTTGTGGAATCGGTTGGAAAGCGCCTCGACCTGGTGAGTTAGTTGCGACCTGGCGCTCTGGCCCGATCAGGCGCGTTTCCTTCCGTTCCGGCTCTCGGTTTGCTGGTTTTCCCATTCTCTGTTTACTCTCCTAGCGCCTAGTCTCAAATTTTGCGAGTGATATGCGGCGGGCTCTCAGCGTCTGGAGAGGGCCTTGGAGATGCACTCGTTTAAGGAAAAAGCCCGGAAGATCGAGAGGATATCGTCCCTTTTGAATACTGCTTTAAACATCGACTCTGAAAGGCCGATTGGCCTAAAGCTACGAGCTTATGGGCTGCCTATTGGATAGCTTAGAGGGGGGAGGCGAGGTGGGAAGTCGCGGCTCGAGGCATACGGCATCGAGGGTCCCAAACGCAAGCGCGGACATCCCGTTTTTTGCCCCTTCTTCGACATCTATCCAACTGCACCTTATCCCGTGGTTCTCTTGGGGAATCTATGACTTCAGGGCATAGAGGCTCCTACCTTTCTACGGCACGAAACATCCTCCTGTCCATGGATTGAATTCCTATGACTCCCCGGGAGCTTCGGCTCTGGCTGCACACTACTCTACGAGAGGGCATAAATATGGCCTTCTCTCCGGGCTATCTCCCTCTTTCTTTTCGTTTTTCCTCTCACCAAAAACTCACATCCCGAACAAACGTCCTACCCTACAGCCAATTGATCTTTTTACAAACCTCCTTTCAGATGTAGCCAACACATTCTCGGCTGTCTTCTTTTATATAAACCCTCTCTACACGAAGAAGCTAGCCGTTTAGCTTGCTTTGATATATCACTCCGCTCTAAGAAACCAAGACCTTTCGGTTTCTTTAGAATTAAACGAACAATTCTTTATTTTTTATTTTTAAAAAGATATAAACAAAAAGCATTTCATCATGGTTTCATTCCCGGTGAATGCTTTCAACCCCCGAGGCGTCGACGAGATGCTTTGCACCGGCCCCCCTGACGGGTATTACGCCGTCGAAACCGGAATGGGTGCCGCTTCGGCCGCTGGCTGGCCAGAACAGCCAGAGCAACACGACGATTCGGAGCAGGCAAGCAAATTGCCGCCATCGGAGCAGGTAGAAATCCATCCCCATCACCACTTTGGTCCTAGTTCACTAACGTTCTGAATAGGCTGAAGAAAGCCTGCAGGATGAAGACGAGGAGAAGGTCGAGAAGCGCCGCAGAAATGCAGCGGCAGCAAGAAAGTCTCGGCAGAAGAGGAAGGAAGAGGTGGAAAGCTTGCGAGCAGAGCTGGAGCAGACCCGGGCGCGGAACCGGGAGCTTGAAAATTTCCTCGGCCAGTTCCATGCGGCTGTGTCAGACAATTTTGGCAATGACTCTGACCTAGCAAAAGCCGTCATAAGCCAATACTGGCAAGGGCTGATGCCTCTATTAAGGAAATAAAAAAAAATAAAAAAATAACAAAAAAAAAAAATCAAAAGAAGGGCGGGTGCAGGACGACGCCTGAGACTGGGAACGGTTTTGCATATTATGTTTACATTCCTCTATTTGCGACAAGGTTTTTGATTCCTAAATATTTGGACTACTTATCATCCGGTCCATTAATTATAATACATTACATTTATATTTTGGCATATCATCCCTTTCTCCTGTCTTCTCCCTATACCTGTAAAATCCCCCCTTAACACTATCTATCCTCTTTTTCTTTCCTTTGCTTCCTTGCTAGTCACCCTAAGAGGTTGATCCTGCGGTAACACAACTCTGCATGCCACTGATGGCACTTCAACAGGGATCCATATCTGAAATCGTAAAATCAACAGTGGACAGCAATTGCGCCACAGCCTGTTCTCACTACAAGTAGTCAGCGGTAACTGTTGAACTAGAAGTTTGGAGGTTCACAAACAGAGCTTTTGCCTTTGAAGGCCGTTGGGTGGATATCTCAGAACCGCCAACAATGACAATAGCAGATGTGATGTTATGATGACAAGCCAGCTAGGCATCATCCACCAGGTTCCTAGCTCTTTATCTCTTTTGGATACAGCAGGGCATAAGGGGGTAAATTGGCAAACTGTTCGTAAAACATGCATTACGCTGTTCCTGTAAGCACATATGCTCATGGATATTGGGCTTGCACAAAGCCTTTGTCGATGCAGTTCTCTTTGTATCGGCCAGGGGATGGACAGCATAGAGACCATTGTTGCCGATAATCTCTGGCACCTCCAGCTTGTAAAGAGCATTTTTGCGTGAACGTGTAACGAGATACGGCACTTGCCAAATTAGGTAATCGTATAAACAAACGCAACTTGCTTTGCTCTGTGATAAAGATTCGTCTTCACCTGTCGTCTTCATCTTCTGTTTCCCTTTTTCTGATTATGCCTTTTGGGTACTGCTCATGATACTGTCTAGAGCTCTGGCCGTGGCATAGGGTTAAACTTATGGCATCAGAGCAACCGAGGGACAATATGTCGCAGGTTGAGTCCGTCCGTTTGGAGGGCAATTGGGATGGAGGTGCAAATAGCAGCGTTTTATTGCACTTGACAATGAAGGTCAGTCTGAGCGTCTGCTCACTTTCAACCACGATCTAACCCAGAAATCAGTTGAAGGCGAGCCCCAACGCGACGATCCCAATTTTCCAATTGGATGATGGCCTTCAAGCGAATATCATAGAGGATCGAGTATATCAAACGGAAGATAAAGACTTGGAGACATTCAGTACCTTTGGAAATTTGAGTCCATCCATTTGCCAGTTGGCACAGCGAGATAGGCAAAGCGGAAGTGATAATCTCCGAAGTCCTAGTCCCAGTACTCATGAGACACCAAGACGACTATACCGAAATGGAATGCAATTATCTCCTTCCCCAACGAAAGAAAGATTGTTCCCACCTAGTCCTGCTACTAGCAGTGGAAGTGTGAGCTTAGATCAGGATCCTAAATACGACATGACAAACCGAGTGCCAGATTTGCGACAGTGCACGGAACTCGTGGATGGAGGGAAGGCTCACAAAGTTCATGAAGAGTTGCATGATCCAGATATTGATCGAAGCCAAGGAGCTGCTGCTGGCAAGGAAAATGCTTCACCAGAAATCAATGCTGACTGTATGGGCACTTTCCACCGTCGGGAAGCGTCAGGGATGACCGCCATTCATTGGACCCCCAAGCGTCAAAACAAGTCTACCCAAGATAGTTATGGAGCCGGACGACAAATACTCGTGTCACCGTCACCGCGAGCTTCTGGCATCAATATCCCAAAAAGGGGCGCTAAGAGCATGATTCCGGTGAAATCCCAAGCCTTTGCACAAGAAGATATGCATTCCAAAGGGGTATATATGGCAAATAACAGTGTGGAAGGTCCGGAAACTCCGTGGCAGGGGGAAGCAACACGCAAAAACGGAGAATTTGGCAACGCCCGATACGCTCAGACTATCCATTCCGCCGGTGCAAAGTTGCCAAACCTTGCGTATAAATCTGGCTTTTCGCCAGTGAAGGGGAATAAAACTCCAATTGCAAATTTTGGAGAGCAAAGAACAAGCGTGAAATCAGGAATCAACAAGAGCTCGCCTTCACCAAGTAGGCCAACTTACCGAAGAGGGTTCATGAATAGCCCCATGATGTCCCCAGGTAAGTGGGATCGGATTCTTATAAGCACAAACGCCAACATGCTAATGCCTGCCGATGTGTAGGGAAGAATATAGAGAGAGCGAAGGAGAACAATCTTTTGTTAAATATCGAGTCGGACTCGGAGCCAGATGTTTTCTACGAGCATCGACCGCCGTCAGATTTTTTATCTTCGTGGCTTTATGAAAGATCACTGGACACTGGCAGCACCCTGGCGGAAGTGCCTAAAAATAACCATCCACAGAGTGAACCTAGAAAATCGACGATGATCTTTCAACGTGACGAATGGCAGCTGGAGCGAGGAGACTCAAAGAGTCCTCTGTTGTCTGATCGCATCTCTCTCCCAAGTCCGACACCATCTTCCAAATTAAGCATGCCATGGAATTCAGCAGAAGAGCTAGCAGAGCGAAAAGCAGAGTATTGTTCGCTGCTAGATCTGGAGAATATCGAATATCACCCAGCTGAACCACTGAAACCAGAGATCGTGAACGTCGAAGGGGTCTTGTCAATGGTATTTCTCCATGACACAGTTAGCGAAACCGTTATATACGAAGCGGAGATCGAGGTTTTGGAGCACGTTTCTGAGAACCACATAGCAGCGCAGAACGTATCTGCAAAACCGGAGGTTGAGCCGGGTGCTGCGGTCAAATGGCAGGTCGAGTTTACACCGTCACGGTGCATTCCAAAATTGTCGTTGTTATCGAGCCATAGCAAACATAAGACAAAGTTTTGCCGCTGGTTGCACCTAGGACCGGTGAGATTGGATCTCGGCATCACTCAAAACAGCGGATGCATGGGCGTTTGCGAGTGTTGCGGGGGTCAAGATGAAATTGTTGACGGAGAAGATGACCTGAAGCTTTTGTTACACCAATTTGCATCATATCGGTGGCTGCTGATCGCGCTCGAAGGCATTGCGAACCAACTTGAGAGGATAAAGGAGTCAATTTCGGTTTTCCACCCAGCAAAAGCAATGAGCCGCCCGAAAAGAGTGCTCTCATACGGATTCCTGGTTCTGGTAATTGCTATCATCGGGGGTTTCTTCATCATTCCCATAGAAAATGGGGCTCACTATGGCCTTGATAAAAGGAGCAATACAGATATTACGTGTCTGCCGGGTGCAGTTGGATGCCATATCCCTCCACGCCACATCAGGATGATCGCAGCTGGAAGATCGCCAACGTCCAGTGAAAGTCTCGCCCAGAGCGCTCAGCAAGTGCAGCAAAGACCAAAGTTAAACGACGAATCAAACCAAAACCAGGACACAGCAGTGAGTGCTAGCTTTGTAGTTCCACGAACAGCGACAACGCCAGCATCAACGACAGACACTCGAAACGACCTGGCTCAGGGAGGGAGCGGATCGTCCCACGCTAATGCAGTTTTAGAGACTGGAAGCCTTGCTCCTGTCATATCAGCCACAAAAATTCCACTGCCAACTGCAACATTTGAATCCCGACCAGGGCGAAAAGTCAAAACGGCATCGAAGGACTGTGTGAGGGATCGGATTGATCGGTTTCTTGGTTGGAAAGGCCCTCTTATGCATTGAAAGGTTGTGAGAAACATGTGTCTGTAACCAAGCTCAGAAGAGTGAAACTCGTTGGGAGGTCATTGTCATAACTCTGAAAAATAATATCCAAGTCTGCATGACCAAAAAGGAATCAATCTGTGCTTCCTGCGTACTTATTTAGTTAAGTTAGTTAACGCTGGAAGCCATGAAAACATTAGCACTTTTCTTCTATAAACTTCTCTTCTCCCTTTGAGCTGATGAAAGCTTCTCAGTGCGAGCTAAAAAGAGTTAAGGCTCGGTTGCCATCACATGACACACGCGCTTTTCCGCGACTTCATCCCGAACCTCCCGTGTTCCTGCAAAGAGAAACTGTTGTTTCGGTGGCTTTTCCTCATTCCACCAGCACTCGTTTTCCCCTCCTTGTTGTTACTGGACGCGTTCATAGTTCTCAGTCAATGTAGCTATGCGTCCCCACTGTTGATAATGAATGGTTATCGACTATTTACATTCCTTAGGACTTTTGCTTGTCAGTATACCTGCTTGTTGGAATCAGACAGTCAGCTTTCTCTGTACAACGCGTCCCAGCAGGAAGTTTTGAATTCAGAATAATTTTTTAGTAGAAACTTGGAGATAGGCTTGTTTGATCCCAGCAGTAAGTCTAATTGCTAACTTCAGACCTCATGCGCGACCGTTTTTCCCCTCTGATGTTCCCGCACTGGTCGATTTGCGTGATATCACGCCATTGGGGATAAGCTAACCTTTTGCTCGTCAATGTGCCACTGTGTCTAGGTTTCCAGAGCACCTCTCAATAGCAACCCTCTAGCGATCAATAACACTACTGCTTGTGTGAAGTATTGAAAGTACAAGAAGCAAGAAGGGATTCAAGACACATTTTGAAGCAATTGGCCGTCCTAATTAATGGGAACAGGAGACAAAAGTTTGCAGTCATGGGGGCCAATTCTATCAACGAACAGATTTTATTGTCTAAACGAGCTGCTGTCCATGCATCGAGGGGGCAAAAACATCACTCAAGCACCCCCAGAATAAAGGCTGAGAGGGATGCCGATCATTCAGCGGGAATATCTCGGTTTTCAGCGTCGCAATCGAATGCCAAAGACTTTTCGGATGAAGCAGCCGGTATATTGGGCATGAAACAAAACCATCCACGTGTAAAGTCTTTTACTGCGGAGATTGATGGCTTGCTTGCAGAAGAGAAGGCAGCTGCAACATCTATTGATAAGGGGAATATTTCTCTGACTGACCCCAGCGCCAAAGCTAGTGGAGGAAACATACCTTTTGAGGAGGCGTGTAGGCCTAGTACAACACACAAGCAATTCACTGGAGGAAACAATTCGCCCTCACAGCACTCCTTTGCAAAACCTTTTGAAACAATGTCGACCGCGTCTCAAAATCATTTGGAGGCGCCACATGAAGAAGCCTCTGTCATGTTTGCAAAGGAAAATCCGCTCCATGGCATAGGCGTAGAGCAAACCATTCAGCATCCGGATATAAATCTCAAGGAGCCATCAAAGAGAATACCAGTGGGGCCAAAAAATAGTACTCCCTCATACAGAGGGGTGCCCAATCCGAAGCAAGCAGAAACCGGAGGAGTGAGGCCGTTGGCCCCTGTGGCTCCGAAATCGCCTGTTCCTGAGTTCGAGAATGAATTCCTACATCTGAAGCAAAATGAAGTTGAAGATCTTCGTGAATGGCTCGATTTCACTGGCTACTATGACGTGGAATATCGTTCTAAGAGCTTACGTCGCCGCAGGCGTCTGGCTGCCCTGGAGCAGGAGAGAATTGAGTTAATGGAAGAAGAACAGTATGAACGTGAAACACTGGGAAAGCGCGGTGATGCATCCTTTCTTCCAAAGCATAAAACAAGTGACGCTCGCCAGCAGACTGATAATGCGCATGTGACTTCTCATCCTGAATCACCTAATTCAATACCTCAGGGGCCGTTGCATATGTTAAGAAGTTCTGGAACTTTCAACACGGCAGCTTCTTCGAACTCCAACTCTGCAAGTACGAGGGATCAGGGCCCCGGCTCTCCCACTGGCCCGTTTGTACACCCATCGAGAGAGTCACAAATGAAGCGTTCTGCTTCCCTTACTCGTTCGCCTCAAGGGCAGTCAGCAAAGAAACCCCGGGTAGAAATCTGGGAGACAAATGCCGACCACCAAGGTTTGTTACTGGGACTATCTAATATTTCAGCTATTAATTCAGACTACTCAGGCATAGATGATGATACACGTACCCCGAAGGAATCGTGCCAAGATTTCCGCCGAGAAGATCGTAAGTGTTCATCGCGGAAATTTTGTATGGTCATAGAATCTGACAGATGGAATCCAGCCAATAGTACATCACACGGGCTGAACAGCCGGGGAGATGCACCAAGCTCTAGGGGTCATAAAATGGGCAGTCTCAGCCGCGGTCGTGGCATAACGCAACCTCGTGGCAGAGGTTCATCTAGATACTTCGATTTTGCCGCTAGGGAGCCCCCAAATAACGGTACGTGGTCACGAAGCACTATGTTCCGATATGTGACAGAATGTGATCAATTGGCTTTGGAAGTGGAAGGTAGCTACTATTTAAGCCCAAAATCCCAACTCGTCATGATTTCTAATTGGCGCTGCAGAAGCGAGATTCTTTATGATAAAGAGTCATACGCTTGAAACAGTGACAGCATCTCAAACAGAGGTGAGATTCCACTCTATTACTCATATCGCTTTACTGACAAGGCACAGGGTGCTTGGGTAACGCAAAGGAAGAATGTGGAAAAGTTGACGGATGCTTTCAATTCTTGCCGCCATGTCATTTTGTTCTTCTCTGTTAATCAAAGCAAGGCGTTCCAAGGCTATGTATGTGCTCATCGAGGTCCCATAGAAAGGCAGAGATGTTTTGCTAATTACGTTCTATCGGTTCTCAAGGCCCTCATGGAGAGTCTTCCAGGAGATCCAGGTGTCTCTGTGCCAAAACTGGCAGAAACTTATGAGTGGGAAGCCAGCCCGCCCTTCAAAGTCAGATGGCTCAACACAGCTGTGACCTACTTCAAAAACGTTTCTCACTTGACAAATGCCTACAATGAAAATGCAGTGGTCTTAGTTGGCCGTGATGGTCAGGAGATTGAGCCGCACTGTGGTCTCGAACTCTGTCAGGTTCTTGACCGGTTTACGCATATAAACCAATGAACTGGAACCGCATTCTGCGTGAGCTACCAGCTGCTACTCAGAAAATCCATCAAGTTATTTATGCCTGTTCCAGAGTGATTTTCTTCCAATCTTAATGCCGCGGACTTGGTATTTGTTACAGGTCCGCGGCGGAAGAATGGATTTAATATACAGGTTCCCGCCTCAAAGCAAGCCAGAACTATGCCATGTTGGTTGGTATCCTTCATTTGCTTGCGTTCAGTCTTTTCACAACGAGCTATTGCAACCAGTGATCATTGCAGCTTTACACAGACAGTGGTGTGAAAGTCAATATTTGCGCTCAAGCTCCTAAAGCCGTGGGATAGATAGAGCGTGTGGCTCCACCCTTTTTACGCATGCGCTGGTTTAAAATTCAATTGGACCAAGCAGTAAAATGGCAGAAGAAAGACAATAAAAAGAATTGAACTGTTTTTGGTGTTTCGACGAATTATTTTTTTGTTTTTTTTTGTTAACCTGAGTATCTATGTCCACTTCCTTGGGGTTCCTTGGTCGAAACACGATTATCTGTTTGCAATTGACGATCAATTATGTTCAAAAGAGAGGACTGTAAGAGTTGCACTATGTACAATAATATCAAATATCAAATCCGACATAACAAATAAGTGCAATTGATCTTGCAAGAAATCGAGGCCTGTGAGATCATAGGTCGCGGGACCTCCTATCTCCGGCGGTTATGTCCGACGCGCTCCATCAACGACACTTCATAAGCTCAACTTCCAAGACGACAAGCAAACACGACTATCTCTCTTTCTGACTGCGTATCTTTCTGGAAGCAAATACACGATAACTACTGTGTCGAGCATTGCATAGCCGGATAGAACCCACAATGGCCGAATCAGCCGTCCGCAAACAAGTCTACACAACGGATCACTCTAGTGCCGTTCTTCGAACGCACAGCTGGCGCACTCTAGCCAATTCCGCGGCATATGTTATCCCACATCTACGCCCCGGAATGACCGTTCTCGACGTTGGATGCGGTCCTGGCTCTCTCACCGTCGACCTCGCGAAACGCGTCGCACCGGAGGGGGGCAAAGTTGTCGGGATCGACTACGTCGCCGACCCTCTCGACTCGGCACGACAGAATGCAGTGGACCAAGAAGTCACCAACGTCGAATTCAAAGTTGGGGATATCCATGCTCTAGAATTCCCGGACGAGTCGTTTGATCTGGTGCATGCCCATCAGGTGCTGCAGCACATCGCTGATCCGGTACAGGGACTGCGCGAGATGCGTCGTGTGACGAAGCGAGGTGGGATCGTAGCCTTGCGGGAGTCGGCCGCGATGTCGTGGTATCCTGAATCCGAGGGAATTTCAGCGTGGTGGAACCTGTTTCAACGTATGGGCAAGGAGAAAGGTGGGAATCTAGAACCGGGCAGGTATGTACACGTGTGGGCGCAGGAGGCCGGCTTCGAGAGGGACAGTATTACGTGTAGTGCCGGATCGTGGTGCTTTGCGTCCCGGGAAGAAAGGGAGTATATTGGCGGGACTTTTGCGGAGAGGATGTTGTCATCTGGGTTCGCAACGGCCGCTGTCGAGGGCGGATTTGCGACGGAAGAGGAGCTGGCGAAGATTTCGGCATCGTGGCGGGCGTTTGTGAACGACGATAACGGCTGGCTCGGGATCTTGCATGGGGAGCTAATATGCCGCAAGTGATACGATTCTACAAATTTGTACGGAGTACGCCTTACAAAGGTAACTATCTGAACAATCACATATTCTAGCCTTGGTCGACTCTTTCTCAACCCCGACTTAGTTATCGGTTGGCACGCGCTACCGTTTGTTCTAGACGTCGCAATCTCCGTCAACCAATGTGACACGAGTCTCGGTTAACCAACTAATTGGTTGGTCATTCGTGAGATTCGACTCCGTACTCCAGCATGGACCAGCATGCCTTTGAATTACTTGAAAATTGAGGCATTGTTAAGGTGGTAAGAAGTCTGATTGTCGGCGAAATCTGACTCCACGGAAGAGATTGGATCCTATATCTGTGAGCCTCTTTAGCTGAAAGATGGAACTTATTTTCCAACCGCCAGGATAAGCAATTTGTAACCCTTGGGCAAATCATCTAGGGTCGTGATGGGCCGGTCCTACCATCCCTCGTTTGAATAAAGCTTGAGAGCTCCTCTAGCTTGAGGCCCGCCACTCTTTTCTGCCTCTCGAGCGACGACTTTGCTTGGTTGGAATCCTGAATCCGTCCAACTAGATAGTGATCGAATATTCTGAGGTTCTGATGATCGAATGGATATGCAAATAGATGTTCGTCTACTCCCTATCCATGTATCCAGACGGATTGTGTTCAAAATGCGGTACAGCTGAATTGGTGGCTATTTTTGGACAGCAGTGACATACAAAGAGCCATTCGCCCTACTTAGGAAGAGGGAATCTTACCCGGTTGTTCCTTTTTCCTTGTGTCACCAGCGCAAGGACCCCTTGGTTTTTATTGATATCCAACAGGTTTCACAGAAATATCGGCAATGCACCGTTTTTATAAAGGCTGCGGGGAATTCCGCGTGGACAAGGATACCAGTTTTAAGCACCTCGACATCCGGTCTTTTCTATTCCCTAGGCTTTCGATGAAAAAGCCCCTTTCGATATTGCATTAAGTTTATTCACTAGAAAGTGCCAAAGCGATGACCAACAAGGAAATGACCAACGATGCGCCCTCCCAAAAGGCTCATATGGAACAGCAGCCCCTTTCGGATGAAGAAAGTATAACACTCCAAGAACAAGCTGTGATACGGAAGGTTGATTGGCGGCTGATTCCAATCCTGGGAGCTCTGTATTCCATCTCACTCATTGACCGTGTTAATGTATGTTTCGAAATCGCCGCCAAGGTATTGGTTCGCTTTTCTAATTTTGGAATAGATTTCGAGTGCTCGCATAGCAGGTATGGAAAAAGAGTTACGGCTCGATATTGGAAATCGGTACTCAATAGCTTTGCTCGTCTTTTTCATACCTTATTTGATTTTCGAGGTATGTCCCGGTGCCCCTCGTTTTCTGCAGATATGTGCGGACAAAGCTCAGAGGTGGAACCACAAAGCTACCTTCAAACATCGTTTTACGCCGGGTTGGAAGTGCCAATTGGTTGGCCTTCATTGCATTCGCCTGGGGGTCATTTATGTTAGCCCAGGGCTTTATAACAAATTATGCTTCCTTGATTGTTTGTCGGCTGTTTGTTGGATTCTTTGAATCCGGTAAGGTTGTTTCATATTCGTTTATGCTATCTTCGTATCTGCTGACCCTTTGCGGCGTGCTCTAGGCTTTTTTCCGGGGTGTGTATACCTTATCTCATGCTGGTACGCGAGATATGAGGTCCAGAAGAGGTAGGCATTGGGTATGAAACCAATCCTTCGTCTTTAGCTGATGGGGGTTCTTATAGATTAGCAGCTTTCTACCTATCAGCGGTACTTGTGGGCGGGTTTTCAGGAATTCTAGCGTTTGGCCTCATGCAACTGCAGGGTGTTCGAGGCTACCTTGGATGGAGGTGGATATTTGTACGTTTCTGCTAACTCTGGCTGACTTGACTACAAATCTGACCGAGTACCCAGATTATTGAGGGCCTTATAACGCAGCTCATCGCAATCTTTTCTTGGTTTTTCATTGTTGACTTCCCTCACAACGCTCAGAAAACCCGATTTCTGACAGCCCAAGAGGCAGATTTGGTCCAACTCCGGATTGATAAGGACCGCCAGGATGCCGGTCCGGATCCTCTGACTATAGGCAAAATTGGAAAGCATCTTTGTGACTGGAAATTATGGATGTTGTGTGTTGCCTCCAGGGCTCCCGGTCCCTGAGATATATGCTAACCACGTCAACTAGCTCCCTGATGCTGATGGCTACAACCGCGCCGGTGTAAGTCCATCAACCCCAAAAAAGGGGACCTTCCTGCCACTAACCCACTAGCAGCTACGCTTTCGCCTTTTTCTCCCCCGTCATCATCAAAAGTATGGGCTACTCCGCAGGAATATCCAATCTCCTCATCGCACCTCCCTACGTCTTCGCCGTCGCCAGTGCCTATGTATTCGCTTGCTTTGGCGACAAATGGCGCATGCGAGGCCCCATCATCGTCATCCAGAGCCTAATTTCCATCACTGGTCTATTACTTATCGCCCAGCACCCTAACAACGATGTGCGCTACTTTGGTTTGTTTATCGGCATTGCTGGATGCCAGGGAAACATCCCGGCCCTCCTCGCCCACCAGTCCAATAATATCAGAATGCAGTCGAAGCGTGCGGTGGGGACTGCATTGCAGGTTGGTTTTGGGGCCATTGGGGGAATCATTGGGTCGACGACATTTAGGCAGGCTGATGCGCCGCGGTATGTGCCTGGGCTTTGGGTATCCACAGGACTGCTCTTTGTGGTGATTGGGCTATTGGGAGTGACAGAATGGCTGCTCTGGAAAAGAAATAAGGAGATTGATGAGGGAAAGGCGAAGGAACCGATTGAAGGTCTGCAAGGATTCAAATATACTCTTTAAATTCGATGCTGTGATACCAGGACGAAGCAACAACTATGCCTTATGAGACATTTTGCTTGTGTAGGTGAGGTACCGAGCAATCATAAACCAGTTCGCTCATTATTTCATCTAAGTAACCGGGCATTCAGTGTTCCTTAGCATATTTCCAAGCACACGTAGTTATGAACAAGCTGCCGTTCGGCCCCAAACATATCTCTCGCCAAACCGAGCTCAGTCTTGCACCGATGGGTCATAAGGTGTGTACATGAAAATCATAAAAGGCGAGTAAGAAAAGAAGGAAAGAGAATTTGAAGTAGACGCATCGCCGAGACACCGTGAGCGCCATGGATGAAATAATTCCAATCTTTTGCATGAGAGGAATAAATCGAGGCCTGTTCGCCAATAATTGTTGTGAAACGAAAGAGACAAAGGAAATTTCAGCGGAGAAATATAACAAAGGAAACTCGTATATCATGGGATGGTTCAAATCCATCCATCCCCCGTAATATCCTGGCCTGCCATACCCCCAGTACCGCTACTTGCGGGGAGGCCAACCCCTAAATCAAGTTTAGGCGGCGCATCGTCTACGATGCCAAGCTTCTTGGGGCTTCCGCACCCTTTAGTCGGACTTCGTGGAGTTGTTGGCGGTGCATCTCGCGGAGGCCCTTCGCGGACAAATTGATATTCCCATTCATCATCAGCAGCGGCAGACACCCAGACTTTGAGACCTTCATGCACAGCCGGATATAACTTTTCTTTGCAAGTACGAAGACTTCGACCCATCACCTTCTCGAGGCCAGATGCACGGAGGTGGTTTCGAAGCTCATTTCGCTCCTGAATTGTTGGCAGTGATGCTAGAAGACCGTTGATAAGATCCAAGTGTGTGGCAAGATAGTTAGTAGCGTCCCATTCAACTCCACCAATATAAGGAGCAGCCGGCACAGGAGTATGAGGGGGAGGGAAATATCGCTGAATAAAGGGCAGGGAAGGATTTTCCGCTTTCGCGACGGGTACCACATTGAAGTGGTGGAGGAATATCCAAAAGACCTCCTTTGTCACGTTACTCATTTCTTTACACCACAGCTGATATGGACGTGGTTGGTGCATTTCAGAAATGAAAGATAGCGGTTGTGATTCTTGAGGCGGCTTCGGGTCCTGCATATATGATAAGATAGTCCGGGCACGAGCAGCCACTTCATCGAATGTGGCAGACGATAGGTGAGAGAATAAAAGGCTGATTATTATATTGCGAGTGGCAAATTCGCTCGGGCCTTTTTTCTCTTCGCCGAATAGCATCCCAAGCAGAGTTGGGAACAGTGTGTTGCCTATTTTGCAAAGCTGTTGGAGGGCTGGAGACGTGGTGCACAAGGCTTTGATACAAAGGAGGACCTCGTGGAGCAACGAGTCTTCATGTTCCTCTCTATATTTGGAAATTAGCTTTCAACTTCCCCAGAAACGACCCGAGGAAAACATACCTCCATTCGACCTTCAATATCCGATATAGTAGGTCAACTAGCTGCTCCATCCCGCCGTGAGAAATAAACGACTCGACCCATGAAACAGTTTCGTTTCTCAAAAGTATGCGGAGTTTATGCAGTTTGCTAACTTCGACAATCTCTGGCTTTTGCACCTCTTTCAAATAATGGACAAAGTCAGTTGGATCGGCGATAAGGTCTGGAGATGGCAATCCTGCGTTGAGTGCCACTGGTGGTAAGCCGCGGGACGATCCTGGGAGCGATAGATCCACAGATTTTGGACGTTTCTGAGAACTCAGCTGGTCAGGCTTCTGTCGTCTAAAAGAGGGTAAATCGACTTTAGTAGACACAAAACTGCCACTTAATGGTCGTACTTTAGCTCCCCTATTCTCCGAGCGCCCAAAGGAGCTATCTTTGCTCTTTGTTCTCTTATGGGATGTAAATCCGGATGGTTTTTGGCTGGAGGCCGAAGTGGCGGATTCGCCTTCGATTTGATTCTTGTTGATAAAGTCCGCTTTAATATTCGTGTTCAACGATCTCATCCGGTCACGCATATTGTGAGGTATATTCCGAGCGTCCTTTCCCCAATGTTAGCGCTACCTTAGAGGATGAATTGTGTTTTGCCTACCAAAAGCCGTTCAAATTCATTATCGATTTCTTTCGGATCTACTGGCTTAGGCTTGTCGAAATTCTTGTCTTTGGCATTGAAAGCCGCAATTGCGGCCATGACGCGAGAGCCTCGATTTCCACCCGAAGATTTGCGTTTTTCCAATGGCGGTCGTTCAGCTAAGGGATGCGTTCGAGATGCATTTGATTTAGCACTTCCAGCGGATGGGCTTCGCTTGTGCATTGATTGCAGGATATCCTTTACAGAAGATGTGCTTGAGGAGCCGTATTCCGATTTTGGTCTCCATTTGGTGTCGGGGCGTTTTGTGAGGGATGGTTGTTGAAAATCAAAAAAGTTTCTTTGGCTTGACTGAGAGTAGCGATTGGGTGTGTAGAGAGACATTTCCTCCTCTAGGGTTCTGCCAGAGGAGGGTATATAGCGGCTGGAAATCTGACTCTGAATAGACTGGGCCCTGGAACGCGGAACAGGGGGAGGGGGCATATCGTTAGAGCCTCTAGACACAGTAATGTTTTCCTTGTCCTCTTTATCGCAGGCAGTGCCTTTCTTTCCGCGATGGGATCTCTTGAAAATAGCCGAGAGGCTAGTGGTTGACTTCGTCTTTTTGGGTTTTCCATGTTTCGAATCATTATCCTCTTCCAAAGGCTTCTGCTCAGGCTCCTTTTTGTCTTTATCCTTCAGCAGTGACTTGAGAGACACCGTGCTTTTTGTTTTCTTATGAAGCCCCATCTTCTGGGATGCGTCTGGTTGCTTAGGCTTTGAGGGCGAGCAGTTTGACACTCCTTGATTTAGTGCGCGTTCTGACAGTTCACCAAGAGGGCGACTTGTTTGGGAGTGAGGATGATTTGTTGGCAAAATCCAATGCTGTAATGGCGGTTGGCTCTCTGGATCGTAAATGGTGGGGGCATAAGCAGCCTGCGATTTTCGACGTGCTTTGGAAGGAAATATGGACTTCAGAACCGACTTCTTTGGTTTCTCAAAGTTCTCGTCCCGGAACTGTGATCTAAAATCAAACTTTGACGCCATTGTCTTTGTCCTATGGTAGAACTGTTAGCAAGTTTCTTGGATAAATACTACCCTTTGTGACAAAGAGTGAGACCGAAGAGTACATGCCTATAACAGCACCGTTCAATCCTCAGTACAAAAGCAAATTCAATTTCGAAAAGCGCCTTCAGTCAATGTAATGTGGAGAAGAATTAAAGAGGTCAGTAGTCACGTCATCAGATACAATCTAGATGAAGATAACCGGGACACCTCATTGAAGGGAAAGGAGGGAATGATTGGGTGTTTGGTCAATTCACGAATGTTTTGAAGATGGGAGTTGAGGAGTGGAGGTCATGGCAGCGACAAAATAAACCAACGGCGGGCTTGACGCTGTGTCGCGTTTCGTTTTGGGTTGACAGGGAAGAGCGCATCGAAGCGGTGATGATGCGACTCGACGGCGGTTGTCACGGCAACAGCAGGCCCGATTAGGTAAGGCGCCCTACGGAAATATAAAAGGCCGATTGCCGATCGCTAATGCTTATGTAAGTAATCTTGGCGGCGATCATATGTGCCAAGAAAGCCAAGTCGACTTAAGCTTCTCCACGCCCGCAAACGACGTCAAGCCACACATCGCCAGTAATGGGCATCTCGACGACATTGATGCGGGGAATCATTTTCGTTATAACAAAAGCAATTCTTCATCCAGGAGTAGAGATGCTATATCACACGCTTCGACCTTCCTGCTTCTTGATTTCTAGTTTGATGTTGTGTGTTTGATTCTACTTCTCGGGGCAAACTCATCGTAGGAACTTGCGAACAACTGGCGAATTACTCTTAGTGAGATGCTTGCATTCTAGTAAAAGCTCCTCAGCTACACCACTGACTACCTCTTGCCGCTTTATATCTGACCCTGTGTCTAATAGGACCCTACTTTTTATCCCAGGTTCGGACTCTGCCGGCTGCATTTGAGCAAAGCGACATAATGAATTGCCCTTCGCGCACCGATGAATCTCTTGATGACCTAGGCTGGAATCAGAACCCTCCTTCATTAGCTGCGGATCTTACTACACATCAAGATCTTAATGGAATAGCCAATGCAAGAGAGCACAGAGGAAATGACCTTGCAACAGAATTGCATCCTGGGCAAGATGCTTCATCTCTACACCTAACATGGGCCTCGCATAGCCCGCTAGGCTCCCCGGGAAAGGGAACTACTGCTGCCGGGCTTACAGTTAGTGAGCAAGGCATGAGGACTTTGAATGGCACGAATGATTTAGGCTCTCCAAGCGAAGCTCAGCAAAACACGAGTAGTAGCGGTGATGGAACTTATCCTCAGGGGAAACGGACTCTAGGATGCCTAATCCTTCGTTCCATTCAAGTCCTGCGGAAATTCGGCCAATTTGTTGGTCCCGGCTTTTTAATTGCCGTTGCATATATCGATCCAGGGAACTATGCCACCGATGTTGCTGCTGGAGCGGACACCAAATACGCCCTATTGTTTATTATCCTCATGTCTAACTTATTTGCCATTTTTCTTCAATCTCTATGTATCAAACTTGGAAGCGTCACTGGTCTCAATCTAGCTGAGAATTGCAAGGCCAATCTGCCCAGATGGCTGACTATCCTGCTGTATATTCTTTCCGAATCTGCCATCATCGCTACCGATATTGCCGAGGTGAGTGTGGACATGGTTACTTTCCAAGCGTCGCTTCTCACAGTATCTGTAGGTCGTCGGGTCAGCGATTGCGCTCAACTTACTGTTCAACATACCGTTGATCGCGGGGTGTGCCATCACTCTTGTTGACGTGATGGTTATTCTTATTTTTTACCGGCCTAATGGAACAATGCGTGTAGTGCGAGCTTTCGAGCTTTTTGTTATGGGGCTCGTCTTTGGTGTCGTGGTTTGTTTCTGCATCCAGCTGTCACAAATTAAGGAATCGAGCGTTGGTGAAGTTTTCAGGGGCTACTTGCCCTCAGCGGCGGTTGTCGAGGACAACGGGTACGTCTGGGAGCATTTTCTACCGGATGTATAAGTCTAACAAACTATATCAGATTATACCTTAGCTGTGGCATTCTCGGAGCCACTGTTATGCCACATTCCATCTTTTTAGGCAGCGGCGTTGTTCAGTCACGGCTGAAGCAATTTGATATCGACTCGGGGCTCATTGATCCATCCGTCCCATATGGCGATAGTGATCAGGATGTGAAGTATCGGCCATCTATCAACGCGATACGCAATTGTCTCAAATATTCTATAGTCGAGTTAGCATTTTCGCTCTTCACGTTCGCTTTATTCGTGAACAGCAGTATCCTCATTGTTGCCGGGGCTTCTCTCTCCGGCTCAGAAGCCGGCGATGCGGACTTGTTTGGAATCCACAAGTTGCTATCCAACACTATCTCCCCAGCTGCTGGCACCATTTTTGCAATCGCCCTGCTTTTGTCAGGGGTATCTGCCGGGATTGTCTGTACTATAGCTGGTCAGATGGTCAGCGAAGGCATGCTTAACTGGACTATCGCTCTCTGGCTTCGAAGACTTATCACTCGGCTGGTCAGCATTATTCCTAGCGTTATCATCGCGGCAGCCGTAGGAAAGCAGGGCTTGAACGCGACGCTGACTGCATCCCAAGTGGTTTTGAGTGTTATTCTGCCTTTTGTGTCTGCGCCGCTCATTTACTTCACGTCGCGCACCCGATATATGATAGTGACTACTGGGAGCACGATTGACCAATCCAATTCTGAACGCCAGGTTGGTGAGCCGGTATCAATGGAAAATAGTTGGTTGGTTACCATCCTGGGGGCTCTGATCTGGCTGGTCGTTACGGTTATGAATGTTGCATTGCTCGCCCTAGTAGGGATGGGCAAGGCATAAGCTAAACATTTGTGGTCAGCAAATAAGCTCCAATATCTTTTATCATTCAGCAGAAGGTGGCCCCATATGGCCTCTTGTATGAACTACAGAGTATGGAGTAAAGAGAGTGCAATGTTTGTTGACAAATCTCCCTTTTTTAAGGGGCTTATAGAAATAATATACTGGGTAAGTTGACGTCGTGGGATCAATGCAAGTAATACATGGTCCGCTGTCAACAGAGACAATAGCATGAGCTCAGATCGACGTTAAAGCATGACTTATTTAGGGTGCAGTGCTTTCAGCCAATTTCTTAATGAAAAAAAAGTGCTCCCAGAAACGCCAAACTTCTTAGGAACTAACGCAGCATACTCCGTAGGTATATTTCATCCAACCCCGCCAGCTGCCTCCTTAAGCTTATTCTGCTCTGGCGGCTCATCGATGAACTGAGGCGGTGCCACTTCATCCTGCATGAACGATGGCATCGCGTCCTCTCCTAGCGTCGGCTCTAGCATTACTTCCTCGCCCAACGCCTCCAGTTCAGCATCCAAATCTTCCTCATCCACATCTTCTGGCACATCATATGCGCGACTGATGCTCTCCTGAATCTCGTTCCCAATGTCCATCAAGTCTTGCATCTCATCCTGCATGCGCTCGATCTTGTCAATATCAACCTTCCCATACTGCTGCTTCAGCGTTTTCGTAGTCGTCTTTAGCGCATCCACGGTAGTCATCACGTTCCGTAGGTTATCCTGCATCATTCCTGCTTGTTCCATGTTCCAAGATTGCTGCGTTAATTGATCGCGTTGGGCTTCGTATTGCTTCCGGCGCTGGAGGACTTTAAGAGCCTTTTGACGGAGGGCGGATTTACCGGGTCCGTCGCGCATCCTGGAGATTTTGGTTTGGTAGGTGGACAGTTCGGCGTTAAGAGCGGCAAGCTTGACATCTATACTAGAAACACGGGAGTCGACCTGGAGCTTGGTGTTAGCTTGGGGTTCGAAGTGGCGGGAAAGTAGAGGAGGGGGGCTCCAGTGACGCTTACATTTTGGATGGCGCCGTCAAGGGTGGGCTTGGGAGCTGAGCTCTTTGCCCCGAATAATCGATTCATTCTGAGAGGCGATTAATGTTTCTGGCTGAAGGTGTTTCAAACTGTGGAAGCCGCCTGCAGATTGCTGGCGGAGGAAGCGATGAGGGGTGCCCCCTAGCTGTTGGGTTCGGAGAACGACAATCTTCAATCCTTCAGGAGCCAAAGCCAAATACAGATCAGCTGTTAATCCGGATTAACGATCGGCGGAAGTACTAAAGAAGCATACCATCGAGTTTCGCCGTCAAGTCGGCAGCGCGTCCCTTCATCCACGGATGCCTGGTGAACAAACAACCGCAAGGTCGAGGGCTGATTATGTCATAGTCGTGAGCGAGGCACCGATCACGTGGTCCAGGCAGGAACCGCAAAGTGACCTCACGCACAGTCTCTCGCTTTCTCTCCAGAAGCTCACGGTTGATAAACGCAGAAGAAACTTCTGAAGATATCACCGATTGAAAATTCAGCATTTTACATCTTGCGTTTTGTCAACTGCTTGCATTTGCTGCACAAGTCTGTTGATCCAGCCAAATTTTTTAAGTTTGTGGTTGTTTGTGGATCAGTGATTTCACAAGAAGCCTCACACGCAGCCCCGGCACCACACCAACCCCGATTTCGCTACAGAAGACGTCTATCATCCCAATTCACCAAACAGCGACCGACAAGACCTCGCATTATTCTTTTACATGACATCTTACCTTCTTGCTATTATATTGATAGTCCCTTCGTTGTCGCTCCCTTTCAGTCCTGCAAGGCAGTACGTCATCTACAGCCCCTCTCACCAAGGAGTTTGGTCATGTGTGGTGTTGAAATGCCTCACTCTCTTCTAGTTTGCTAACACGAGTCCTAATGATCAGTAGACAGCGCAAGGCCGCTTCGATTTCTTGGTTGTCCTCCTGCGCATGCTGCCACACGATTAATGACATTCCGTCGGGTTCACACTTTCTCCGCCGACACGCATTCGTCTAAAAGCACTCGGACCAGGCTGCGGCTATCCGCGTTGAGCATTTGGTCATCGAACGCAAAGGTTCCGGATTCTGGAAACGGTACCCCATGATTACCCTCTACTATCCACGGTCCACGATTTCTCTTCTCTGAAAATATCAAGTCGGCATCATGTTTTGGCGCTATGGCGGGTATGCGAATATTTCGCCCATTAATACACTGCTGGATAGGCCGGATGTCACTCTTGAGGAGGTCCTGGATGAGTCGGAGCTGTTACATGAGATGAAACAGCATAATTCAAAGTTGACAGAATTCATCCGCGAAGACCACGTTCTGAAACGTATGCTAGAATACATTGTTTCGCCCAGCCTTTTGGTTGATGACGATGAAGGAGAAGAGCCGGAAGGAGATGGAAGAGGCCCCGATAATGGGAAGACATCAGGGAACGCGGTATCGGTCCACGAGGGTAGCAAATATAAGGCAGTCGCTCGCCGCCGGTCGGATAGCTTAGGCCCAGACCAGGACCTGGAAGAGCTGGAAAATGCTGAAAAAGCCCGACTTAAGTATGCATATATCTCTTCCGAGATTCTCTCTGCGCCTTCCTGGTCAATAATCGAGGCGATGATGCAATATGAAGAGTGTCTTCGAAACTTCTGGGGGTTTTTGCGGGGCAAAGCACCACTTGATTCGCTACAATCGAGCTATTTCTATAAAGTTAACGAAGTGTTGCTGGATCAGAAGACACCGGAAATGCTTAGCTTTGTCATGTCCTTAGATGGCATTATTGAGACAATGCTAAGGCATGTAGATAACCCGTCAGTGATGGATTTGCTTCTGAAAATCATCAGCTTAGACAAGCCTGAAAATGGTTTGGTTGTGACAGAGGTGAGAGTTGATCTTAGCGTCTTCATGCCCTTTACCGCCGAGGAATTCATGTTGGAGCTAATATCGTTTATTAGTGGCTCTATTCAAGCGGCTTCATGCCAGCCATCATATCCTGTATCTCTACCGAACATTCCGCTTCCACGCAAAGCTCTGCTGGTGACTTTATCAAAGCACTCATTACAATTTCTGCAAATGCTGCTCAAAACGAACAGCCATGCATTGGACCGAATAGTCTTACTCGCCACCTAGTGTCAGAACCGTGTCTACGAAAGCTGATCTCAATAATGCTACAAGGAGGAAACCCTCTGACGGTGGCTGTAGGGGTCATAGTTGACATTATTCGTAAGAACAATCCGGACTATGATCCTGAGCCACCGGAAGGCAGAGACGCGAGACCCTCCAACCATGACCCTATTTACCTAGGCACGCTTTTACACTTGTTCGCTGACCATGTTCCCGATTTCATGGAGTTGATTCTCAGCCCAAAAAAGACAGTTAGCGAGGATGGTATACACAAGATCATTGAGCGAGGTCATTTAAGCACCGCTTGGGGATCAAAGGTTGAGCCCCTTGGATTTGATAGATTCAAGACGTGCGAGCTCATGGCAGAATTATTACATTGCAGTAATATGGGCTTACATAACGAGACAGGAAGCCATGAATACATGCAAATGCGAAACAATGAACGGGAACGTCTACGAAATCAGGGAGGATTTTTTCGACAAGATGAAGACTCTGGTTTTACATACGCTGATAACACTAATGAATTCGGGGTCGGAGCATCACCGTCGGCATTGGGTTCCGGCTCGCCGGATGAAATTAGACGGATGGACAGTTCCAACACGGGAGAAGACGATGGTTTTGAAGATGTTGGGTCAGCTAGTGTCCTTCTTGAGGCAAAAAATATCCCCGAAGACACTAAAGAAGAGGACGGGGCGTTCACACATGTGCCCAAATTGGGAGTGCGCGAAGACTTGGTCGATGAACCACTTACTCCTCCTCGTTCCGAAACAGTGAAACCAGAATCGCCTTCGTCAGCCAAAGGACCGATATCGCCCACGTCTTCTGGATTAACTGAGAAAGTACGGGCTTTCAGCATCGAACCAAGCGGTCAAGGCCTCTCCGAGCAGATTACAGATAAAGGAGTGGAAAATAAAGTTGGGGATACGAGTCACCACCAGGCTCAATTTTCACAGCCAAACCATCCACCTACTCCATCATCATCAAGCTTAGCCCAAGCAGGTAGCGTCCAAAGCACAAGTCCCACCCCGACAGAAAACGCAGAAGGCGATTCGGAGGACTCGATTTTATCTGCCGAACAACTCCTTTCGGCGACCGAGATGGAAAATTTTAACCAGTATATCCAGAAGGATCCCGATGGTCGTCCCGTGGTTGGCGATTATTTAAAAATAATGTTTTATAAGCATCGTGTATTGCCCACGATATTGGTAAGTTTCTCTGCCTTCAGTGCCGTAACTCTGCTAACGCGCTATTTTTAGTCTTTTTTCTTTCGCTTTCCTTGGAATAACTTTTTGCACAATGTTGTGTACGATGTTATTCAGCAAGCACTTAACGGTTCTATGGAACAAGGATTCAATCAGGTCCTAGTTGTCGACTTATTCGAAAATGCTCACATCCCAGCGCAAATCGTAAAGGGTCAGCGTGAAAATGATGAGGCCGAAGCAGCGAATAAGACAAGACTAGGATATATGGGACATTTAACGCTCGTTTCTGAGGAGGTTGTCAAGTTTACAGAACGTCTTGGCCCAGAATCACTACCCAAGGCAATAATGAAGACTGTGTTGCACCCTGACTGGGTCAATTTTGTTGAAGACACACTTGCCGAAACTAGAGAGCGTGACAATGCCATACTAGGGGGCGTGAAGCCAGATATGTCCATGGGCCATCGACAAGCGGTTCTCAACGCGATCGGCGGTGGACAGGGACTTGGCACATCTTCAGCTTTATCCAACGCTGGCCTCAACGGGGGCATTCCCAGTTCTGGCTTCGATGGCTTGAATTTCTCGAATCAAGGCACAGTCTCGGGCGGCGTCTTGGGTTATGGAGCCGGTACCGCTTCATTGTTTAGCAGCTTCGGTAGCTCGAGTGATGACGAAGACGAGGAGATGGAAGACTCCGAAGATATGCATCGGGGCTTCCAAAGCGCCGATATCAACGGGATGGACTCTGAAAATGTGGGTGCAACTGCTTTCGAAGATGTTGATATGTCGGATCAATGAAAACGAGCGACATCATTTCACTCTGACTTGATATTTCCCCGACGGATTTAATACACGAAGTTATGATTTCGCTATTTCTTCATCGGCTATTTACCTTTAAACAATTTTCCGCCGCCAGTTGGCATGCAAATCTCATAATCCCACTATGGCAACTTCTTAGATACCTATCTTTGGGCGTTTCTGCTCTTTTGTGCATGCTGAATCAAATTTTCCGCTTTCTACGATGTAGCCAGCGGATCATCATGGTTCTAGCCTTTCCTCCCTTAAATGACACGATTTTATTATTTTCTGCGCCTTTTCTTTCTGAATTAGGTGCGAGATGAAGGTTCACTTTTGTCATTTTTCACGAGCCGTCGTTCCCCCGTTTAGGCTTCCTCTTCCTCCCCAGTCTTATCCTTACCACCTTGCATTTCCTTCGCGGTTTGAGCTAATTATAATTTTTCCACCTTTACTAGGCGACCGATAGCTCGAGGAGTCGTCCGATCCCGATTCTCCCACCACCGCTTCCTCCGACATCTCTCAGCAACGGGCCATCAAGAGCTCGGCGACAGCTTGCTGCCCGCCTAGCTGCCCAAAAAGAAGCTGCCGAAAAAGCAGCTGCCGCGGCGAATGGAGCTGCCGGTGCCAGTGGACAAAACAACACATCTGGCTCCAGCGTACCAAATGAAGGAGGAAATCTTGGAGTTGGTACAATTATCAACCCGTTTATGAGTGTTGATGAGGATCAGGACATAGATCCCAACACTGATCTAGAATTTATATCGCCATTTGCAGCTCCAAGAGAGGGCGTCACATCGTCATCGCGACCACCTTCATTTTTCTCTAATTTCCAACCACCAAGTGCATATTCATCGAGTTCGTCTGACGACGAAGAAACTATCGAAGCTGTCCAGCGAAATTATCGTCTCCCACTTGAAGTGTGCGATGATGACGATATGGGTGATATAGTTGCCCCGTCAAGTGGCATTGGTTCCTATTCGGATGACGATGAGGATGAAGAGATACTTATCCGAGAGACTATTGGATACTCGGGTGTTTACGGTCCTGACCGGTACGCAAACAGCACAGCCCTGTCCTCCAATATTGGTGGCCAGCATGATAACAGTGATGATGAAGATGACGGTCTAGTTGAGATTTTGGTTCCGGGAAGGAGAATCCCTTCTAACTAACATACGCTTTGGTTAATGGTAGCACTGAGAAAATATCGACAATCATGGTTATGTGTTCTTTTCCCCGGGGATATTTCTGCTCTGCAGACGCTCGGCATGTCATGCGTATCTGGCCGTTCTACCTCTTGTGTGCCAGGCATGGCTATTGGCGTGTGCATTCTACTTTCTTATTATCCATATAATTGTGAGGGATTGGAGGAAGGATAGATCCGTTTTATGATACCAGGTACACAGAGGGGTTAGACAAACTGGGGAAAATATGGACATCAGGAATTTGTGGGTTGTTCTGCTGGGACTTTGACGCCTTTAAGTGTTGCTTCCTTCAGCCCGTTTATGATGATATATGATGTTTTCTTGATGTTTCCTTCTTGCTGGCATCTTGGAGAGGAGTTTTTGGGCCGCAGCTTCTTGATGGTTTTGCTTTCCCTTCGGCCTCCTTACGCCTTCCTGTACATACATTGTATAATAGCCGCAGCAGGTGAATAAATTGCTACACAATCCGTTTTCCTTGGCGGGCATAGCTTTGACCATGGGCTGGGAGCTTCCCAGCTATTTCTTAATTTATTTCCAAATAGTTTCGTACTTTGGTTGTCCTGGTTGCTATAATATTCTGGAAAATCAGTGGAAATTTCTGTGCTGTCTGATTGAAATCAAGGAGGCAAAAAATCCCTTCCACAAGGCCCGATCTGTCACCCAAGATTATCCCAACAATGGCCAAACCACCAGAGCCAACTGCCTTGCAGGAAGGAGATGCCAATAGCTCTGGATCTGAAGGGTAAGTTATAATTTTGTCAATAGACTCATTTACAGCTGGTTAAATCATCTGGTGACTTGCTTCCCTCTGATCTCGGCTGAGTTGCACCACATTGGCAGCGGCTGATCAAGGATTTTGCGACATGCTGATATTTGTATATATTGACCAATGGACACTTGGTCGATTTATTCTCTTCTTTTTCTCTATTATTCTGTCTTCAAAGGCTGAAAACCCAGAAATAGATCACTCACCCCGACTCCCGCCACAGCTTATACTCCGAACCCCAAGCGACTACCATTATTTGACTGGATCAAGGCACTTGGAGGCGGCCTTCCAGATCAAATTGAACTGAGTACTGACCCCATAAAAGGTCAATGTCTGCGAGTCCGGGATGCGCTGCCCGAAAGCCTCGCCAGCGGCACTTGCTGTGCCATCTGCCCAATACAGGCAACCATGTCTATTATGAACCTAGACAATGCGATTAGAGGTGTTCCTTCGCATGGCTTCGATTATTCGCCTGACTTCTTTGCTGCCGTAGAAGAGCCCGGTGCATTGGCTTTCTTCCTGATGGATCAATATCTTTTGGGAGATGAGTCGTTTTGGGCGCCGTACATTCAAAGCCTTCCTGATGATAGTCAGTTTACAAGGCTTGAATACTATACAGGCGATGATTTGAAGTGGCTCGAAGGAACCAATTTACTCAAATTGCGGGAGAAACTTCTTGAGAGACTGAAGGCCAAGTACGAAACTGGCTTGCGTCTGCTTAAGGAGTTTCCGAATAAGAATACTCCAAAATACACTTGGTAAGTTCTTAAAGCACAATGATCGCTTGAAGGCCTATTAAATCGCAAATATAGGGAACGTTTTCTTTGGGCGTCGTCCATTATACTGTCTCGGGCTTTCTCGTCGGAAGTCCTCAAGGATTATATCAAAGGCACTCCAACGCGTGTAAAGCCTTTAGAGGATTTCTCAGTCTTGGTGCCGTTAGTCGACATAAGTAATCATCAGCCTCTGGCACAGGTAGAATGGGCGACTTCACTGGAGAAAATTGGCTTGATAGTGCACAAAACCCTCCTGCCAGGTGAAGAGGTTCCGAATAATTATGGGCCTCGGAGCAATGAACGCTGTACGTTCGCCAACTTTATGATCCGATGTGGTGCCGATGCTGACGCTCTTAGTGATGATGAACTATGGATTTTGTATTCGTGGAAATGTTTGTGACTATCGGGAAATGAATCTCAGAGCACCGCCAGACAGTCCACTGGCTATAGCCAAGCAAGAACAACAAACGCGCTTTGGTGCCTCAAAATCCAAGTTGATAAATGATAGATATTACATCTATAATATCTTCTACCCGTTACCTGCCCATGTCCAATTTTTGGAGGCAGCAATCTTTTCTCCACAGCTACTCGATGCAGCTGCAGTTCTGTCGGCCAACGATCGGGAGTTAACTGGGCTACAGATTAAAGAGGACAAGATATATATTCCATTCGATAAGTACGGCAATTCCCGTAGCATCCTCGCTGGACTCGGCCAAATCGTTCTCAGATTGCTAAACGACATTCGGGTTCTCAAATCCAATCCGTGCTACCAGAAGGAACCCAGTAATGCCAAACAGCGGAATGCAAGCTTTTACAGGGAATCGCAAATATATATAAGCGAATGCGCAATTGCGGTTGCAGAATGGACACTTCAACGGGCAAGAAATCCCCGAGCGTGTCTCGATGAAATCGTGAACCACTTACCCGAGGAGTACTCCAAAAATGTCCACGATAGAATTCGAGAATTAATCACAACACGGCTATCGTTTGTAAATCACGATGGAGTGCTCTTTTATGGAGACGGTGTTGCACAGATCTTGCCACAAGCTGCGGACGAGGCCTTTGCTATCTGCGTTAGAAACATCGTCAAAGCAACTTGCCACCAACAGAGCGAAAGTCTAGACTTGATGAAGATCAAGTTGGTTTATACGCTATTCCTGTGTTTTTGCACCGCCGCTTATCGCAATCTCGATAATGATGATCCCAGCATCCTCACGCCACGTCTCAAGCGTTGGGTCCCGCTTCTACTGGGGCATTACACGGAGCCACCAGTGGATGTAAGCTGGATGCTTGAAGAAGAGGAGGTCGAGGGATTGTTGGACCGAGTAGAGGAACTATTCACAACCACACGGCGTATGAAAGATGGGATATTCGCTCCATTGCAGCAACTGATACGAAAGTGGAAATCCGATGACCAGGCCAACTGGCTATCTGGAAACCGCCTGAGATGGGCGTGGCTCATTTCCGATGAGGAGAGTGTAAGACTAGCAAAAAATCCGCTACCATTTATGGAACCGGGGTCAACGGCAAAGGAGGTGGCTGTTGATACTTATCTTTATATTCCCAGATATTCTGGCGAGTAGAGCTAACCGGCTGATAAAATGGCGGATCCTGGTTTAGGCATCAGTGTCTGGTTAGGAATAGACCATTATGTACCTGCAAAAAGCTTTCCCTTAGACCACAGGCATCCTCAATGCCAGAGCGTTGTCTTGATTCCTCTTCTCTTCTCCTTATCTCTCAAAGAAAAAGGAAAAAACGACGCTGTTTTTGGCGCTATTAGTCAGCTTGATTGAGTCACGTGATATTTTGCTTTGGGCCAATCAGGAGAGACGGAAATATCACCAACGACGAACGACGCTCGTCTGTCTTCCCGCGAATCTTCAACCCGCAACCATCGCTCAATTGGAGTTCGGAAACGAGAAAGCAAGCCCATCATGATCTCCAGGGCGGCGGTGGCGCCTACCACCCATTCCATCTCACACCTCTCGTCGCGCGCCCTCTCCTCAGCAAGTGCCGCGGCCGCCACCAGCACAACCCGTTTTCCATCCTCACAGAAACAAACAGGGCAGCAAGCACAGTCGCAGTCGCAGCAACCCCAAGCGCAAGCACAGCAGCAGCGTAAATATGCTACTGTTCAGGATCCCGCTGCGGTGCCCCCGCCCAGAGTGCATGGAGGATTGAAGGACCGGGACCGCATATTTCAGAATTTGTACGGCAGACATGGGCCTGATTTGAAGAATGCAATGAAGACTGGTGACTGGTATAAGACGAAGGAGATCTTGCTGAAGGGGCATGACTGGGTGGGTTTTGCTCTTGGATGGCTCGGACGCATTGAAAATGGAGTTGCAATTGCTGATGAATTGTCCGATATTTAGATTATTTCTGAGATCAAGGCTTCTGGATTAAGAGGACGAGGAGGCGCAGGGTTTCCTTCGGGATTGAAATGGGTATGCTCTACTGGACGTTTGGAAATATGCGATGCGGCTTGTTTGACCGTGATACTGATATGAATCTCTATTCCTAGTCTTTCATGAACTTCAAAGATTGGGACAAGGACCCACGACCACGATATCTTGTCGTAAACGCCGATGAGGGTGAGCCAGGAACGTGCAAAGACCGGGAAATTATGCGCAAGGACCCGCACAAACTTGTTGAAGGATGTCTTGTAGCCGGCCGTGCGATGAATGCTACCGCTGCTTACATTTATATCCGTGGCGAATTCTACGAAGAGGCCACTGTTCTACAACGTGCGATTAATGAAGCATACGAAGCTGGGTTGATTGGAAAGAATGCTTGCGGGTCTGGCTACGATTTTGATATTTATATCCACCGTGGAATGGGAGCTTACATTTGCGGTGAAGAGACGTCGTTGATCGAATCTATTGAAGGAAAAGCCGGAAAACCTCGTCTAAAGCCTCCGTTCCCCGCCGCAGTCGGTCTATTTGGATGCCCTAGTACCGTTACTAATGTCGAAACAGTCGCTGTGGCGCCGACAATTTGTCGTCGTGGTGGCAAATGGTTCGCTTCTTTTGGTCGCGAACGAAACCAGGGTACCAAACTCTACTGCATTTCTGGCCACGTTAACAACCCATGCACCGTTGAAGAAGAGATGTCCATCCCTCTTCGCGAACTTATTGACCGCCACTGCGGTGGTGTTCGTGGCGGTTGGGACAACCTTCTCGCCGTCATCCCCGGCGGTTCATCCACGCCCATCCTGCCCAAGCACGTTTGTGACGACCAGATCATGGACTTCGACGCCCTGAAGGACTCTCAATCCGGTTTGGGAACCGCTGCCGTCATTGTGATGGACAAATCTACCGACGTTGTCCGCGCCATCTCCCGTCTCTCCTACTTCTACAAACACGAGAGTTGCGGCCAGTGCACACCGTGCCGAGAGGGCAGCAAATGGACCATGCAGATCATGCAGCGTTTCGAGCGTGGTCAAGCCCGCGAACGTGAAATCGACATGCTCCAGGAACTCACCAAGCAAGTTGAAGGCCACTCCATCTGTGCGCTTGGCGAAGCTTTCGCCTGGCCCATCCAGGGTTTAATCCGTCATTTCAGACCCGAACTTGAAGCCAGGATACAGAAATTCGCTGAGCAGCAGGGTGGAAAGCAATCGTTTGCAGGTGGCTGGGATCCTTCCGCTCGTGATGCGGGTAAGCTGATTGCTCCGGGACAGTAAAAAGGTTGTGTAGTAGTGAAGAGGTGTGAAAGAACATGCTCTTAAATTAGGGTGGTGTTGACATCCCAACTGATCCTATGTACCCCTTTTCTCCCTTTGATTCTGCGTCCTATAAACCATGTTTGTACTTAACCTTTGCACTGGATTTCTGTATTGTACAGTGAATTGAAAGTAGATTCCGGAGCCGTTGGATACATTTTGGGCAGTAAAGCAAACTTAGAGGCTGTGATAGGGTCCAGTATTATCTCATTTTCACTACCTAACTTTCTATCTAAAACAATCTCCCGCGCCGTTTGGAGCAGCCGCCAGTTCCTTAAATCTGGGTGAAAAATATCCGAATAGAAGTGCAGCAGTAACTTTGAAAACGGTCGTCCATGAATAAAGCTACCTCCCCGGCGGATAAGTTGGAGCTCATTCGACATATTTACCCAACTCAGATCCACACGGGTCAAATAATAGACGTCCACTCCCCCAAACCCACTTCCAATCAAATCATACACGATATGTTGTCCGTCCATCAGCCATTAGTTCATCATAATTCAGGCACCGCTTGCCATAATAGCACGATAGTACCGCTTGCTAACCTCTGCCGCATAATCGCGCCGGGCATCTCTGGTCATTGGAAGACGGAGTATATCCGCAGGTTGGATAGTCTGTATTCCAGTGTCATTAGAAAACCACATCCTGATTGCATGCAAGCATTTGCCCATACTGAGCATTCATCAAACTTACACTTCCAATATCAGCAGTGCACCATCCAGCAACCAATCGGCCAATCTCCTTCAACGCAACCTTCTCCTCAAAACTTGCCGTCGCGCTCTTCTCAATCTTCTCACCCACGTTTATAAGCGTAGCCACGAGTCTTTTGACTAATGCTTGATCCTTTCGAATACCCGGAACATCCACCAAAGCGAGAAAATCTTGATACATTCCACCTTCATGCGCCCAATCTCGAATTTTGCTCTCCGGTTTCTCGCCAAACGCATCAATTAGCGATTTGAGAGTGCTGAAATCACGCCGAATAACAGTTTTTGGGGCAACTACCCTGCAGAACGTCTCATGTGCCTCATTCCAGTGTTCTGCGTTAATAAGGCATTCAACTTCAGCAGACGGATTACCGTCGTAGCGTGCAAACAGTGCCTTTGCAGCCCAAATCCAAGGGCTTGGAATCCGAAGTTCCTCAGTAAGGAATTTCCACATAATACTTGGTGCTCCGTCTTCTAGTAGTGGTTTAGGAAGCCATGCGCCGAATTGGGATAACATCTCTTTGATGCTGCGTTCGCGATCTACAGCGCGCGTAAGATAAAGGAGAACGAACAGTGCCGGCCCATAGTCTCTCGCAGCTGCAACCTCCCAAGCATAGTTGAAAGTAAGCTGATTCGCACGATGCTCATCAATTGTAAGAGCGTTGTAGGGGCCAGCTACCTTGCAGATATGATGAAATAACTGGAACGAGAATCGGTTGCGTAGACCATTACCGGTGACGGCTTCAGGCATGATATCTTGCGGAACGGGAACGGGCTTAATTTCGGCATGATTTCCGTTATGCTTGGCAACAGCGAAAATCTTCAAGATGACCCATAGAGGAGATTCAGCTGAATTAGAACTCTGTTCATCGTCAAGCGTTGAAGTTGGATATGCTGGCTCATTTCCGTGACATATATCATGGTAAAAGAGACTCACGGCAGCTTCAATGGGGTCGGTTTCACCGATACCATACCATAAGCGAAGGCCAAATGCTCGAATCCAATCAAGGCCAAATCGTTCAGAAATGCTAAAGGTCGACGTTCGATCCTCGATGGCCGCATTCGGTTTCCCTTCACTCCGAAGACAATTGCCAGAAATCAATTCGTAGAGTGCACGAATAGGTTCAGTCATTTCAGAGAGCACATTATGATTCCGCCATGACTCAATTTGCTCCTTCATATCTTTTCGAATGATTTCATCACGTCCAATTTGAGAAATCAGTGTTGCTAAATGCGGATTTCCACTGGTGACAAGCGTTTTGCACGCGTCTTCAACCCTGTGGGAACAAAGATATGCTATTGCACGTTCTTCTGGAGCCGTAATGGCCTCGATATCTGCAGAATAGCTTTGACGAATAATATTTTCCCATAGCAAACTGAGTCGGTCCTTCTTGATGCGATGAAGATACTGGTTGCGCAAATGGGCCGGAACACCTGATGATATATCATCCTCTATATCGTCATTGAAGAGAATATATGCTAGCTGCCAAACTTGCCGTTCTAACTCAGCCTCTGGGGTATCTTCCTGCACATTATCGATGAAGGGCAAGAAATCGGCGACAGACAAACTAGCAAACGGTAGATTATCAACGAGTTTGATAGAAGAGCGAGCTTTCTGGAGGAGTAGAGTGTCTTGAGACTATGGGGAATATGTCAATAAACGCAGTAATCAACAGGGAAATCTTCTGAATACCAACCTCCTTCGATTTTTCAAGCGTATAAAGCGAGACCACAGGCTCTTCTTCATCCTCATCGACAGTGGACGAAACAGGGAGAACGAGAGTATCCAACTTCACCCAGCGAGGTTTCACAGATGAATGGAAGTTTGTGTCCGCTTCAGACATATCACCAGGGCTCCCGGCAAAAGTTTTGGGTTTCTTAGCATACGGCCACTAAAAGAAATTGCATATCTTAGTTCAAGATCTTCAATTCCTTAATTACTTACAGTTGAAAAGTGCATATTGATCAGATAGTTAAGTACAACAGGCTGTGAAAGAAAAAAAAGACTGTAAAGGAAAGGGAGTCAAACCTCGAAACCTTTCTTGGCCTTCCCTACTTGAGCTTTCCGCGGACTAGCTTGCTTGGGCCGGAAAAGCGAATTCATGAGATCAATGCTTGTAGCGAATCCATGGTCCTTGCTATTCAAAGGCTTCGCCTTGGGAGTATCGTCTGGATCATGTCGATCGGCAAACACATCATTTTGGATTTCGCGTAGTGCTTGTCGGTCTTGTTTTCGTGGACTTATAGTTCGCTGTAACTGTTCTGCCCAATTTCCACTCAAATTTAAATGTAGATCATCAAGGGACTCAATTCGTGAATGTCCGAGATTTGCTTTTTGGGGACTGACTGGTGGAATGTATTGCTCCGCGGTATAGTCAGGAACGGGAAATGCACCAGCCATACCCATTGTCTCGTCCCTGTCCGATTCTGGTTCTGATGTAATAGCGCTACGATCGCTTTCTTCGATGGAGTCATTTTCAGAACCCGAACCCACGGAGCCTTCCCCTAAAAAAGATGCCTGATCTTCGTCTGATTCGAAAGACACTGACTTGCCAACAGTGTTTTGGTTGGAAAATCCACCGGGAACCAAACCTCTCTTCTTAAACTCGAATGTGTCATCTTCCACCCCGATCATTGAATCGTCGAACGAGTCGTCCACGTTAATTGTTGAGTCATTAAATTCGGAGCCGAAAGGATGCGACGGTGTTTGAGCCTTTGGAGTGACCATGTCAGGATGAGCACTCATAGTGCTTTGATCAAAATTCTCACCTTCATCCTCATCATCATAGTCAAGCCCATAAGTCGTAAAGTGTGGAACTTTGAAAGTCCATACTCCAGTTTTTTTGCAATAATCAACAAACTCGGTATTTGTAACGCGCTTCAAACGTTCAATGTGTTTATCGAAGAGGGGACCGCTAGTAATAGGAGACGGAGCCTTCTTGTCTCGGCCTCGTGGCCAGGAGTTCTCAATTACCAAAGTGGATGGGACATTGAGACCTTTCCCTCTTGGAGGCTTTGCAACGTCCTCAGGGTATACAGTAATAGAACGTACTCCGATCTTGACTATCTTACCCATCACGTCATCTAGATTGACGGTCGTGAGGTCGACAGGCCTGTTAAATGTAACACTCCCACAATTCGCGCGGCCCACGGTGAAGTTTGATACCTGCTTCTGTTGCTCGCGAGTCATTTTGCTGATTTCTTCCCGAGAAGGCTTCATCCAAAATTCTCCAGGTCTGGGATCGCGGTCTGGAACTTTCGCCGTCTTAGACTGATCTGGTGTGGCAGCATCTTCTTGTTCCTGGGCTTCCGGGACTACAGCGAGTTCTTTTCCACGAACCTGTTCCATTTCAGGTTGGCTGTTGGAGCCTGAAGCAGTCTGCGCACCAGGAGAGCCGTTCACACCATCAACATCTTTCACTCCATTTGGTTCAGGAGCAGCAGGCTTTTCCCTTCTTGAACGCAGGAAACCCAACTCTTCCGGTGTCGGCTCAGGAGTATGGCTCTCAAACGGAACGAGAGCTTTATCTGTTTTGTCACCCAAATCTTCTTTGTCTTTATCAGGTGAATCGAAGCTAACTCTCTTCTTGAGCTTACTCGACTGTAAAGGAGTGCTATCACCGTTCATAATCGTCGTATGAGGTTGGGTGGAGCGTGAGAATAAATCAGTCCTAAGACTGCGATCGATTGTCAAGCGCTTTAAATTTGAGCCTGAATAACGTGAGCTTCCTGGGGAGAATGCACCGGGAGATAAGATGCTATCTGTTTCTGGCTCGAAGGATCTGCGAAGGTTGCTTGACGAAAGGCTTTTACTGAAACTTCGCCCGAGGCTTCCTCCGTTGAGGCTTTTGCTCAGGAAACTATTACCTAACCCTGGCGTGCCAGCCGAGCTCGACGGGGTGCCGTAAGTAGAATAAGAGAATCCATAACCTTGGCGAGTTGGAGGCGTGATCAAACGGTTAGCAGCATTAGGAGAAACTTTGTACATGGGCAACGGCGTCCGCTGCTTTTGCTTAATACTCGCTGATAGTGGTGTCGCCAAGGGACCTGGAGAAGGTGCGTTCGGCGTAGGTAGACCGGAGAAAATAGACTGATTGCCGTACGGGTTGCCATCCAGAAGTGAAGCTTGTAGACCGTTGGTTTGAGGCTGCTGTTGGGCCTGTTGTTGCTGTCCAAACATGCTTCCACCAGCCAAAGAGCCCAAACCCAAACCACCGCCGGGCTGTTGCGTAGTTTGATTATTACCACCAAGGTTAAATATAGAACCACCAGCGGATGCAGGGGTCGCGGTTGATGTATTGAATAGGCCACCAGATTGCCCAGTTGAAGGGGAGAAAACGCTAGGCTTCTGCTGTTGCTGATTTGTGCCCCCAAACAAATTGGATCCTTGTTGTTGGTTTTGAGTGCCGAATCCAAACCCGCCAGTGCCAGTGGTCGAAGTTCCGGTTCCCAGGCCGCCGAACATATTTGGTTTTTGTTCTTGTTGTTGCTGCTGACCACCAAATGGATTTGACGGAGTAGAAGCCTGCTGTCCACCAAACAACGAGGTGCCACTTTGTTGGCCAAGGCTGGTTCCAAAACCCGAAGTCCCTGTAGTTCCAGTTGCTCCGAAGGCATTTCCCCCACTTGGCTGTTGTTGTTGTTGCTGTGTGGTGTTTCCGAATGTTCCAAATGCCGGTTTATTTTGTTGTGTTTGCTGAGCCTGACCAAACCCACCAAACCCAGTTCCCCCTTGCTGTGCCTGGCCGAATGGAGAAGAGGCTGCTGTAGTTCCTCCAAATGCGGAGGTACCGCTTGTAGCGGGCTGACCGAATGCGCCCAATCCAGTGCCAGTAGCACCAGTACCAAATGCAGGTTTAGTTTGCTGATTGTTGAAAAGATTACCTCCACCAAAAGCCGTACCAGTCGTTGCACCAAATCCTCCACCGCTTGATATCGACGAACCGAACGTGCCTGGCTGGGATGCTGGAGTCTGGCCAAACATCGAGGTGGCCGGCTTCGTCCCGCCAAACAATGGGTTTGGGGTAGAGGTAGTACCAAATCCAGATGTTGCTGTCTGGCCGAAAGCTGGAGGAGCGCTTGAAGCAGTCCCACCACCAAAAGGATTGCTTGAGGTTTGGGTGCCGAAGCCGGTGGCAGTCTGTGGGAAACCGCCAAAAGCAGCAGCGCCAAAGCTTCCAGCTTGGCCGCTGGCGTTGCCATACCTCCGTCCTTGATCGTAGTCTGCTGCGCGGAGTTCCTAGAATAAGCGTTAGTTGGAAACAAGGAGATGTGGTTAAATGCGAATATACCTCAAAAGAGTATTTCTGATATGGCGGCATGCAGCTTATGCTTTGGTAGTGACATGTAACCGAGGAGCTGGGCTCTTTTTCTTCATAAGCATTGAAAGGCGGATTTGCAGTTCCGCTAGGGGGTGGAACGTTGCCGCTCAAAGCTGTCCCCGTTCCAAATCCTGTTCCAGAACCAAAGCCTGTGCCACCACTACTTCCTCCGCCAAAAATACTGGACCCCTGTTGGGTGCCAGTCCCGAAACCGGCGGTTTGAGTGTTTGAAAACATGCCAGTGTTAGTTGCTGGAGTTGCAGTATTGCCAAATGCAGCTCCGGTTCCGAACGCGTTGCCACCACCGAAGGCGCTTGTTCCTTGACCGAACATACCACCTCCAGTAGTTGTCGCGGTGGTCCCAAATCCTTTATTCTGACCTCCAAACATGGTGTTTGTTGGCGTACTGGTAGTCCCGAAACCTAATCAGAGAAGTAGTCATGTTAGCTTAGAAAGATCCTCAATGGCGAAAACAAAATATGACCACAGGCGCATCCACGGTCGTAATCCACTAAATGTATGGGAACTTCCTGGTCCGATTATGGGAATATGCGCGTCGAACCAGCCAAGTCCCTCGCAGGAGCAAATCAGGAGGAAAAGCTACAGTTGCCACTTATTGTCGGAGATCTTCATGGCAGGAAAACAGTAGTTATTCCTCACAGCGACTGCCAGTGTGGAAAAAGCCTTGGGTTGCCGCAGGAAAAGATATTCTTTTTCGTTGAAAGAACATACCTCCTCCAGAACCAAAACCGCTAGAAGAACCAAACGTAGTTCCTGGGGCGCCAAACGGGGAGGAAGATGGTTTGGATCCGAAGCCTAGACGAATGGATCATTCGCATTAGACGGGAGTTTCTGTTGAATAGTGCCACCACTGGGTAGAGGTCCGTCCTGGAATCTTCGTTTGGTCGTTTCAACTTTTTTCGACTTGAATTTTTCTTTCTCTTTTTTTTTGTCATTGTCGAAAACCACGAGATCCAGTTGAACGCCCAGCAGGTGAATAATAACGACGCAGATAAACGCGAGGGCCCACGCGATCGCGTCGCAGAGCACGATTCGGAAAAAAAAAACGAAAGCCAAAAGAAACGCAAAACGTTCAAAGAAGCTGAGCGCCGCAAGAAAGGGAAACCTACCTGTGCCTCCAGTTGTCCCAAAGCCCGTACCAGTCCCGAAACCAGTGTTTTGCTGTTGATTGCTGGCGCCACCAAAGGCCCCAAAGCCCGTGCCGGTGCCGAAGCCCCCTGACATGATGGCCGATTACGACTCGAAATCACTCAGTTTCACAATTCCTTCCAGTTCCGATATCGTTTAAGCCATGAACTTGTAGGAAATCGCGCGCGGTGCGTAATGGGAGGGGAATCGAAAACAGGGGCGGAAAACTCGCTCGTCAAACTTCTGAAATTGCTTTGCAATGAGAGCAGATTCCGCGATCACACAAATTACACAATATTAAGGAAGAAACTAAATGTGAGATTCGAAGCGTAGGTGATAAAATGACCTTGAAAATGCCGGATAAAAGACGAAGAGCACTTTGTTTTATATGGCGAAAAGCTGAAGCGACATCAAAAGAGCAACGCGAAGTTGGGAGCTGCGCTAGCCCAATGTGGCGAAGCATGGGGCTCGCTTAGGTAATCGCGTTGATGCCTAAAAGGGGAAAGCTCATGTGACGCGCTCGGCTGACTCAACAGCTATCGGATTAGCTAATCAAGACGACCTCTTCCGCTCGCCTTAAAGGATATCAATCAGTGCGATAAACATTCGATAAGGTATTGATGATGGTCATAATTGAGCTAGCTTCTCGTATAATAGACATAAAACCAATCCGTGCATACAGAAACTCATTTGTCAGGCTGCCCCAAAGTGAAGCAACCCTTACCCAAGAAATCACAGTGGTATCAGCGAACAATACTCCGTAAGATAACCTCGAATTGAATCTCTGACCAGAAACGCCTAGGGCAACTATTCTATATCAAGATGGTCACAAGCATCCTGTATCCACCATTTTTATATTATATATCAAGCGGCGGTTGTTGTTTTCGCTGAGATCGCAGCTGCTGCGTTGGTGGCCGTATTGGAAGCTACAGTGGCAGCAGCAGAGGCGGCGGCGTCAACTACTTTCTTCCACTCATGATAGGTATCAAGAATCTTAGAAACCACGCTGGGATCAGAAAGCTGTTCCGGGTGTCATCATTAGTTCAACTTCTGATCTGGTACGCCAAATTGCTGGGAGAAAGTCACTCTCACATACCGTTGAGATGTCGCCGAGGCTATCTTCCTCGCCGCTTAAAATCTTGCGCAAAATCCGTCTCATGATCTTGCCGCTACGTGTCTTCGGAAGGTCGTCGATCACGAACACAACCTTCGGAGCAGCAAACGGGCCAATCGATTTACGAACCTGCATTACCAGTTCTTTTCGAAGTTGTTCCTTGTTCTCGTTACTATTCTTCAAGGCAACAAAAGCATGCACAGCCTGTCCTGTCAATGGGTCTGGAATACCAACGACAGCGGCTTCAGCAACGGAGTCTAACAAACAGAAGTTAGTTCTATTCAAGATCAGGCAGCTGTGATACGTCGCTTACGGTGTTCGATAAGAGCAGCTTCGATCTCCGCAGTCGAAAGGCGATGACCAGACACGTTCACAACATCATCCACGCGTCCTCTAATCCAATAATAGCCTTCATGGTCTCGCCCGGCGCCGTCTCCGGTGAACTGTCGCGTTGTTAGGAAAGACAGGAAGATATGGTCAAAGTGAAATACTCACATAATAACCTTTATAGACATTGAAATAAGTGTCCATATATCGTTTATGATCACCCCACACAGTGCGGGCCATACTTGGCCATGGCTTCTTGAAGGCAAGAATTCCCTCGACATCATTTCCGTGGACCTCTACGCCCGTAACGGGATCAAGGATAGCAGGGTCAATACCAAAGAATGGAAGCGACGCACTTCCTGGCTTAGTTGGCGTGATGCCAGCGAGAGGAGTGATAACATGGGAGCCGGTTTCGGTTTGCCAGTATGTCTGGACGACATTAATACCACAGCGGATATTTCAGAAGGGGCCAACCTACATCAACCACGTGGGCTTGTCTTTTTCCAATAACATCATGGTACCACTTCCAGACCTCAGCTGCGATAGGTTCGCCTACAGAGCCCAGAACGCGCATATCTTTCATTTCGTGATTGATATGATGGTCGCCCGCACGTTTCAAAAGCCGCAACGCAGTTGGTGCGACATAAAACTGGGTCACCTTATGCTTTTCAATAACATCCCAGTAACGGGAAAAGTTAGGGTATGCTGGTGTGCTTTCGAAGACCACAGTGGCACATCCCAGAAGCAACGGGGCATAGACAACATATGTATGCCCTGTAATCCATCCAACATCACCGCCGCAAAAGAAACGGTCGTCACGGTGAACATCGAAGACGTATTTGCAAGTGGCGGCTGCCCCTACAAGATAGCCAGCTGTTGTATGCATAACCCCCTTGGGTTTTCCAGTCGAGCCGGACGTATATAGCAGGAAAAGAGGGTCCTCAGAATCCATTGGCTCAACAGGAATATAGTTTGGATATTTTTCGACTTCTTCATGCCACCACAAATCACGGCCCTTGGTCCAGGGTACATCTGCGCCGGTTCTTTTAAAGACGATGCAGTTGACAACGTCTGGGCATTGTTTCAACGCCTCGTCTACTATCTTCTTCGTCCCGATGAGTTTTCCGCCACGTTTACCCTCATCGGCGGTTATAACGAACTTTGATCGCGCATCGAGAACACGGTCGCGCAAGGAATCGGAAGAGAAACCTGCAAAGACGACAGAATGAATAGCACCAATGCGAGCACAGGCTAGGAGCGCAACGATGGCTTCGGGAATCATAGGAAGATATATTGCCACAGTATCACCTTTCTTAACACCCTGACTCTTCAGAACCCAAGCCAGCTGGCAGACTTCCTTCAGTAACTCGCCGTAGGTGATATACCGGCCCTGGTCAGGTTCGTCTGCTTCATATATTATAGCCGTCTTGTCTGGATTCTGCATGGCATGACGGTCGACACAATTGTACGAAGCGTTCAGGCGACCACCGACAAACCATGCGTTATCCCCCCCAGCAAAAGACCCAATGTGAGTTTTGACGAAATCTTTATCAAATGTGATAAGCTCGCGCGCCATGCGCGCCCAAAACGTGTCGGGGTCGTTTATGGATTCTTGATAGAGCCGGTTGTACTCATCCATATTCCTCAGGTGCGGTCCATGGGGATGGTTGTGATGGAATGCTTCCGGGACATGGAAAGTATCGACCTGGTGGGCCTCTATAACCTGTGTTCAAGAAGAGTCAGCCTCATGTGTTGCTGCGCCAACTGACCAAGTTCAGACGAAAGAGGCCTTGGCTCTAAGCCCCGAAGAAGCAAAAAGTTATGCACATGTTCACGGAATGCCATACCACTGGGGCCTTTGGTTCAGCGGGAGACTCTGACATCTTAAAAGCTGACCCGCAATACCAGTTTATGCGTTCAAGAGCTGACCTGGGCAAGATCCGAAGATTTTGTTGGTGGTGGTGATGGGAGCAGAGAGTGAGAGGAAGAAACGATGAGCTGAAGGAGTGCCCGGGTCAATGCGTCAATGGAGAGCAGCGAAGAGAGGAGTGGAGAGGAGAGTAGGTCGGTGGCAGGGATGGCCGAAGGGAGAGAAGAGTCAATCAATGCTGGTAATCTTGGGAAGGAGGAAAAGAGGCTCAGGCGTCTATATGTATCCGGCAGGCGATCATCATTGCCCCAGTGACGGCGCAAAGCGGTACCACGCCTGGCCAATACGTAACTGGCCCGCTGTCCCATCAGCAGCACCCGGTACAGGTCCCGTACACCGGAACACAGTGAGCCTGTATCGAAAAGTGCGGGCGGCTGTAATTATCTTTCGCTGGAACATACGGTGTAACTACCAAGGCCCCCTATTCACGCGGATTGACTTTTGACACCCCGCCATCCACCAACTTAAAAACCGCCCATTAGTGCGGGGCATTTATCGGCGCTTGCCCGTGATGATAACACCGGGACTCCCTTTCGGTTGTACGGAGCCCAATAATTCGTCGTACTAGTGGCCTCTTAATAAGAATTATAGCCTGTCCGAGAAAAGAAGCTCCCTTGCCGAAAGCTCATTGAAATCTCTGCTCCAGCTTAATTTTGCTTGATTTTTTGACCTGTTGTCGGCGAGATGTCGGCCTTGGACTTGGACCACGCTTGTGCCGAAAGAAACGTCCTCGCTCGTCCTTCTCACCGAGAACTTTCCTTAAGCCCGGTTAACTTACACGCCAATACGTCCATAAAATACACGGCCTCTGCCCGTTTAGAGTCTTGCTATATATGGCTTCGCGTTCGCGCTGTACAATCCCATCTTTAGTGATCTTCATCCTGTGTGCCCGGCACGCGATCCTATGACACTCGAAATATCGGTTTTAGCTTCAATATTTACCCGTCTTTTCAAATGGCCATCGAAACACCACCAGCCGTCAATGGACGAGGCGACGTGCATCCGTTACACAAGCTGGTCTCGACGTGTGACGCGTGTAGGGAGCACATCCCTGCAGCGATCGCGGGTAGTTACTTATGCGTCTGAATGCGAGTACGGCCCTTTGAACGCTGTTGACTGATTCTTCCGTGTTCCAATATCGGCCCCTGAAGCACTGCGAGAAGAATCCCCGCTGCAGCTGAACTAAGGAGGCCATAAAGGTCCCCCCCCCATCCATTCGCCCGTGTGGATGACCCGGAGCCCCGTGTAGTACTTGCCGATGGGACTAATTAGCGTAAGATCCGTAACTACCAAGCGCGCAGACGTGCTGTCGAACTTGCCAATTGAGCTCGCAATATATTGATTTCATGGTTATCGGCTTTGAAGCTTTTAAAGCCCATAAACAAGGTATGTGCTAATGGAAGTGGAAAGCTTGTCTCCAATTCCTTGTCATCCACACGTCCAGTCATATAACATAACCTCATAACCACAACATGTCCATGAAAATTCAGCTGTTGATAATTTCAATTTACTCACAATTCAAAAACAACGAGACCACAATCAACATACCGCTTGCATACAGTAGATTTCAGTCAAGACTAAAATATCCTCCGAGAGGATGTAACAGTGCTCAGCCCCCTTTCAGTATATCTCGCATGGCTTGCCCAAATCCACTGGAGCTCCTTGCCCAAGATTCAACAGGACGGAGGACCCCTCACGGGGTACTGAAACAAAGACGGCGCTGCAGGCCCTTGTGACATGTTGCCCATCGTGATGATTAGTCCAATTCCATATGATAGGCTTCCATGAGAAACAAGGGTGCAATGGTTTTTGCCATGATCGTGACTCAGTATTAAGCAAGACTGAGGAAGACCTGAGCCCCGACCGTTGGAGGAGTTACACCAGTATTGAAACAGCACGCAGCACCCTTCCCGGCAAGCTAAGCCCAGGTGGCATTGCTGGGAGACAAAGCGAATTTCCTTGGTCGTTTATGAATCAGCCTTTTCCCCGCTTGAGAATCTAAAAATGGCATTTCTAGATTTTGCTTCACATGTTTTCAAAAAATGATTATCGGGCTTGAATATATCATATCAATTATTTTGGCTACGGCATAAGGATATCATCTTGAGTGTGCTCACAACTTGTAGCGGTAATTCGCCCATAATTCCGTTATGGCCAGCATAAACAAAATTATCCTGCCGTCCTTCATAACATTCGAAAAAATCTGCATCCACGGCCGCACAGTCCGCAGCTGACCACTGCCCATACTCGTCAACACCCTCCCTCCAGCGAGAATAAGCTCCGCCGTAACAAAGTGCATAAACGGATTTTGAGCCGTAGCCGGCGGCGGTGGGCGTTTCCCATAAGTTGCCACAGACGTCTGAAACACAAACATCATCCAGAGCCCGATAACACAAGCAACAACCGTATGAAGGAGGCGCCACGTCTTGTTTTTCCGCTGATCCTCGGGCGACTCTGGTCGTAGCTGCTGCGTGAACAAATTGGCCATTGACGACGGCAAGCCAAACGCAGTGAGGTTCTGAGACAGTATATCCGCGACCGGTGGACCTGCGGCTCCTCCGCTTCCACCGGTGGGATCCGACGGCGCGGAATCGAGACCCATCAGTGAGCCGAGGAGTTTTGCGGTTGGGTCCGTTTCCTCCGGCTGGTCAAGGGGTTGTTTGGATCGTAGTAAGGCGCGCAAGTAAGCTTCTTGCGCTTCGATGCTCTCGGGGGAATTGTCGGCGGCGGTGGTGGGTTTGGGTAACGGTGAGACCGATTGGGATTGCTCCTGTGGTTGGAGCTCTGGGGTTGAGCTGTTTAAAGGGCTAGCTGAACGGGAGGGCTCGTCTGCCACCGCTATATATGCGCATATGTTAGTTCTTTCAGAGGCCAAACAATATGCACCTGCAAAATGGGTTTTCTCGAGGTCCTCACCACTAGCAGGAGTCCTTCCGCTCAGACTGGTGATTTTGTCTAATCTTGCAGAGCCGCCGGCTCTAATTTTCGCCTCTCGGCGTTCTCGCCGGAGACGAGCAGCCTGCTGGGCTGGGGATTCTTCCGCAGTGGACATCCTTGAGCTGAGAAGGACGGTTGATTGTGAAAACGTCTTGTGTATGGAGTAGCTATGTTGATGTCACTTGTCACCAGTTCTTCAAACCATGCCTGTTTGCTTTGTTTGTTAGAATCGCCAGCTGGATGTTTGTCTTGTTTGCAGTCACCCCGGCTGCCAAGTCCAACAGAGTACTCCGTACGGAGTAATTAGAATGCACGGCGGAGGCAATCATCAATGGAGAGAGGATCATCTCATGCCTGAAGCTAAGGAGAATAATGATCAGATTTCCAAGTTTCTTGATGGCTAGGATTCGAACCTCTAACCCTGGCAGGGTTAACTAGTGTATGTCGAACAGGCCCTTTTTGAAATGGTCTCTTCAAATAACAGGCCCTTCCTATCCTTACAAAACAATAAGTTCATAAACTGAACTCTACACAGAACCAATCGTCCTTACTGCACCATCTCCCATTCCACTGAAAATATTGCTGCTCGCGATTATGTTTGATGCACTTCTGTGACGCAAACCCGGTTAACAGGTCGGCCCCAAGACCTGACGTCACATCTAGCTCCCAAGCTTAACGAATGAATTCAAGCTCCTCTCAATCGATATGTGGAAATTCAATCGTAACTGGGATAATTTGCACTTGGACTTGGTGGCCAAGAAAATATATGCTCCATTGTTCAAACATCACTGCCGCTCCTCGGCCCTGATACAATATGACGTAGTAATATGACATCCTGAAGATTGACTTTTCCAGGAGCTGGGTCAGAGCTACTGTTGGTTGTATAAACTCACCGGAATGTCTTTTGACCATGCATACACCCCTAGCTAGGGAATTATTTCAATCGGCCCTGTAGAAAGTGCTATAGACTTTCTTTTCCCTCAGGACGCTGATCCACTTTCCACCCCCTTTAGGGGAATCCTCACATACATATCACCTCTAGATCAAATCCATTCCCCTGGCCCATTGCCGCAACCATGACGACTCAAAAGAAGCCCGGCGGACACTGGAGTGCTGAAAACCCCATCCCGACGATCCAGCAATTCATGCAAAGCCTGGACAAGGACAAGAAAGATCGGGATAAGCAGATCGACGAAGCTGAAAAAGCACACCAGGAAGCACAAAAGCACCAATCCCGGGATCAAAGGCGACTTCCAGGGCGAGATAAAGAGACGGAGGCGCCTCCTCATAGTCCTGCGCCGTCAGTCAAGAATAGAAGACGCACCGTTACCGATCCAACCACTGGCAGGGAGATTGAAATCGACGATGTGGGAAAAGAACATATGAAGGCTGTTGAGGAGCCCAAGGTAAATCACTGGCGCAATGTGCTGATTAGCTTAACGAAGTTGGAATTAACGGCGAAACCCTAGCTCACTATACCAAATGCAAACCTTGGTTTACCAACCGTGAGTTGTCCAGGTTTCTCTGCCGCGCGATTTTCATGCTGACCGTAAGAAGGACATACAAACACAACCGGACCAACCGCTGCACGAATATAAGCATAAGCAGGATATCACTGCCCCTCCAGAGCCAGTTGCTGAAGGAACAACTTCCGATGTTCCAATCCATGGCGAAAAGACGAACGTGCTGTTCCACCCTACGCCTTCGGTTAGCTATGAACCCATGTTCAAGTCCTTGGAGAAGCGTGGCGGTGTACTCTGTATGGGAGTATTTTGGGCCATTTTGATAGCTGGAAAGTTAGCAGGAGGGGCACTTAAATGGCTCATTCCACTATCGTTTTGTGTTGTGTCCGCTGTATGGCTCTGGGTTCAGGACGTGATCCGCAAAGGGAGACAGCATGAATGGCAGTCCGAACAGATACGAGGTCAAACGGTAGGGCGGGTCCTGTCTGCAATTCAAAAGTGTTCAGAACTAATGATGAGCGCAGGCCACAGCAAATTTACTCCCGGAATCTGTCGAATGGCTAAACAGTCTTCTGGAAGTCGCCTGGGGCTTGATGAATCCGGACATGTTCGCCGGCGTCGCCGATACCATTGAAGATGTTATGCAAGCATCAGTCCCAGGGATCATTGAGAATGTTCGAATTGCGGAGATTGACCAAGGATCGAATCCGTTCCGGGTCCTGAGTCTCAGATCGCTCCCAGATAGCCATGTACAGCAATTGGTGGATGGCATGCGGGAGCATAACCAGAAGACCAAATCTGCGGATGAGGCAGCCGCAGAGGAAGAAGGCGGAGAGGTTTATACGCTTGAATGCTCATTCGCATACCATGCTAAACCAAGCGGCAACACTTCTTCTGCCAAAGCACAAAACATGCACATGATGCTGGTGTTTTACCTGGGAGTCAAAGGGCTCTTCGGCGTTCCTCTTCCAATCTTCGCGGAATTGATAGAAGTGGTTGGAACCATCCGGCTTCGCTTACAGCTAACTCCTGAACCGCCGTTTGCGAAAACATTGACTTTTAGTTTAATGGGCCTTCCACATGTTCGAGCCGGCTGCGTCCCTATGGTTAGGCACGGCGTAAACATTCTGAATTTACCGCTAATATCCAATTTCGTCAACTACGCCATCGGCGCAGCAGCCAGTCTGTACGTCGCGCCAAAGTCCATGACAATCGACATTGCCCAGTTGCTGCAAGGCGACGATATCCAAAAGGACACATTGGCGATGGGCGTGCTGTGGGTAAGGATTCACCGTGCAGTAGGGTTGAGCAAGCAAGACAAACGGGGAAGTTATGGTGGAGGAAGCGATCCCTACATCAACCTCTCGTTTTCGAAATATGGAAAACCCATGTATTGCACAAGAGTTATCTGCGACGATCTCAATCCCGTGTGGGAGGAATCAGCGGGTCTCCTAGTGAACCCAGAGATCATCAAAGCCGACGAACAGCTGAGTATCGAATTGTGGGATTCTGACCGAAATACGGCCGATGATATCGTAGGCAAGGTTGAGCTGTCTGTTCAGAAAATGATGCAACATCCGGGCAAAATGTATCACATGTCCTCCAAGCTTTGCGGTATGGATGCCGGTTCAGAGATGCCAGGAGAGTTGCATTGGGAAGTCGGGTATTTTGGCAAGCCACGCATGCGAAAAGAGCTTCGAACCGATGGCAAGAACGAGAGTCTCCCGGACCACATGAAGGGCAACCCAAAACTGCAGGATGAAGCTGGAAGTATTCTGAACGAAGAGCAAGATGCCGTGATGCATACTCCCCCTGATCCTCTCTGGCCAAGCGGAATTTGCAGCATTGTCATTCATCAGATTGTCAACCTGCAATTTGCAAGGACCAAGGGGACATTGAAGAATCGCAAAGGCCACGAGTACGATCCCGCCAGAGAGTATGGGGAGAATACGGACGAAGAAGGGAAAAATCTGCCAACGAGTTACTGTACGATCTTGTTGAATGATCAGTTGGTCAGTAACAGTCCTGAATGCAACAATCTAGACACTTTAAAGCTAACGTGGTACAGGTCTATCGAACACGAGCCAAAGCCGTTTCGAGTAAGCCAATATTCAACGCCGGAACAGAGCGATTCATCAGAGATTGGCGATCAGCTATCGTCACAGTCGCGGTTCGCGATCAACGGTACCGGGAGCATGATCCGATCCTGGGCGTGGTGCCATTGAAGCTGTCGGAGATCTTGCAATCGCGGTCGCAAGTGACAAGATGGTACCCACTCGATGGCGGCGTTGGATACGGTCGCATTCGCGTGTCGTTGCTCTTCCGAAGTGTCGAAACTCGGCTCCCACGCCAGATGTTGGGCTGGGATGTTGGAACATTCGAGGTTGTGTCGGATCGCATCACCGCCAAGGATTTCGCCCACAGCGTCAAAGTCAAGTTGCGAACCAGCGGAAGCTCAACCTCAATTTCTCGCTCAGCGTGCCATCGCTTGGACACCGGAGACGGAGTATACATCGATGTGAGCTCGGAAGAGGCGAAAAAGAACACTCGATTGCCCGTTCAGCACCGTTACCGCTCTGCCGTGGTGTTGGAGCTGCACAACGGCTCTACCACAGGCTATGCTCTCATTTGGCTCCAAGACATTCCGGACAATGAAGAGTTCGCTCTTGATGTACCAATATGGACAACCAAGAATTCACAGCGACTGACGCAAAATTATATCACGGAGGATAACTGGGAGCAGAAACGCGAACCTGGTTTGGAAGACTTAGCCATAGCAGGGCGACTCCAACTCTCGTGTCGCTTCGCTCCCGGCCTAAGCGACGCTCACGAACGCCTTATTGCAGACAATAACCTGAGAGAGACATACGAGAGCTGGGAAGCCTGCATCGCCGAAGGCGTTCGCAAGCGCCAGGTATCAGCAGACGTCCCAGAAAACATCAGACAACTGCACAACAAATCGCTGATCAGCGAACGCGACGTGCTCCAGCATAATCCCGCAGAAGGCGCGGAAGACCAAGAACAGTGGTTCAAAGACCACGGCCTCGACTGGTCAATGGCCTTTGGAGACAATCCCCACGCCCTTGCTGACTTCAGCCAGGTACCAGGCGATCAGTCGGACACCGCATCGATAGGCGATCAGGAAGAAAATACCCCGCAGCATAGCAAAGGCGAACCCGTGAACCAAGCGGACGGCGACCAGCATACGGAGGAGGACATGCACGAGATCGAATCCATGACGACGAACACGAATTCCCATAGCGGCGATTTCGAAACGAGAGAAGATCGACGCCAGCGGGTCGGCAACAAGCAGAACAAGCGCACTGAGAAACGCAAACTTCGCGGGTCCATGCAATGGGCACCAGCGCGGAATGCGGCGTTCGTCAAGGATGAAGCTACTTTTGCTTTGAAGAAGGTGAAGAACAAGGTTACTGGTGGCTTGACGGGACGGGAGCCTGATATTGAAACAGAAATTGGATAGTGGCTTCGTAAGATACAGACGCTGATGGATAACAGTCTTCTTTTTTTCATCTGTCTTCATCGCTATTTTGTTTATATATCTTTTGACGTTTTCGTTTGTCCTTTATGAGTTACCGATGAACCAATTTTGATTTGCAGCTTGAATGTACTGTACATACTTGTCAGCCCTTCTATCAGCATGTTCTCTGGGGATTATGTTGGTAGACCAATATAACTACCAAATGAAATTGAGATAGAATCCAACGGGAAAGATGAAACCAATGAAAAGCAACCGATACGACGAAAAAACGAATCGTATACGGAGTAGCAATGTGAGGAGATAAGAAACACGGCCTATACGAACGACTACATGGGAAACAGGCCTACTCGAGGTGTATTTATGTATGGTCTGGATTATGTAAATCGATGAAAAGCAATTCCAGCAGTAAATCCAATGGCCGCAGAGAAAAGCCCAGCTACCGCGGCGGCCGTGCTGCCTATTGCCAGAGCATGGCGGAGGGATACTAGAGCCAAAATCAGTATTATTTAGTTTGCGAGGCGAGATCAACAAAGCTCATACCAGCTCCTTTCGGGGCTTCATTCGTGATGGTATGCTTAGCTGAAGTTTTGAGCCGAGCTTTCTTTCGCGGCGGCTCTGACTCAGAAGGAGCTTCACTTCCATCCCCATCCTGATCATCGATCTGCAGCCTACGCTTGTTGCTTCTCTTTTTAGTTGGCACGCGGCAAGGCCTTTTTCTCGGTAGCTCTGCATCGGAATCATCTGACTCGGTTGAAGCCCTTTTGCGCGTTCCTGACTTCTGCAACAGAGCCTGCAACAGTGGGTTGATATCTAAATGGATGTTGACGTTGATTTTACCGTCATTTGACTGTGACAAGCCCCCTTTTTCTTGCAAATTAATTGGTGGATTGAGTGAACTTTGATTGAGAGGAATATTGTGCATTTCATTCTGGGCGTTAGAAAGGGGAGGCTCAACATCGTTGGCGAGGTCCAGTTTAGGTCTGTGGTCAATGACCAGGCTTCCATTGGAACCGTTTGCGAGTCGTGGACCTTGTGTGGGAACGGGAAAGCCAATATCAGGATCGTGCTGATTTGCACTAGAATCAAGCTTAAGATTCCCACGATGGGCGTTTTTTATGAGTCCTGGATCTCTTCTAGGATTGGCGGGGAGATTCCCAAGGCTAGCACCGTTGGTTACCAGTTGGTTTATATTAAGATTGGCTTTGTTTGTGGATTGGAGCTCTTTTCCAGGGTTTGCCGAAAGAGCTCGAGCGCTTGCAATTTCGCGATATGTCTTTGCAGGCGCGGAAATATTTTTGACAGGCTTTGGCGCACTCGAATCCGTTTTATCCGCGGGTATATCTCTAGGACGAGTGCCATTAGCAGGTTCTGAAACTGCCCTACGACGACGAATTGGCGGTTCAATGTCAGAATCTTTTTCAGGTTGCGCAGGAGGGTTGCCATTTGCTTGTAAGTAATATGGAAGCTTTCCGATTTGATAACCCGCCAAACCGATTGGATCGGCGTTTAATCTGTCCATCATGGCTCTATTTTTTCTCACAACCGCAGAGGTTATCCAACGCTTTGGATGGGGCTCCGCTGCCGGTGTGCCAAAGTCTGGTGGGTGTGGTCCGAGCGGCCACATACGCTCCCAAGGAAATATTCGTTGTGCGGGGTGTCGTTTTCTAAAAAGCCATTCAGCACCATAAAGGGCGTCTCAGAAATGAAATGTCACGCCTACGCTTGAAAGTCGCGACGAGTATAAACCCTTGTGCCCCCGGGAGTCGTTTGAATCGGCGTCGGAATGGAGTCCAAGGAAGGGGGGTAGCCGGGGGTAGCTTCGGGGGGAGCTTCGGGGGGAGAGGAATCCTCTTTTCTACTTGCTTCGATTGTCTTTTTAGACTCCTCAAAGATTTCGCGCAATTGATTGTAGACTAGTAACTCCTGCTTGCGCACTTCCTCTGGGTCGTATACTACCTCCGGGATCGGGGCCGCCATGCGCATGAAGAAGCTAGGGGAGGGGGTGAATCCAAAGTTGTCGCTTTCCGAGTCCGACGAAGGGGAATAATGTCGTCCCAGTTCTCGGTCTATTTCCTCTCGCCGCCTCCTTCGTTGGACATTTGTGAGTCTTCTCACAAGGGAGTCTGCGTTGATGCCGTCTCCGGAGATAGTCTCAGCAGCTGAGGCTTGGGAAGTCATCCTGGGTTCAAAAAGAGCAAATGCGAATACTAGCTTGCAAACATAAAGAAGGGTAGGACATATGAGGAGCTGGAGATAGCAGAGTGACTTTGGTTTCCATGGGTGACGGGTCTGTCGGTTGAAGGTGCCAGTTTAACTTACATAAGTCTCCGCCAGCCGTTACCACATGATCTGGTTAGTTAAGCGCCCGAGTTCCACTAGTTAACTGGCGGTCCGCGCCGTCCCGTCCAATCTTGGTGCCCAATACAAAGTCATTACGGCGCTGTGAGTGAACTGGCCACTCCTGCTGCGGCGCTTAGCTGCCAAGGCGAACAGGCTAGTAACGCGTACCACAACGTCCCCAAAAATGGAAGTTCAGACCACCTCTACTCCTTGACGCCGGCCCCTGCATACCACACTCCCTCTCCCACAATAACCTCACCCGTATTAGAGCGCTTCATGCAGGCTCACGGACCCTTTGTTCTCAGCTGCCTCAAGCCAAGCAGCGAGGAGCTCCGTTCCTTTGATTCGCCTTGGACTTAGCCGCCTTCGATTCACGGTTGATTAATCTCCTTCTCAGTTAGAGTACCCATCCTATCAGGGCGACAGCCTGCTGCTTTACCCAGGGTGCTGTTTCAGCCGCCAATTGTATGCGCCCGGCTAAATAAAGACCGTCCCCTGATCATTAAGCGTCGAGATGATCGGAACGTGGTTCCAATTGTTCGATATCAGTTGCCATCTGCCTATTCGACCGGGACCTGTTGTGAGTCTGACCGGTCCGCATCTCCCCAACAGGAATGACCTGGGTAGGATCTAATTTGATCGCGCTTGGAGGCACTGGTTGCGCTCAGCCCCTTTTGTAACCCGGAGCCTTACGCGCCGCCTACCAAATCCCCACGATCCAGTCACAAACTATCCGAGCCATGATGCTTGAAACCATGCCTTGCTTGATACCCTAAACACTCCCTGCTTTACGCCGCTTCGGGCCTCTAGGCATCTCATGCCTTGTGGGATTCAGTTTTAATGTTTTAAGCGCTTGGGATTTGTTTCAAACCCGGCTCTCTGCGTTCCAGCTGTGTATACCCGCTTCCTGGTACATGGGTTGACTTGGGGTCTTAGACTGATTTTGACTCCGCTTAAGGGCAGTCTTGAGCATAAATACCATTGCCTCTTCCACCTTCCCCAGGTTCTTGATCCATAGTCCTTAGGTATCAGAGCTTATGTTAAATATCTTCCTACTTCAAGCGTTTTACCTCCAAGGTTATCTCCAACTGAGATCCGGAACTGAAACTGGACCCGCCCCGCCTCTGTCGCATTCAATTGTCCCTCGGTCGTCATGCTCAAACTGGACCTCGAAAACGTCATTTTGTTTCTCACACCATTGAATGATGCCGCACGGGGAGCGACCTACTTGCCTGCTAATAAAAGCCGTGTGGTCATCGACAGCCATGATCCCCAGCACCGAGTAATTTCTCTTGCCTTTACCTCTCCTCCAAGCAACCCCAGAAAAGGTTTTGTTTTTGGGTCTGGTAAAAAGAGTGATATCCGCTTAAATTCTCAATCCATTACCGATCCTCACTTTAGCATCGACCTCAGCAGCAATGGAGTTACAATCCTTTCGAACAAATCCTTAAATGGGACGAGTATTGGGAAAAGAACACTAAAAAACCGACAGATCCAAGTTATTGAGCAGAATGCGATTATCGGTTGCGCAGAACTCAAGTTCCGTGCCACGACGCCAGGCCGAGGATTGGCCCAACAGCTTTACAACATGAGGGTAACAAACTATTGGGCATATAAGCTGTTTGGGCGTGATATGAGTTATGCAACCGCGCATACAACTTCGATTTCGTCTCGCGAGAAAATTGGGAAGTACTGGGAAGTTGGAAATCTCGGATCCGGCGGCTTTGGATGCGTCTCTAAGCTTATTGATTCCACCTCGGGCGATGTCTTCGCAGGAAAAAGGTTTATCAATTTGGGAAACTCAGAGAATAGGAGGTGTGCACATTCAGAGATCAAGACGCTCCAGCAACTTTCACATGTAAGTCACACCTTCGAACTAGCACTTCATCTTCTCAGTCAATAACTAACAAGGCTTTTTGTCAGCCAAACATTGTTAAATTCATAGATCAATGCTACCCATCTAATGGGATCCTATACTTGGTCATGGAATACCTTCCTGGTGGCAGCTTGAAAAGTTGCGGCCGGCTGAGCCGATCAACCGTTATTGAGTCATTGCGCCAATGTCTTGCGGGTCTTGTATATCTACATGGACTCAACATCATGCACCGGGATATTAAACCGGATAACATCGGTGTTGTGTCTCTTTGCCCTTTGCAAGTGAAATTGATCGACTTTGGGTTAGCGAGTGCAGAACCAATCTCCAGAACCCAGTGCGGGACAGTATTCTACTTCGCGCCAGAGTTATTTTTAGGATCTCCCTATACCCCTGCAGTTGACATTTGGGCACTTGGAATAACAGCATTGGAGCTGCTGAGTGGACTTCCAAAGGAAGCGGGGCGGAAACTACTAGAGGACTCGACGTCAGGACTTAACATTTATGCATATCTAAATGCGATTTTGGAAACCTTGAACGACTTACCAGAGCCATCTATCAGAGCTTTCGTGTTGGGTATGATTGAAAGCAAATGCCTGGTCCGCTGGACAGCGGAACGATGCTTGGAAGAGATCAGATCTATTGAGCACTCTGACATGGGTAATGCTGATGAACTTATGGCGGCCATCCACGACTGGCAAACCCCTAGCGACAATCCTGTGCCGGCTCCGAACCCAATGGACCATAACATGGCGGATTTTAATTTCCTGGATTTCAACCCTACGGTTCGCGCGAATGCGGCAAATCCCAGTAGGCCGTGCCAAAACAACATGCTTCCTACTAAGAATGTGGAGGACGTTGATCCCGCAATTCAACAGCGTGCGCCGGACGCAAACCCGAATCCTCCTAATATGCCGCCTATAGTCCAGCATCTCACAGCAGCTCACAAACTCCCCGCACTTCCTGAGCTTCAAGATCAAGTGCGGAAAACCTCGCACAAACCCTCGAGCGTTAGATCCTCGTCATTTGTTATCCGGAACAACAGTCTCCATGCTGCGACTAACAATATCACTCCGGCGGTTGAGAACCCGCAATCCGGCGATCCCCAGACCAACTCAGTCTCAAATTCCGATCAGTCTTCCAATTCCAACTCAGAGCCCGATTCCGATCGAGACTCAAATCAGGACCCCGAACCCATTGCCCAAAAAATTGATTAAACGGCATACATAACTGACCCAATTTCCGTACTTTTCCTGTCTTCCCCTCCTCCCTTCTTTGTTCTTCCTTTTTATAAGAAATCCAGAATTTAGGACTGTTTTTTCATCGAGGTTTTATGATTATGATCTGATGTCCTGTTGAATATCTCCTTTCGCCATTGCCTATGAAATTTGCTGGATATCTAATTTCCTCCCACAGAGTAGCTACAATGATGTTTTTATTTTGACGCAGCTCTAATTCCATTCGGATATTTATAGTGAACAACCAAGTTACCTAGCACTATCAGGGTCTTCCTTATTACCTAACTAACTGAATCTTATAATGTAGATTCCGCTATCAACAAGGCTCGATCGCGCACTTGCTCACGTCGCTGCTGCCGTCTCTTGAACAGGTAATACTCATCGGCGACCATCAAGAAAAATAAGCAGTACACTCCTTCTTGTAGGCCGTCAACTGTTCCATTTTCATTTCTGTGAATGGCCTCATCAATTCGCGTGCCTCTTTATCATGGAGCAGTTCAGTACCAGCAGGATCTCGCTCAGACAGTGCAGCCCAATAGACAGCGTCAATGTCAAAGCTCGTCCTTGCTGCATAATTGAACCAGAAACGCCCAGTGGCCCACGATTCACGCATTAAGGCTGAAAGACATGCCTACCAAGCGGCTGCTCCCCCCCAAATCTTGGTCCCCCTTCCACCCTTTCCAAAGCTTGCAAGAACTGTTCCATTCTGGGCTCGTAACGGGCTAGAAATTCTGCCATAGTATAGCGTTCAAGCCACATATCCGGACCCAAGAGCAGGAGCCACCAAGGCGGGTCATATGCGAATTGTGCTGGTGTGACGTTTGTGGACTCGGAGTCGAGAACTGCAGTAATCTCGAGCGTTTCCTCGTCGATAAGCATGTTCGAAGGTTGTAAGTCATCGCAGAAAAGGGTATATGGACCAGCATCATCAGTGCAGTACTTTGGGATAAGCTGCTCAAAGCGATGTCGAGCGACATACCGCTTCCAAGCATCTTCAGGATCTGTAGCAAGATTCCGCTGAGTCCAAAGGTGCGTGGTGTGTTCATCCGCTAGATCCTGGAAATAAGCTCTTGCGGATGCAAACGGTTCTGTAGGAAACTTGTCCGTGGGGTAGAAAGCAACAGTTGCCAGTTCGTTCATGTTGTATGTTAAGGGTCGGCTAGTAACTGACCATGTCTTCAGCACGGGATCCCTTGTGATGGCTCCGATGAGATTGAAATTGGATTGATAGAGTTGGAGTAGAAAGCTGGCAATTTGATCATAGACTTTGTCGAGCATTGCATTGTCAACATTTGGGCTCAGAATCACATCCTCGTCCTTAGACTGAGTTGGTTGCTTGAGGACAGTTGACAAACGCGTGCCACGGATGTAATCCATGATGATGAACGGGCCTAACTGGTATGGGCTCTCCTCAGTTCGACCCCAGTTGATGACTTGTGGTACTGGAATGGGTGTGGTTTCGCTGAGATATTGCATAAACCGGACCTCGTTTGCGACCTTTTCATCCCTAAACGCAGTGTGTCCTGGTTTTGGGAATCGTATAACAGCATCAGGTCCCGCATCGAATCGAACATGGAGGCCCAAGTTGAAAGAACCCTTTAAGTAGCCAACAATCTCTGTGACTTGACCCCTTCTGCACCGACTAGCGACAAAAGTTGCGATCTCAATCTTGAGGTCCAGTATCTTGCTCAACCAGTCCTTCCATTCATTGTCGCCATTAGTCTCCGCAAGCTCATCAAAGACGGTCATTTTAGCTTATGAGGAACGAGGCCGACTTGTGTTGGGATATTCACCCGCTGGTAAAAGTGGACGCAAGTGTGCCAGCTCACCGAGAAGAGGACTGAATTTTAATCCACCCAAGAGTCGGGTAACTAAGTATATAATCTGACTTGTTTAACATCTTTCTCAATCCTAGACCACCCTAAAAAGGATCTGCTCAGCTCTTGATGAGATCGCTCCCGGGGTAAATTTCGACATTTTACAGCTAGACCCTGGTGGTTTACATTTTAATGCCCCATCCTTTGCTAGCCAGGCGAGTTTGTCGTGCTTTGCTAAACACACTAAAGCGGCCAAGGAAGCAGTAGCATACACCCATGGTAGGGTGTACTAGAACCCGGAGGACGGGCTTGGTTCATTATGTTGGTGGTTTGTCTCGAAATTAGCTATATACTTGGCCTGTAGAGCCGAAACTGAGTCAGAAACGTACAAAGAGGCCAGGCTGTGTAACTAAAGAATGCTTGATTAAATCCCAAGGCTAAATTGGATGACTGCTAGATATGTCGAACCCTAGGTGATGCCAGTATATAGAAACAAAATCATGAAGAACTGCGGCTGTTTCTCTGGACAGACATCAACTGATGGTTAGCATCAATGGAAGAATAATTTTCTCGCTGTGGCGGATTGTTATCCATCCTGGCCGATTCGGCATCCTTTGCGTAAAAGCTCACATCTCCTTGTCCACATCATGCACGGCTGCGACCTTTTCTTTTTGTGACCCCACGAGGTTTCGATGCTGCTGTGGCAGCAGCGGGACGATTCGCATTTGTACGGGCCTTCTTCCTTTCTATCGCTTTTGTCGGACTCTTCCTCTGCCGCCGCTGCGGGGGCGGATCCTTTTTGTCGTTGGATAGCACCGGAGCATTTTTTAACTGTTGTTCTCTTGCCATGATTCGGGCGCTACGACGGGGGGCTTTTGCCATGATCCGGGCACTGCGACGGGGAGGTTGAGTTGGCTTGCTGATCTTTGAAGGCTCCACCAACGCTCGTGATGCCTGCCGGGTGGGCCGTGTCTCCTTGGAAACTGTGGAGCGATTCCCAACAGACTTCTTGAAGCCATGAGCTGCTGCTTCCGGTATATGAACATCCGCGTCTGCTTCGTCTCTGCAAGCCGTTGAGAGCGGTGGTATCGGTAAGTCAAGTCCTTCAAATAACCTAACACGCGGTACTGTCCTCGGCTCAGCGAGAGACATGGGACGCACGGGATTCGGTGCGGGCCGTGGAGATGGAGGAGGTATCTCCTCGAACGCATCAATCTCGCATGGCGTGAACTCCATGCAGCTGGGGTCCGGAGGTTCTGGAGACGGCGATTCGTGTCTCCATCTCCAACCTGGCTCATCACCCCAGCTGTCCTTCCAACATCCCTTTTCTTTCCATCTCGTAGCCACATTCCTCCGCGACGTATGCCAGAACTCTGAGCAATTCGAGTGTCGTCTCAGTCTCATCTCTTCGTCGTGAATCTCAACATGCCACATGAACCAGGGACGGGTTATGATCAGATCCCTGTCGTCGACCGCAAACGACAAGGTTGAGCCTGCCACTGGAGGTGGCGGATCAAGCGTTTCATCCCATTCGCCTCTTTCCTTGAGGTACAATCGGACTGCTCGCTCGCTCGGGTGCTCTTCATCCAACGAAGGCCAGCTGGCCATCTGTACCTCCGGCGGTAGGCTATCAAATTTCCGCTCTACATAAGGTATGTCGTCTCGCTTCCAACAACCGTTCCGCCTCCAACACCAATTGGTAGGTTCGTCGTTATCCCGACAACGTACGCGTCTGGGAATACCCCATTCCGGCTGCCACACTCCAAGGCGTTCCCATCGCTTCTTGATGCTGTGTCTGATCATGATCCGAAGCCTCTGTTGCCCAGCACGCCCATGCAAACTGGGTCCATGATAAAGCGGCTTACGATTCTCATCCCGCTTGCAGTATTCATCTTCGATCCGATCCTTTTCTTGGTTAAATTCATCATTATATCGGGCGAACGGGCGAGGCAAGCCGACTAATCTGAGCAGATGGATCTCCTACTCGGCTTGCGAGGGGGCTTGTCGAGGTTGTTGCTGTTTGCGACCGGTTGAAATGGGTCAGGTGTCGGTAGCCGGGTGATGCTGCCGGATGAATATGGTGGAGGCGGGTCGCTATTATCGAAACGGTGCCTGGTGCGTTCGAGAAATGCTGGATCTTCTTCCATACGTTGAAGGGCTGGCATAATCGCGTTGAGGCGAGCGGGGTTCATATCATGGACAGAGTGTACCACCATCACGCCGCTCAAAGGAATGAGAGTGAGCGATGAGTGTAGACTGTGAGCGATGATGGAGGATAAATGAAGCTGGAGGTTGGGCGAGGGAGCTTCAGCACCTGTTCAATAGGCGCCCTTGGCGTTTTGGGGTCTTTTGTTTCTCCGACGCGATTCCGATGCCCCTGCATATTTATTTATTTATAGCTAGTTGAGGGCCTCGGACCCCCGTCTCGTTGAGCGGCTACCAAAACAGTCTGTCATTCACTTGTGCCGTCAACTCGAGGCCCATTGGACAGGGTCTGTTGGTGCTGGCGTTTTCGTTGCCTGCATGAGTTGTCACAAGTCTCCGAGTGCTGCGATCCAATCGACTGTGGTGCGCGGGCGCATCGTGACGGCTCGTTCCTCCCCTGCTGTTGCGCAGCTTCAACAATGGCCAGGAACTCGAGATGAGCGTCGCAGTTGCATCCTCCCGGCGCCAACTGTTCGCACACCTCAGGATGAGAGGGGGTATTAATGAGACTTGCTGTTCCGCGTCTGACTTTCTTCCCATTTTATGCCATCTTTGATACTTTTACGTTTGGTACATCGTCCCTCATGAAATCTTTGTCCGACTGAGATTGCAGGCTTGCGTTTCCTATACCTGGCCGAGAAGTGCTATGCCTCGTCAAACGCCACATCCTCAAACCCTCTTCCATCTAGTTCCGTGCGACGACTCTGTCCAGGCTGCCAGGATCCTTCTGCATCCAGATAACGCTCCATTCGTGTCTTGCTGCGAAGATCCCGTCGATGCCGGCCCTGAAGGACGCAACGAGGAACGATATGGTCTTGAAATTGGGTACCACGTCCCGGCCAGACCGTGTCCAGGAATGATTGTAGAGGTTGGGCGGGACGCCGATCTCATTTTGTCAGGTCCCACTATTTCCAAAATACACTTCTCTTTTGAAATCCATCCGGAATCTCGGCAGATCATGTTCTACGACAGGTCCCGGCTTCATAATACAAAGATAGGGCCTGTCAATTTTCGAGCTGATGGAGACTTCCGCCAAATTGTCCTGCAGCCGGGCGTTAACCATACTATTTACGCCGGGGGAGAGCGAGCAGACCAGTACGCCTTTGATGTAGTATGGCCCAAAAGTTGGGATACCGTGGTACAAGAGATCGCGAGGATATCAGATGGCTGAGAAACGGGTCCAGCATCCTCGTTTCGCTCGGACAGAGGAGGAAGAGCGGACAGAACTTCCCTCTTGGTACAATACCCGCCTTCACACGCCAGCCGTAGAGGTGGTACGGCGAGTTGCCCCCAGTGGGTTTGTGGGGGAAGGGACATTCGGCCAGGTTTTCAAGGGTATTGATCTTGATTCGGGTTGCTTTGTGGCGGTCAAGAAAATAAAATTGCCCCCAAAACATGGCTTCCTTCCATCCAAAGAGGAGGAATTACTCCGACGTGAAGTCAAAATACTCTCCAATGTCTCTCATGTACGTTGTCCGCATTCAATTTTGATGTTAGATTCTCACTGTGTGTACAGAAGAACATCGTTGAGTTCCTCGGTTCGTCAGGCTGGGGCTCCAGTGCTGTACATATTTTCCTAAGCCTCAAGACCGGGAATATATGTGACTTACTCGAGAAATTCCGGAGCAACCATCTTAACGAGGCACTCCTGAGCCAGCTGTTGCATAATATGCTCGAGGCGTTGGATTATCTCGCGTTTCGAGGCTGGATCCATCGGGACGTCAAGCCCCAGAATATTTTGTATACTCCAGATGATGGGGGGTACCGTTTCCAGTTGGCTGATTTTGGCCTGGCTCATCAGGAGCAGTTTGCCCAAACTCAGTGCGGTTCGCCCCTTTACATGGCCCCTGAGATAATAAACAGAACGCACCCTCAATCCTCAAAAATAGATGTGTGGTCCCTATTCGTCGTTTTCGGGGTTGTGACACAGCGGGGGGAGCTTGACGACCCACAATTGGCACACCATGGAGAAGTGTTGTGTCGTGTGAAGATAGCGGCGGCTCAACTCCGAAGGCTCAGCCCGATGGCGGAGGAGGACCCGGGCAGACGGGCGTCAGCTGCTCAAATGCTCGTGGCGCACTTTGGCGGCCAGGGTTTGTCCACCCCACGAGCTCGCGTGCACCCAATACCGGATCCTGGAAGCGCGGCGGCGCCATCACGAGCCTCAGAGCAATTACACTCCCCCGAGCCACCGAAGCCATCAGAGCAATCACGGCCCTCGAGACCACGAGCTCTTGATCCAACGATGCGAACTGCAAATGCAAAAGTCATGAAGCCAGGCGCTCGGGGTGCAATGCAACCCAAGTACGCATCACCAAGACCTTACACACGACAAGCTCCTACCAGGGGGCACCCATCCGACGGGATTGACGAGATTGAATAGCGGGCGAGATTCCAGCAATTCAGGGCCTGTTCGGTTCGACCTCAAATCCTTATAACGGACCTTATAACGGCTCTTATAAGGTTCTTATAAGGTCCTTATAAGCTTATAAAATCGTCCTTATAGGTCCTTATAAGGATTCCCTAAAAGAATTCGATTTTGAACCGGACAGGCCCTCAGTTGATAAGTCCCGTTTTGGTTCAAGACATTGAGCATCTGCTTCTCCTCACACCATGTTATGGACCTATCAGCGATGATCTCAAAATTGGGTCGCGGACAGAGAAGAGTTTTTCTAGGAGCAAACACAGGCGCTTAGGAAGTGACACCGGATAAAGGAGGACTGTTGCACAAGAGGTGGGAGAATCCATGGATGGGTATCTAGCCGGTCAAATAGTCTCTTGAGTCAAGCTCACGATTAACACGAGCCCCGAACATCTAGTTAGTTAGGTAGTTAGTTAGTTAGATAGTTAGTTAGTAGTCTTCCAAATATATGTTTTGTTGGTTTAAGCTCTCACTCATGCTGGGTGGTGGTGGTGCCTTTGCTCGCATCGCGATAGAAGTCTGAAAACCATTTTATATATATGCTCCAAAATTGTCAACAGTCTTGCCTTTCAACGTGTGCTGGCATCAAGGGATTGAGCCGGAAGGATGTGTGAATTAAGCACTGTCTATAAGTAAGACACCGGATTTGAAATAATGAGCATTTTTATATGCATCTCAATCCCATGCCGAAGGTGGTTGTATCTCAATCGGAGCACTTGACGGGCGCGGCGGAAATTCCATGGGTGGCGAACGCGCCAAGGACGCCACACTCCGCCGTCCCGCTGCTCTTCGATTGGTCGGGAGTGCGTGGACTGCGATTTACCCGCCCAATATCCCGAGAGCTGTCATCGACACAGTTTCGATGGCCGATCCGCCTTCTGCTAAACGCGGAACTGGGTCTAACCGTTCCCATCACCAGTTCCATGACCTTTTAGTTTCCCGTGTTGGAGGAACTGGTCTGTGGAGGGATAGACCATCTCGAAATGTATGTCGTCATATTCAGTCCGTTTTCTGGACTGACCGCAGCAACTAGATGCCTAACTAATCGTGTACAGAAACTTGGTTGAGGATGTCTCTTATCCTCAGCTGAATCGCCCTGTGCGTATGGTCAAAGCACAAAGACACTCCTGGCCTTTGGAGACACAACTATATACCCCATAATTCCATCTAGGTAGGCCGGAGAATGGCATATATTTCTTTTCTTTATCCCTACATCCGGTTTTGCGACCCGCTCTACTCACACAGGACTGTGTGATTCGGAAGCCCAGAATGAATTAGTACTGAAACTCTCATATTTCACTGTCTACTTGCATTCATTTCTGTGCGGTTTTTCCTTCACTTGGAAAGGGGATCCCATCAGAAACCTGAAAAGAAACTAGAACCAGAGCCTGACTGCCACAGAGAAATGGGTCATAGCGGCTTGCTACCGGCAGACCAAATTCTCAGCTTTAAAAGCTCGCTCTCCGCTCACTGGATGGCTTCAAGTTTTCATGCCCTGACTATAGTTGACTAGCTAATCCGACACTAACTATTCTACAGAACTAAATTTAAGGCCATCGCCTCTCTACACCCGGACCACTTTGAAGCAACTCACTATCAATTTTCAAGTGCGTGATGCCTCGCCGTTCAGAACCCAATCCATAGCCCGAAGTACTTCTCAAGGCTTGAAGCTGCGAACTGGAATGAACAGCAATCTGGGTGGGTCTTCATCAATCGCACATGAGATACCCCTTTACCCGGGTGATGGTAGTCCTCACTGAGGCCCCCTATCAACTGCAGTTGAAGGAGCAATGTGGCCCCTAGCGGTCGTCACCCTTCTTTACCCCTTGACTTCGGCCTTGAGAAGGAGCTTGTGGGTTCTCTAAGCAAAGAGTGCTCATGCGTTGATGGCATGGTCTGCACTTCCGCCAACGTGCGCCTCACATTTTCCTGACATGCAGATACAGAAGGCTCTCAGCACTGCTTGCTTCTTTCCCAACCGCTCGCCATGGCTGTCTATATCTTGCTGGCTTCTCCCCCCTTCTATCTCTTCCTTTTCTCTTTTCTTCCCTCTTCCTCTCTTTGCTGTTCTCAGCAGAAGCACAGTTTCATTCATCGCTCAAAACCAAAACTGTGCAACACTCGCTACTATATTTCTATCAATTTCATTCGCTTCCTGCTCTCTTTTTTGTTTTCCTCTGCCTCGCCACCCACCCCGAAGCTCCTCTCGTTCCCGACCGTATAGACCGCCGGAGTGACGGACGTCCCGGTACGTGGGACGTCCTTTCTGTCACTCCGGTGGCCATCGGAGTCACTTTGTCGCCACCCTGGCGGCTGGCTTCGCCGACAGCGCGATACAAGCCGGCTATAGATTCTGCATTCGGCGAGGAGCGCAGCAGGTGGGGAACAATCACGACGAATTGATGACTCTCCTTGGGAATATAAACCGGAACACGGAGGGAGGGCCGCCGGAACTTCCCACTTGGTACAATACCCGCCTTCACACACCAGCCATAGGGGCAGTACATTGAGTTGCGGCTTCCTTATGGGTTCCCAGTTGACCCCCCAGACCCAACTAGTATCCTCCTAGGTATTACTAGTATGTTCCAGTACAACTGCCCGTTGACCCGCTGACATATAAATTCTCAGGTTGCTTTGCGGTCAAGAAAACAAACTTGGTAAGTTGACAGAATCAATGGAAATAACATGGAATCACTACTGATATCTCGTTTTTTCAGATGATGCCCCAGGATGACGAACGTCCAAATAGAAATGAAGATTTTGAGCTCTTGCCTTGCGGGTGCCCTTACGATGTGAGTGAATATTATCATGCCTTATGAGATATCATCACTAATATCTCGGCTTTTCCTAGGAAGCCATGCTAGAAATGTGGCTCGTTAAGAAGGGTTTGTTCACGGTCGGTTTTTCCGAGGTCCGGGTTTAAAGTCCTCGTCCCTAATGACCTTCTTTGTAGGATTCCACGGATAGGAAGGGCGTTCCGAAAACCCTAGGAAAACGTCGATATCACATGGTAGGGTTCTTCGAAGTGATGTTCGGGACGTTCACGATTGACAAGGTATGTAATCTCGTCTTTTCCGAGCTTCGCCCTCCAGATCCACGCTAAAGACTAGATTCTAGATGTAAATTATCGGAAATGCGCGAATCAAGGGGGCGAAAGAGCGGGCAAAGGAATACGACATAAAAGGAGGACCGTGGTTGAGTATTTCGGGAGACTGGCAACGACGAGACCCCGAAACATGGCTTCCTTCCATCCAAGGAGGAGGAATTACTCTGGCGTGAAGTCAAAATACTCCAGTGTCTCTCATGTATGTTGTCCGCATTCAATTTTGATGTTAGATTCTCACTGTGTGTACAGAAGAACATCAATGGTTCCTCCCAGAATCATGTGTTTGTGACAAATAGGATGAACACGGCACAAAGGATCAACTTGTATGTAAATAGTTTGAATGTGATGCGGCCTTCAGAGATATGTTGTTGGGTTGGCTAGTTAACTACCTCCATTTGAGTATGCTTGGGAAACATCAAAGCCCATGTCAGGGCTTTAGTAACTAACTAACTGATAGCCTCAAGAGAGTAAAATCGTCAAGTCTACGGAGGTCGCCGCCATAAATCTTGGTCCCTTGAACCCTTGGCACACTTTCAGGCGTTCGCAGGCTTGAGTTTAGGGGTGATCTTGCGGGGGCAAGGGGGGTTGGTCTTTGCAGCTCTACAAGTTAAGGGCCACTAAGCAGCGCCGAAGCCTCGGGACAGGCCCATATACTGAAGGACCAAAACATATGGCGGCGACCTCCGTAAAGGGGTTGAAATTAGGAGTAGATACGGCGCTAAGATCTACTCTCCAACACTATATACACCGTGCTCGATCAGATTGCTTGCTTTGTAGCTAAATACAACCAATGGCCGCTGCGATGATCTTAAGAGTGTCGGCAGAATCGTGTGTTTGTGACAAAAAAGGATGAACACGACACAAAGGATCAACCTATACAGATTAACGAGGACGCCAGCTGAATATAGACCAAGTTTCTTAAGCTCTTAGATACAAGCCGGGCCTCTTTTCCGCGAAAGACGGGGAGAAACGTTATTGAAGTATTGTTGATATACCGGCTCCAAAACTTCTGGCGGGACCCAACGATACGGGATACATTTCCTGGATACCCTCTGCCATGTGAGATCGGTAGGGTCGTTGCAAGGGCCTAAGTTACACCACTGAATCATTCTAGCTTCACCGTAAACATTATCAAACGCAGGGTTGAGCGTGAGCTGTATATCTCGGTTGCAGTTGATGCAACGCAAGCGAATGCATGCGCTGCTCGCGTCTTCCAGAGCAAAAAACAGACGGGTGAGATGATGCCAATCAGTGGGGCCCGATAATCGCAACCACATAAATGCATCTTTCTTGGACTCGGGGTCGTCTCGTAGGAATAGGTTCGAAGCATCCAGCTTCACGATCAACTCGCCGGCTACGACTCTTACACTGAAACTCGACATAACTCCATTGTAAGTTGTGAGGCTATACTCTAGGTCGGTAAGGGGCTTCAGGTTGCCGTATCGATAGTGCTTCGTAATTTCATGGGCTCTGGAGAAGGATAATTGAAATCGCGAAGTTATTGAAAATGCGCCGGCTGCATTTTCACATAGTGTAGTATGGTAAGGGTATAGGCAATGCCAAAGTGGGCGATGGTAAGTCGCACATCGGTAGCAGAGGAAACGGGTCAGAAACTTTGATTCTATCCGCCTGAGAAAGTTGAGACGCTCTGCTTTTTCAACAGGGCAGAGCTCCTGATCGTCCTGCAGCTGGATGCTTTGGAGTAGATTTGACCCATCCATGAAGTCGAAAATCGGCTTGCATGTCAGAGCTAGTGATAGCTTATCTGCCTTGGAGAGGCCTGCATTCGAAACCATATAGTAAAAGATGTCGACTGGAAATCGAAAGAGGAGTGAGTTGGCCGACGCATCCGACGGGGTTTCAGTCAGATATTTCCACAGCCCAAGAGATTTGAAGTATAGACGTCGAAGGGGAATGGTAACCCATTGTTGAAACATTTACCGTTTTCGCATGGTGACAATCTCGGTCAGTTCTCGGGAAAACGATTTGAGTACTCGAGGATGTCAGGGAAGTGTGATAAAATGAGCCGATGCCTAGCATATTGATATAGTTATGTAGGCCTGAAGTTGACGTCAAGATGAAGCTGTACCTAGGCAGCGAATCGGTCCCATGGTTGGGATGGTAGAATTCCACTTCGGCTTTGGTGCTGTGCGCATGGATCCTGATGGAAGCCACGGTTAGGACTCGATATATAGAGAGTCACTGGCTTTCAATGATACCATGAAAAGCCGAGGGTTCCGCAAACTGCGTATTGGGCCCAGAAGCCTGGAGATTCGAGGGCCGGTCCGTTGAAGCTAAGCACCCAAGTTAGTGATATAGTGAAAGGTGCACTTGGACTGCAGTTGGCCATACCAGAAGATTAGATTTGGCTCGCTTGCAATCTGGGTGTGCTGGAGGAAATGCCCCGGATCTTGAAGATGATCGAAGGCATTCCGCAACAATCATGGAATGTAGTTAACTTTTAGGGGAGGGCTCTGCACTGGTATCATCCAGTTATGCGCCAGGCTTGAAAAGCCAACGAGTTTTGGATAAAACGGTTGCTGTAGTCATAAGTTCTGGCACTATCACCTCATCTTGCTTCCCAACAATTTGCAATCTGTTGTCTTTTCCCATCGTATCGCGATGCCGTGCAGATACAGCTGTCGCGTCTTCTAAGAGCCCGCGGTCTTTTCTATTCTGCCCTCGTGGAGCCAGCCGCTCTCAAGTTGCGTTCTGTGGTGATTGCATCGAGTGGTTAGTTAGTTATGGCTTGGTGGTTCTCGATATCACCGGCTTCGAAAGCGTCAAGTAACTAGTTAACTATGGTATTATGGCCTTCCACGTCATTGTACCAGTCAACCCGCGACCTCGAGTGCCGTCGTCCATTCTTCAGTATCTACGCAAGTACCTCAACTACACGTTCTTGGAAGAGGATCCCGACATCCGCAGACTGAAGGCCATGTCACCTGTCCACCTATGGGATCAGAATTATGTGCTGACTCGGGAAAGGTAGACATTTGGCCGCTAGAGGTTGGAAATCCGGCTAGAACACCTTCGTCTTCGCAAGGTGTCATCTCAAGTATCTGTGAATTACTCGCGCTTCCCCATGCTTTGCGCATACACTGACTGAAATGACAAGTAGTCTTCTGGCTTGCAAAGTCCACGACCCGCGCTAAACATGCATCCACCGCAGCCTGAAAGACTGGCGACGGGCCTAGTTGTGGTCCGCCAGGATACTGGGGATTACTGGGAGATTGGACATAGAGGCCCTGCTCCTGCGTTTAGTGAAAGAGATTCTGGTGACATCCTTACTAGACGGAAGCTAGGGGTGCCCCCAAGCGGCACGGTGGCTTGTATTTTCTCAAAGACAAGCCGTCTCAAAAAGTTCTCTCCTGTCGGTCAGGACCCTAGTTTCGTACTCTACGAAAACATCTTAACAAGGTTCTACATTGCTGGTGTGACGGCCTCCACGCATAGCACAGAACTATATATCATGTTGGAGTTCATCCCCGTCACCTTGAGGAGCAACAGTCAGTTGATGACTTGGCTAGAAGGCTTTGAAGCATTGAAGCAGTCGCTGAAGGGTCTTGCACTTCTCCATGAAGCGGACTTCCGCACGGAAATATCGGACCAGGGACCATCGGTATTGTGTCGAACTATCATATCGAGGTAAAATTGACTGGAATTAACCCCCCCGGTCTTGACGAACAGCAATACCTGAGGAACCTCATACACGCGTGTCCGAAAACATTTCTGTCCGGTATGCTCTATCCGGCGTGGGGGCGTCGCTGGACCGCTAGACAATGTCTTGAAAAGATCAAGTATGTTGACTACTGGTTGTGACATCGACAGGCTCATAGAGAGGATAGGTGGCATAGAAGTTGCTAATACGATGCCAATATCGAAGCGATCACTTGACTAGCTAACTTGACACCACCGAATATCGTATACAACCTAGGAATGAGGCCATCAGCCTATCGCTTTGGGCTTCAAGGTCAAAGAGGTTCTCACGTGGCTTAACTACCGCTGACCCAGGCTATATTTGGCCTCCCTACTATGACGGGGGAGAAGCAGGCAACCGATTCTTGAAGCCGCTGTTTGCGGAGCCTTGGGGAAAATGAGGGCTAGTATTTGCATCGTCGGCCCACCGGTTTAATTTTTACATAGGTGAAACAGGCTGACTGCTGAAACCAGCATCTAACCGCTCTGTCCAAATTACCACTGTTCTGATCCACATCGAGAGCTACAGCTTTACTCCATTGAGCACCTGGGAGTGGCTATCAATATTCAGCTGTCCCCTTACATGCGGAATAGTTGGCTGTAAGAAGAGAAAGCCTTCTATATGGCTGATAAGCCTTGCTGCAATTGTCAGCTTTCTCTTTCCAGCCCTGTGGTTACTAACTAGTTAGTTAATAGCTAGCGGAGGAATTGATAATTCGACTTTGTACTCAACGAGTTCGCCATCAATTGCACTTCCAATCTCACTAGGAAGGAAATATGAGCCACAGGCTCACAGCCTCGCTTAGCCGCTTAGAGGATATCTCTCTCTCGCCTTTGTCATTAAAACCGTTGAAACATTCATGGGTCTAAAAATAGCTAGAGCTTCCAACGGCGAAACCCTCGTCCACGAACTAGCTAGTGAAGCTCCAGAGATAGCTCCGGTGGGACCACGACCTGAGACTGTTTCATCAAATGATGATGGCGGCTAAGCCTTCAGCAGGGTTCACGCTGGAAAGGATTCAAGACTTCCTCGTGTCATTCTTTTTTTTTTGTTCTGCAAAATGCCATTAGAGCCATGCGAGAAGCCACGTATGGAAGTCCGAACACGCTCATAAAGGGCTCCTGGTCATTGGAGAAGCTCTGCATCGAAAGGACGAGCGCAAGATGCAGCAAAAGGGATCCGTCCTACGCGCTTGCGTAGCCGAACACGAAGCTTTTTTATCGTTTCCACATTTTCGTCGGCAGCTTCACGACAAGGCATGCTTCCAGCAGAGATGATGCATCCTGCAAGCAAAGGAAGTTTTCTCGAAGGAAGACGAGAGAGGTGGCTTCTTTGTGTTTTGCAAACGCCCGAAAAAAAACATGCATGAACAAGCCGACCCCTCAGCCTTGCTGATGCACACGTGGACACAATGGTTTGAAAAAGCTAGCACGCTGGAATGCGTGCGTTGGGGGAAAATTGCCATTATTCTGTATTCGGTCAATCGAACCTTTTGGAGGGTGGGCTGCGGTTGGGCTTTGTTGGTCTTGAGTTGCTTCCTCTTCGCTGTCACGGCAACACGAGGAAGTCCAGTTGGCGTGCAGATACGTCCCGCGCATGATGTTAGGTATGATAAAAAAAAAAAAAAAAAAAGAGCTTTTGGGTTCTGTTCTTGTTGCCGCTCAAGCCGAGGTCGATTAACTAACTAGTTAACTAGCTAGAGTGAGCAACAAGTTAACTATCTATAGAAGAGGGCTTTCGATAGGCCACTCAAAGCATATGTATGCACTCTCAAGCCACCAACAGTTTGATATTGGAAAGACTGTCTAAACGAAAAGGCCAAATGACCTATGAGTGCCTAACAGGTTGAGCAGATATGAGAGGATAGGAAATGATTTTGTGGTAGTGCCATATTGCACTGGAGTAGGAATCCTTTCTTATTTTTTGGAAAGAAAAAAAAAAAAAAATATCCAAACAGTGAAGACGCCAGGACGACCGGTACATGCTCGTTTTCGTGGTATCAACCAACAGAGAATGAAGAGCTAATATGCCAAAAAAAATGCAATAAGAAGAAAAAGGCGCCAAACGAAAGGTATTAAACCGTGTAGATAATCGAGGTAGTTGCTGAAGTAAAAATGCCGTTGTGAGAAAGCAAAAAAAGCGTCATTCGCTCGTCGCAGACACGGGGCTCGCCCTAGGCCTCGACTGGATAGCCACCGTCAACGGACTGCCAAACGGGCACTTCTCGCCGTCAATCCCCAGCGATGCGTGCGCCTCCTTTTTCTCCGGCGCAGCGAACCCGCCCGGGGCAAGATCCACGTGACCATCCTTGATCGGGCCCAACGTCCATCGCCACTGGCGCTGCCGTTTTCTGCGCCGCCGAACGGGCGTCTGTGGAGTCTCGGGGTCATCGTCTGCGCGCGGGGCGCGGTCACGAAGCCCAGCGGCGCGGATTTGTCTAGCGTGCTTCTTCCGTTTTCCAGGCGAGGTGCGCACCTCCTTGCTTGCAGCGGCGTCTTCGTCAGAGGCGCTGCTGGAAGAGTCGGAGTTGTCGGATTTGAGCTCTTCTTCTCCGGAGGAGGATGAATAGGTTGAGGAGTCGGACGATGTGAGGTCAGAGTGCCTGGCGACGAAATGCACGGTTTTGATTTCTTCGTCGAGGGGATATCGGTAGTTGACTCGCTTCTGGGCCGGGAATAACGCCCGCCGTCCATTTCCGGAGCCGTTTGCTGCGGGCGCTGAGAGGGACGCTCGTCTTAGTGTTGACGCGACGTGGGGCGAGTTGCGCAGAATGCCACGGATCCCTAGCGGCAGCTGATACGGGAGCTCATCGTGGCTATGGCGGGGCTGATGCGCGGCGGATATCTCCTGTTTGGATGACTTTGGCTCCCTTGAGGAAAATTCATTTCTGTTTGTGGGGGCTGGCGAGGATGTGCGTCGATATGCATCATACGCATTTCTGAACGTGTTCCGGACGGTGGGAGACGGGGAGCAGTTGGCAGAGTGATTCAGCGACAAGGCGGTCGTGGAGTTTCCAAATGCAACAGGTAGACAAGATGTCTGAAGCGATAATTTGGGGCGTTTGGCCGCGGTGTTGCCCTGGAGGATAGGAACTGGAGGTAGTGAAGGGGTAGCGACAGCCAGCATGGTGCTGGAGGTTGTGGAGCTCTGAGGGGGTTTGACCGTTTGTGCGACAGCGGTAGAGGAGGTATTAGGAGGGGATAGTGAGGTGCTATCCGAAGAACTTGGGTCTGTGTTGTGTAGATGAGGATGCTGGCTCTTCATTGAAATTGCGAGCATCTTGAAGAGAGAAGAAATCCAACCGGTCAGGGAGTTTAAAACTCCGCATCCAAGTTCATCGACGACCGAGAACGGTTGAGGCATATGAGATGCATGCATGAAAACAAAACACAAGAACAGTTAAATATAGAGTCAATTGACGTATCCATAGTGGCAAGCGTTAGGAAGCGGCAAATCTACTGCAAAGAAAGCATTGTTGGTTTGTATAAATATTCTGGAACAGGCAGCTTTTTTTATTGAATCGTTGTTTCAGCAGAATGCCAAAGTTAAACTAACTAATAAGGTAGGACCCTGTCTGAAAGACACCCTCGCAAGATGCGTGTGATAGGGATCTGGACAGGAACTGCATGGGGGGGGGAGAGGAGGAAACGGCAAGGGAAAATATCCTCAACAATTAGAAGAATCCTTGATTGGGGGGAGCGTTGGCGGTCGCCATGATGTTATAAAAAGATAAAAATAGCTGAGAGACGAGACGAAAAAGCAAATTTAAAATCGGGGAGTTTATTTTGGGAGGGATATGTGAAGCAGGTCCGCCATCGACATGGGCGGTTGGCCAATCCAAATAAGAATCAAAAGGCAATCTCTGACTCGCAGCGATGCTTCGAATAATGTGGACCGGTGTGCATGCTCTGGTTGGCGAACGGCCGCACAAAATCTCTCCAGTTGATGGAGAACTGTTGGTTCCTCTCACCGCTAAGAAATGGCCACTTTTCTCCGCATCCGAAGCGCTTACTGGCTGCCGTGTATTTTTAGTGTGGGTGGGCGTCGTTTGGGTCGTTTCCCGGGCCTCTCCTGGGCACTTCATCAGTAATCACGATTTCACAGTCTAGACTTCCCCTCGCAAAGAGAGCACGAGCCTTGCTTCATAGGGCAAAGAACCAGGATGGGGCCCGGTGGGTGATAGAGCGTCCCAACTATAACCTGAGTCAGGACTTGACCACCGGATTCAGCTCGTTTTGCGGCGCGGTAGCTCGTACTCTTGACAACTCCCTCTCTTCCGTGAGGAGCTCGCCATTTCTGAGCCCTTTCGGCCCCTTGTGCTGAGACGGCTCGAGATTCCGAAAACCGCAGTCCGTCGAGCGAATCACGAGCCGGCGCAATCCATCATCAGCGACGGTTCGTGGGTGCAGGAAAGCACCCCAAAATCACGCATCTGGCCACCATTTCCGTTCTCCCGGAGATGAGTTCCCTCCTTGCAGATGGGGGAGAATGCTGATCAGCACATGCCGAAAAGGCGATTGTGGGAAATTCCGAAATGGTATGCTGCAGGGTGACCCCTCGTACTTTTGGGTACTCAGACTTTGTGTTCTTATCCACGCTGGTCCACGATATCACCCAAAAGCAACAGGGAAGAGGGACTTGGCGCGAAGGAGGGCGTGGTACGGGCAGCATGTGCCCGCGACAGAGCCAGACTTTGCCCTGGAGAAGAGTCATAAATGGGTTGACTGCCGACACTGTTTGCCACGATCGAGACTGAAGACGACGACGACGTGGAGAAGCTGCTGGATTTCGACCTTCCAGCCGCCGCTTCGAGGCTTCGATTTGCCTTGGGCGCAACCCATGTCTAAAAATAAACAGCCAATCGGCTGACTAAACCTGGCTGCGACGCTAGACTGGATGGGGACTAGCCCTGCCCGATGGCAAATCTCTCCAGTTCAACTCAAACGCACAGTCGAAGCAGCATCTACGGAGGACGCCGTGTTTCCAAGGCGCGGCATGCAGGCACGGGAAAGCGCTTTGTTCTCAGAGATTACGATTAACTACATGAAGGGCTCAACGGCTTGTTGATCCTGGTTTTGCTCTGCATCGTGGAACGCTTCCAGATACGCTCGCCCGGTGAGCAGAATCCACGCCCAAAGACCATCGACAACCAGAACGGTGAAGAACGAAAAGACCAGGCTCCCTCCAAACACGAGACTGTGATATGTCCATGCGTCCTTTGCATTCAAATTCGCTGCCTGACAGACAATCGCCCAGGGAAGAACGTAAAAGATGTTCGAGATCAGGGATTGAAGCAGGTACCAACGTGGTCGGGTTGCAAGGAGGATCGCAGCTAGCTGTGTCGAAACTGCATAGAACAGATAGCACCTACAACGGGTCAGCCGGGGTGCAGAGGGAGCGGGGGGGCGAAAGGACAGGAGGAACACATCCTACCAGTCAATTGTTCGCCACATATGCGCGGTTATCTCTGAGACAGCTCGAGATCCGCTCAGGTAGTAGGCAAATGGCCGGCAGCCGAAGAACCCGAGGAGTAAGCAAAGCGGAATCTCCACTGCAAGAGCAAGAGCTGCGGATACCAGGGCCGGCCGCGCAATGGCTATGCGACTGTCAGTCGACGGGCACTTTGGCGAAACGGGGCGGATTCTTACTAAACAGATCATCCCGCAAGAATTTGGCTTTACGAATGTCGAGTCCGATCCTCCGCCTCCATTTCCCCCATGCGTGGCCGATGAAAGTGAGTGAGGTTGCCTCTAATGCTTGTACAGGTACCATGACGAGCCCCCAGCGAATGGTATTAAACACGCCCCATGCGGTCGCGTAATCGGCTCCCATTGCGACGATTCCGCTTACAAGCCAGAGATATAATGTATTCCGAACTGCTGATTCGAAAAACGTGATGATACCTGGCCGGAGGAGAACGGTCAGCGCCCGAAGGCTCGACTGCATCCGAACCCTCGACCAGACTTTGTCGCCCTGCTGCGTTTGAGTGAACCATATAAAATAAATAACGCCTAAAATTGCAGAAGCCATGTCGCAAGCTAGACGGATACCGGCCTGCAGGTTGACTGTAGGCCGATGGCTCCCAACATGGTATTTGGAGATAATGAGAAAGTCGAGAATGATGTTTACCACAAATTTAGTAGAGCTAATGACCAGAGGCACGTCTGGCTTATCCAGCGCTCGTGTGGCATTCGAAACCGCAACTTCGATAGCTGAGCTCAGAGCAGAGAAGCTACTGATTCGAACATACGATACACTGGCATCGCGGACAGGGACTGGTACGAATGCCGCAGCAAACTGGTTGGCCGCCGATGCAAAAATGATACTCATGATCAAGCCAAGAATAGCTTGGAAGATGATGAGCGTGTGGGCCAGTTCAAGCCTTGACGCGAGAGAGCGTGATGCTCGATCTCCAATGATTACCCAGGCTGCGCGAGGCAGGCCTTCATTGATGACCTCAGCCACCACGCCTATGTATGTGTAGACATCAGTCGTCACGACCCTCGAGGCATCGAGCTTTGCGACCCATAGCTTGGACAGGGTTGCGTAGAGTGCTGGGAGGATAAAAGCGGCGATATTGAAGAGAAGAGCCCCTGTGTAACTGGGATTTGTGAGAATCCCAACCAGCCTATAGCTTGAATAGATAGTCAAATGGGTGAAACCGTTACCTGCTCCGCGCCCACCAAGGGCCAGTGCCAATCGACTGCCACATCGCGCCCTAACCAGTTGATTATGCTAAGCGCTTAGGTTTATCCCACAGGGCTCCGCGAGCAATTAGTAAGATCCGCGGAGGAGCAGGGCCTGCACTGGATTTGGGATCGCAATTATATGTGATGGCCCCAACTTTCATCCACCGGTGAAAGTGGCTGCCGTTGAACCCAACTTCGCTTAGAATCAAGCCATCATGCGAGGAATGCGGCCTTGCCGTTGCAAATCAGAATCCACGGACGGGAACTTTCCACCGGACCGAGCTGTACCATTGGTAAGGCGAGTCGGTGATGTCGGTTGACCAGCTGGTATCGAAACAACTCTGGCGTTCTTGAGCCGAATCCACGGCTACGAGACCCCGCGGAACAAAGAACCAAAGATGCACAGACACCCGCGGGCCAAAATGGATCAGATGGAGTTGGGTTCAGGTCACTACATACCATCAACCCTCTGGCTTCCGCCTGACAGGCTGACACTGATGATTGCAGCCTATCCTAGTTGATATAACGCCGCCCATATTACCTTGTCCCTTGGACCAGTCTCCAGCTCGACAAAGTGACAGTCCACGCATTGTGCTGTGTACTCAGTGCTGGCGCGCTGCCAAGACCGCGCGGTGCTTTTTGGCTGCCGTCTGCACCTCCCGTCGCCATTCACCGTCCCTCGCCGACCTCCCTGGCAAAAGAAAGGCCGTTCTGCACGACTTGCTCCCTGTTCACCCCGGTCTCTCCCGCCCATCTGTGTGACCAGAGCATGCACCGTATCGCTGATTTACGCTGCGCACCCCGTCAATAATATTCCGCATCCCCATGAAGACCTTTGCTCCGTGCCTCCATGCCCGTTCTCCGAGCCACATTTGTCTAAGGCAAGAGACAAATGACGTCGATCCTCCGCAAGCAGAGAGATTTGCGCAGGGATGATAGTAGGGTCATCATTCATTTTGTTAGCATCTCCCCGTCTTTTGACTTCTCCCTTCCCATATCGATGACCTTGTTGTGCCTTGTTCACTCATCAGTATTTCCCCCCATGCCCTGTTCCCAGCAATCCTGCTGTTGAAAATCAGGCCATCCACGGAACTTTGCCGCACATCCTTCATTCCCCAAGATCTGCCCTGTGTTGAATGCTGGCACAGGGAATATTCTGGTTTACTCCAATTTTTGTTTGCATCGGAGCACGTGTGTCGGACACTTTCCAAATGAATGCCGAACTGACAAGTCTCATGGGGGGCTCCCAATCCATGTCAACTTGGGTTGGGGCTTTCGTTTTCATTCCCGGTGATAGGACTATGATTGCTTTTACGCATCGGTTTTCGAAGCCGAAAACCCTGCGCTGAAGTCCCTTCCGCTTGCTGTGCAACAAAAGCAAATCGTCGTGACTTGCAACTATGAAGCCCGACGACGGGGTTTACGGAAGCTCCAACTCATCAAGGAGGCGAAGAGGATCTGTCCGGACGTGGTCATTATGCTTGGCGAGGATCTCACCAAATTCCGGGATGCGTCAAAGGAACTGCACGCCTTCTTGAAGAAGAATACGTGGGGGAACAGGGTGGAGAAGTTAGGCTTTGATGAGGTGAGTCGATTGGGATACTGGGATACCGTGCAGGTCCTGGTCAGATTCGGAATAATTTTAACTACATTCACTGACGCCGGAGGACCCAAAGGTATTTTTGGACGTGACTTCGATGATAAACTATAACTCCCAGCTTTTAAATCGACATGATCTTCAAAACTCCTTCTTTCAGCTCGACAAATTTGATCCAACAGTGGGCTTCGCTTTTGACGCTTCAACATTTTGTGGTCCCACTTATCCTGCTGAACCGTGCCCCTCTGTAAAAGAAGACGGAGAACAATTGTGGTTCTCTTCGCTGGATGTAGGGTTGAGACTTGGGTCGCACCTAGCAAACTATCTTCGACACCAACTGGAGCAACATACACCCTACACAGCCACAGTTGGTATCTCCACATCAAAACTATTGGCGAAGTTGGTGGGAAACCTCAATAAACCGCGGCTCCAAACGACGCTTCGACCTCCCTATTCAGCAACAGATGACGGCCAAGGTGGGAATGTGGCCAGTTTCCTTGGCCAACATGAGATTGGGAAGATTCCCGGCATCGGATTCAAGATGGCTCATCGAATTAGAACCCATATACTTGGCCGAGAGCCCAACCTCGATGTATACGAAGGCCTAGCGGAAGAGGACAACGTTAGCGTAGATGTCGTTCGCTCATTCCCCGGGATGGGGCCGGTGAAGCTCGACGAAATCTTTCGGGGCGGTGGTTGGCCCAAAGATATTGGCACCAAGGTCTGGGGGCTACTTAACGGAGTTGACGACACAGAGGTGGCTGTGGGAAAGGCTTTCCCCTCGCAGATCAGCATTGAGGACTCTTATTCCCAGGTGGATAATCTCCAGTCCGTTCGAAACGAGTTACTTCCGCTGACTCGCAAGCTCCTCCGTCGAATGCATGCTGACCTAACTGAGGATGAAGAAGGCGAAGAGCTTACTACAGGACATGCCACGGTCCAAGCAGGTAGGCATTTGCCTGTTAAGAGGAAGAAAAGATGGCTAGGATGCCCACGAACACTACGCCTATCAACTCGCTCACGTCCTCCATCATTGCCAGATGTAGGTCACCAGCTCCACAGCAACAGGATATCAAAGTCATGCCCCATGCCTCGATTTGTCTTCTCGTTTAGCGAGACTGTGGAGGCACTGGCAGAACGCTTGGTTGAGGATACGATCGTCCCGCTGTTTCGACGCCTTCATCCAGACAAATCCGGGTACAAGCTAAGTCTTATCAACATCGCTGCGACGAATATGATGGAATGCGCCGGCTCAGAGAATAGCGGCGTCGGCCAGGATATTGGAGCAATGTTCCGAAACCAAGGCCCGCGCCCGACTCAGTTTTCAAACTTGCCGGCGGTATGCTCACACAGAGTAACTGAGAGCCACTTTGATAATCAGCATCATGGTCTTAAGCATGTTGTTGATGGAGAGGTAGATCAGACACGCGGTGACGCGGCAGTCCTTGAATGGACAAGCGATGAAGATGGTGAAAGCGAGAACTCCGCCACTCCGCATGACGAGTGCACGATCTGTGGTGCGTTCATACCCTGGTTTGCGGTCCAAGCGCATTCAATCTATCATTCTGTGCAGACATGAAACCCGCAGGTGACTTTGGTCAATATTTATTTACCTTAGGCCAAGATCAAGGCGGGTAAACAACTGTACCTTGACAAGATTCTCGATCCCGCCAGAGATCTTGGTTGGAGTGAACAGCATTGGCACGAAGCTCCACGAAGAACGAGCGATGGACCATCGGATGGATGCCAAGGTAGCCCTTCACTGCCTTTGGCCGAGATAATATTACCTCGCAACACAGTGAAGAGATTATACTCAATTGAATTGAACCTCCTCCACTATCAGTCAATTTAAAACCAGCCACAAATTGACAGATTCCACCTGATGCTGCACTGTCAATAGACAATCTTGGCCCTTACTAGATATCAATCTACCAGAGTTTGTTGTTTAATAGAGTGAACTAAGACTTGGATAAATGTTCTAACAATTAACATCACCAGCGAAAGCGACAAGAAGACTGAATCACAGAAATGTGATGGCCACTGCCAATGTTAGCAAATCTGTTTGCACAACAGAGCCAGGGAGAACTGAGCAAGCAGTTTATCCATTCCTGAATCCCACCAAATTCACCGTCAATGCTACGCAAATGTGAAGTCAGAATTGAATCGAATATACGGCCCAAGCCGGCCCATTTTTGCATTAGATGCTAGAAATTCATTGTGTCGCCTTATCAAGTTGACCTCCAAAATTTTCACCTTCTACCTACGTGCATCTTCCCAGCCCTTTCAGACTGCTCACGACTTCATCCTGATTCCTGGCATCTATCGCCAACTGTGGAAAAGTTATGAAGGAGCAAACCAGGACCGAATGGGGCACGCTAGAGAGGTGTGGAATCACAAATCGCAGATATATAGAAAGATTAAAAGAAAATTTATGATAAGAAAAAAGAACTGCGCTTGGAAAGAGGGGGAAGGGCGATTGCAGCGCTCATATTGGGTATTGAATCATTTTCCAGAGCAGCCAAAACATCAGATCGAGGTGAGTCCAGCGGTGACCTCAAAACCCGACACCTTTACAGAGACCGGAATCCCCCCCTGTCCTCTGTAACTACGGCATACTACAGGTCAGCGAGCCAGGAAAAGGCGACAGACTGATCGCTGGGCCTGCTGCTACATAAATGAAGGTGGGGATATTCTTGAGGCGTACTGACGGGCCGTATATCCGATTTTTAATGATTCCGCAATCTGAGTTCATAATATTAATATCAACATGTGGGTTTGGGAGAATCTCTCTCGAGCGATGCAACATTGGTTCGGCATGGGTGGATCATATCGGGGATCAAAACGGATGGGGAGGGTCTTTTTTCTGTAAGTCCTTTAAACATCGGGCAGGTTTTCCTTTTTTCGCAGAGTAGGAATTTGGTTTCCTTTTAGGGGAGCCCCTTTCATCAGGGGAAGTTGTGTTTATTTGAATGTCTAGTTTGGAGAAGATTATTTGATTTATGGATAGTCACCGGGTGTAGAGGGGAGTTACCTGATATTGCTCCCGATCTGTTCCATGGAATGGCTTTGTTGACAGTTGCTGATGTAGTTATTCCAATGTCATGCGATTTTTCGCGCAGGCTTCACATAATTGTCAGTCTTATAACTCAATGAGGAAAACAGGTCTTGTCCCGATTAGTGATTTGGGATTCTATGGTCCTGTCAATATAAAGTTGATACGCAGAATGCATCGCCGTGGGAGCTAAGGGTTTCTTCAAGCGCCTCCCGAACATCCCGTACCCAAGCACCATCATGCTCACGAGAAATCAGTGCCAGCGAAAATAATCCGTCAAGAGCAGCTTAATTCAGTAGTTAGGTAAGGCATAACTAGGTAATATCCAAGGGTACGACTCTGGCACAATCCACGGTCTAATTTTGAAGCTGGGGCTTGACGCCGTGTCTCATTATGCGCCCGGTTGCTCTGAAGGTTTGGGATTGACGCAGGCTAACTGCCTCAGAATCGAAGAGCTTCATTCATTGTCAGCTTTTGCTAGTTCACATCTCGTAAAAATATCAAAATCCCAGTGGAAAGATTTGCAAAGAACTCAACCGTCTGACATCCGCATTCCTGCGCCACAGCGTGCTCCGTCGACATCCGGCCAGGCAGGGATCTTCTCTGCCCTATCGACTGCAACCGGCTGCGATCCACGCGAGAGACTTTGCACGACAAACAGAGCCGCTGGCCAATCCGAATGGACCTTGCTGGCGCCAAGTGTATCACTTACGACACCGTCCAGCCTCGCATCTCTGGGGCTTCAGTCTCGTCTCGCACACGGGTGAAGGGAACAGCACCAAAACAAAGGATACCCGACTTGCTAGCGAGAGTGAAGTGTAGTTGATTCAACCGATTCGACAAAAGAGCTGTATTGCTGTTCATTTATTGCCTGGTGAAGAGCCGTTGCGATCGTTCGCTCTGGTGGTCGTCGTCACAGAATCCGCCTCGACGCTGCTCCACATCGCCGAGGCCTTAGCACCTCATCACCCATCTGCTAAGCCTGGGGGTTGTCGAAAGGCTTCTCTCGCTGTTTGTGATCCTCTTTATCCATAACTACTTTTCGCTTTTTATCTTGTGCACGCTTTTTCTTCTTTCTTTGAATTTATCTGTGACCTTTTGATGCCGTCGCGATCCGTCTTCTTCGGTGACATCTCTTCGACGCAAGTGGAGCGGGTAGGAACCCGTCTGTCCCCCCCTCTCCAGCACGGCGCCGCTGCGTGGAAACCATCGACACGCTCGTTATGAGGCTTCCAACTTGTCTGCTTCCAGCGGCAACTGGTTTATTATCACTTCTATTTCAGAATGTCGCTGGTATGTTGGCATTGAACTCTCCGACTGCTGTGCATCGCTAACACTTCATACGCTCAGCACATTCGCAAAGAGACAGGATTAATTATATATCCCTCGTTGAAGATCCAGTTATCCATACTCCGTCACGACGAGTCCACGCCTTTTCGAATTTCGACGTCACATTCTCGCTACACCAGAAGAACCAGCGGATAAAATTGAGCTTGGAGCCGAACCATGACATTCTCGGATTCGAGCCGCAAATACAGTTTGTTGACAGTGAGGGCAGTGTCCAGGAAATACAGTCCATCGACAGACATGCGCACAAAGTGTTCAAGGGGTGGGCGTGGGTCGAGACGGACGCCGGTTGGGAGCAATCGGGCTGGGCACGAATCGTGGTCCATGAAGATGGAGCAATGCCCTTGTTTGAAGGCACTTTTACGATAATGCACGACCACCATCATGTTATGCTACGGTCCAACTATGTACAAACGAGGCACCCGTCGGACCCAGCCCTGGAGGATACCACGCAGGAATACCTGATCGTTTTCCGTGATTCGGATATCGGTCGAGATATACACTCAAACCTCAAACGGTCTTCACCTATTGAACGCTCTTGCGGTTCCGATGCACTAGATTTCAACAATGACCCAGATCACCCGCTTTTTCGCCCAGTTGTGAAGCGTGATCAAAGTACCTGGGCCTCGATGCCACTCGAATTCATGCTGGGCATCAGCAAACGACAAAACGATATTGGAGGTGGAGGTTCTGGTGGCCCGACAAACGTCCGACAAACGATTGGGAGCACTGCTGGTTGCCCTAAGACGAGAAAGGTTGCCTTGATTGGCGTCGCTGCTGATTGTGAATACACTAAGTCTTTCAACGGCTCTGTTCAGGCAGCACAACAGAACATCGTCAACGTGGTAAATACCGCATCCCAAATCTATGAACAGTCGTTCAATATCACTCTGGGCCTCAAGAAGGTGCAAGTAGTCCCTCAGGATTGTCCGCCGACTCCGCCACCCACTGCCCCTTGGAATGCCGGCTGTGGCACCACTCAAAACCCAGGGCCCAGCATCACCGAGAGATTGAACCTCTTTTCGTCCTGGAGGGGTGATCAGAACGATGACCATGCCTTTTGGATGCTAATGACAACTTGCAGCTCGGGCCCTGAGGTTGGCCTGGCTTGGCTAGGTCAGGTATGTGTCACCGATGCAACTCAGCAAACAGATCGTGAGAACACCACTACGCAGTCAGTGAGCAGCACTGGTGTAGTGGTGCGGACCCCACAGGAATGGCAAGTCTTTGCCCACGAGGCAGGCCATATTTTCGGAGCCGTTCACGACTGCGATTCTGATCTCTGCAGCAACCCAAGAATCCCGGCTACTTCTCGCTGCTGCCCTCTGGCTTCCGACAGCTGTGATGCAGATGGAAGATTCATCATGAATCCAACGTCAGGCAGAGGTATCACTGATTTCTCTGCCTGTACTGTTGGCCAAGTTTGCACGGCTATGGGTCAAAATTCCATTCGTACCGGGTGTCTAACCAACAATCGAAACGTGGTGACTTACGCCGGGAGTGAATGTGGTAATGGTATCGTCGAAGAAGGCGAGGATTGCGACTGTGGTGGCGACGAATTATGCGGAAGCAACCGTTGCTGTGACCCCAAAACTTGCAAATTCCGTGATGGTGCTGTCTGTGATGATTCCAATGAGGAGTGCTGCAGAGGTTGTCAGTTTGCGTCAGCCAACACTGTCTGCCGGCCCGGCTCCGGCCCTTGTGACCCCGAAGAGAGATGTACAGGCAAGAACGCCTTGTGCCCTGAAGATGTACATAAGAAAGATGGCGAAAGTTGCGGTTCTGGACTTGCATGTGCCAGTGGCCAGTGTACCAGCAGGGATATGCAATGTAAAGTCTTGATGGGCGGCAGGCTGGACGGCAACAACACACGGGCATGTGATCAGTCGAGTTGCAACATCGACTGCTATTCTCCTGCATCTCCAAACGTGTGTGTCTACGGAATGCAGAACTTTTTGGACGGGACACCATGCATTGCTGGTGGAGTATGTAAAAATGTAAGTCAAATTCCTATTCCCTCCAGAATCGTCGTTCTAGCTCGACGCTCACACTTTATAACAGGGCTCCTGTACCGGAAGCTCCTTTGGAAAAGAGATAAAGTCGTGGATTGACAGGAACAAGACACTTGTCATTGGTCTTTCCGCTGGCCTGGGCGGTCTCCTTATTCTCTGCATCGTCGCCTGCATCGTACGTCGTTGCCGGCGGCCAAGACCTAAGAATAGGAAGATGAAACCCATGAGCATGGGAGGTGTGCCTGATATGTGGACGGGCTCAATGCCACCAAATCGGTATAACCGTGGACCTCCACAAGCTCCAATACAGAATATACCACCGGTTTATGCCCCGCCGCCGTCATATCCGCCAAACTATGGACGCGAAGGTCTTTCTTCGCCGCGCTACGCATAATAACTCTCTGCGCAATGTCGACTCATGTTATGATTGTATGAAAAAGCAATCCGTCTTCTATCCCGCTTCTGTGTCTATTTTTGGTATCTGTCTTGGTACCCGGTGTTATGTCCTTTGTTGAGCGTTTCATTACCTGTACCCATTTCTTTTTACTCCTTGACACGCAGCATCACATCGCAGCGCAGGGTTCAATACCCATATCGCACATCTACGATCATTGTACATTTTTTTTCTCGCTTCTTCTCCATTGGATTTGGAGATGTTATCATTCAGAGGCGACTACTATGTTGCATCTATTTCACAATTTATTTTATGTTTTTATATTGGCGTGGATAATAAGGGTCTGGTTTTGGTTGACGCTTAGGTATTGTATGGAACGAATTTGAGGCTTTTCCCTCCAGCTAACTGACCGTGAAATGGTTTTTGGCTGCATTTGCATGGAATATCGGGACTTGAGAGGGAATTTTTTTTCCGGAGGCATGCTTGCATCTGCTACTTGAAATTATGGATCAAAAAAGGCATTGTGGCCTACTTTCCCCTCGAAAATCGAGCATACATTGATTTGCGAAGGCATATATAAGATATACATATATAAAGGCTTGAGTTTTAGTCACCTTGAGGGCGTGTTTGAGTCATGATCATATATACATACAAAGTCTTCCGTTTTTGATAACTGAAGGATTTCGGGGTTTCGTGGATATGTAAGTAGGAAAAGAGGCTTAGACAGAGGTTCGGCTGTTCGCTTCATTTCAATGCGAATAGAGAGACGGGACCACCAATTCAACGCATCCCATTCCATCCTGACACCGACCCAAGGACCAAAATAAATCTCCAGAAACTGCAACTAAAGCATCGCTAAAGCGGCGAACACTGCTCGAAAGGGGAAAACATCTTCCCCTCGAAAAGAAAAAAAAAAAAAAAAGAGGCTAACCATCAGCCTCTACCCTCTAATACCTTCATATCTCCATACTCATCTGATTCCCATTCCTGGTTTCGTAAACATGCAGTCTCAACCCTCAAGAAAAAGTTCACTGTAAACAAATCCCCACAAACCCTTCTCTCGTCACTCCACCTACCCCTTCCAGGTCAAACTCCTCAATCATCGCCCTCAACTCCTCCTCCTCCAGCCCCGTCTCTCCCAACTCCCGCGCCACGCGCCGCAAGTCCTCAAGGTCAATATATCCCTTCGCGCCTTCATCAAACAGCTCAAACGCACGCAAGATCTCCTCACGTGGATCTCGTTCGAGAATCTTGCGCGCTGTGATGGTTTGGAAGGAGGAAAGTGGCATGAGCAATGAGGACGGGTGGGGTGGGGGTTGCTGTTGCTGTTGTTGTTGTTGCTGCGCGGCTTGGGGCTGGCGGGATTGTTGCGGTTGATTGGGTTGGTTGGCGGCGGCGGCAGCGGGGCGGGGGACGCCGTAGGTTGTGAGGAGGGAGATTAGGTCGGGTTTAGAGAGTGTGAAGCCGAGAGCGCGCATGGCGACGCGGAGTTCATGGTAGTCGATGTGACGATCGCGGTCGAGGTCGAAGAGCGTGAACTGGTGAGAAGTTAGCGATCGAATCAATAAGAGCAAAGGAAAAGAAAAAACAAGTGAACGCGCAAAAGATGGTTTTTCTTACAGCTTCATTGATCTCCTCCCTCTGCTCCTCAGAAAGGTCATTGAGCGGATTATTATTCCCTCCACCGGGACCACCGGCCCCTATTCCACCCAATCCGCCTGCATTCCCCTGATGCGACTGCACACCATGTTGCTGCGGATTATGACCCTGTACCATTGTTGATCCATGCGTCGTCGACTTCCCCAGTCCCATACCTCCACCACCGGTTCCCGTGTCGCCGCTGAAATCCCCAACCCTGTCTCGCCGCGAAAGCACTGATGCAGACCCAAAGGGATTTGGGTTTAGTCCTGAGCGGTCAGGAAGCTTGCTGGTTGCGTAGGAGGAGCGAGTTTGGAACGAGGGATGGCCAGACGAAGCCATGGCTGGTCTTTCTGTTTGTTTTTTCTGCGCGGGACGGATTGCGGACGAGAGTTGGACGACAAGAGCGGGGAGGGGGCTGAGAGTTCCAAGAGTTTACGTTGACATATCCCGTCAAGATCGAATGCAAAAACTGTCCAAAAAGCAGCTGGATGGGACTGCGTTATCGTTCTTTCTACTAAACCCGTTCCTTGACGTTTCTGCTCGTCGACGCGACGGATTCGAAGCTGACTAAGCAGGTTCCCGTCTACGACTTCGATCTCAATGCAACTGTCATCCAAACAGGGGTAGTTGTAGAATAGAGCTCCGCGAAACCATTCAGTCTTGAACCCAGTGTGCTCCGTAACATGCATTAATATCGAGATGTAAGCCACTAATCTAGCTCCTTCCTCCAATGGTATATGTGTTAAAAACATTCTAGGCAGTGGAAAAAAATCATGCCAGAGCAGAGTCATTTGGGAATATATAAGTAAAATATACTGAGACATGATACCCAAAGAAAAAATTAGAAACGCAGCAGGCACTGATGCTAAATCACTGGCTCAACCATGGGCCGTTTCGAAGGACGGCCGCGAACTGTTTTTCCAGATGAATTAGATTTGTTTCGCTTTGTCTTTTCACTCCACTTCTCATTCTCGCACGCGTAGTATCCCTCGAAATTAAAGAATAAGTCCGTGGAATCAAAAACCGATTGATCCTCTTGGATGATTGATCCCAAAACTGTCCATGAATTTGATTCTGTGGGGACGAAGGTGACACCGTCAAGTTCACCAGCGCTAGACTCTTCAACAATTATCTCAGACAATGAAATAATTTCATCTTGGTCTTCTTCTGTCTTCTTCGCGATTTCGTCGAACATGGGTTTAGCCCAAGTTCCGAAGTGAGGGAGAAATTTTGAATTCTCCGGCTCGGTTGTGAAAGACACGGCATCGGGGCCAGGTATCGGAGGAGATTTGTCTGTTCTGAAATTGAAGGACTCCTCGAATCTCATTGACAGCAGCTGTGGCACTGTAACTAACGACGGACAAGAAAACGGCTGGAAATGTCGTGACAATGCAGTAGGTGTAGGTAAGGAAGTTTTGTCGTAAAAATACAATGAGATTTGCATGCCGCTGAGAATAGGGAGAGGTGGTATTTGCTCGTCGAAGTGCTTCCAGAATTTCTCTGCCTTGACAGACGATGAAGATCCAGTGTACTTCTGGATGCAAGTGCCTGCCAGGTGGTCCGAACGTAATAGGGATTCGACTAAGGATGTTACAGTTTCCAGCTGCTCCCTCATAGCGAATATTATTTCTTCAATCATAGAGTCGGATCCAGGTTTAAAACAATGAAGTCCGGACAAAACTCGGTAATAAAGCCCGGTAGCTAGGAAAATATCATCGCTAACGGGCTTCCGATTTTGCCTCTGGCGCAACAGGTGGAACAGCTCCAGAGAAAACTCCTCAGACAGCTGGGCTAGTATCTGGGCTAGATAAGTTAACAAGTATGCAAAAGCAACCCGGCCACCGACGAGATCAACAGGCCGCGAAAATAGCTCACTTCGTGCGGCGCTGATAACAAAAGTAGCCACACCCAGCATCTTGATCGAAATATTCAAGATCTCGGACCGCTCTCGTTGATCAGCCGTATTTAGAAGTCTGGGTTCAGGGACAATACTAAGTATGGTCTTAATTAGACTTTCTCTGGTGGCATTTGGCAGGCGGTATTCCTCCAATGGAGTACGCAGCAAGGTTGAATCCAAAACAATCAACCCTGAGAGATTAGGGAAACCCCAGCGACATTGTAAGATGGCCTTTCCTGCCAGAAAGGGAGCTTCCACCTCAGAGTGTAACAGACGGGCCAACTTATGAGCCCCGGAGAATGTTATCAGCTTAGCAGTATTAAGGGCTTTCTGTCGATCGCCCTTTGAGCCCATGGTATTTCCATTAGAAGTAGGAGAAATCGGCGCATACAACCAGATTTGATCACAAGAACGCAAGCAAGGCCAGCCACGTCTCTCACAAGCCAGGCAAACTTTATTAGGATCGCAACGCTTTTTCATCTGGCTACACCAGATACATGATCCACCAACTTCCTTCATAGCTTCCTTGTGCAGGCGTTCCTCTTCCTGTAACCTTTGCGAGTACTCTTCATTAAGATTGAGTCTCCGTAGCCGCGGATCTATTCCAATTGGCTTTTTGGATGGGTCTTCACAAACAAAAGTGTATTCGATGTTGGGATGCTGTTTAAGCGAGGCTGTAGGGCTGGGCTCGGGCCTCTTTCTAGGAGCCGTTGCCAATGGCATAAGATAGGCATGTTTCCGGTGGGGGTCCTGATATATGGTGTCCAAACTCTGAGCACTGGCTGTTGGTGGATCTCCTTGGGGTATTTGTAATCCAGAGACATGGTATGACGGGATACTGCTGACCGCGTTTATTGGGGCTTGCTGAGGAGCATGGGCGAAGACTGGGGCTGTATGACCCTGTAAGGGTGTTGTATTAAACGAGTGTCCAAAGTCCAGGGGAGGAATCGGTAAGGAGTTCGCGGATGGGGTGTTCGGCCTTTGCCAAGCATGAGCGAGTGTATTCTGTGGGATAACATTGCTTTCATAAACGCTGGCAAGCGTAGTATTTGCTAGATCGGTACCATACGCTGTGTGCGAATACGGATTTATTTCACAAAGTTCATTTTCGAAATCATAAATAATTGGCGAGAACATGGCACCTCCATGGCTTATAAGGTCCGCATTGGTTGGAAGGACTGGGTTAGTTTTCGGACTGGAAGGGTGATGCGCATCAGGCTGAGGCTTCAAAAACCCGAGTTATTGGGTCAGTAACTGTAGGTTCACAGGTTCGTAACTTGGTCTGGGTAACCATGGAATAGTACCTGAAACGAAGGGTATTCGGCATGGGCCGATGAAAAGAACGGAGTAGAGGAATGCTGCCGATCGAAGTGATTTCGTTGAGGGTGCTCCATTGCTCACAAGGTGATGACAAATGGACTGAGATATCGGTAGCTCCCGACAGCCTCGATCTCTGGATTTCTCGGTTTATAATGCCTGCTCGTACCGTCATCCTGCGCCGTAGAAAGGCCCAGATCGAAGGCACAAGACATGATAACAAGAAAGGGAAAAAAAAGAAGAAAGGGCAGAATTTAAGGCGTTCAGCGTCTTTGCTGCGAATCGAGCAGAATGCATCCCTGCCATGACGGTCGATCTGGTCGGCGGCGCATTCATCGTGCTGGTCCATTATTGGCGGCAGTTTGGCTCGCCCGACACGAATGAGGAATAGCAGCATGCGGCTTAGCCGAACGCGATTGGCTGAAAAGGGCGGTGGGGAGGGCGGTGGCAGAATCGCAAAGGTGAAGACGCCAAAACACGTGACTTCGTGGTGACGTCACGGGGACACAACGCGCAGCAGTCGTCATCGCTGGGAGACATGGGCGGCGGCGGTAGGTAGAATGCGCCCACTAGCTCTGTTTCGCGCAGTAAGTGTGCAGGTGATCAGGCTAGAGGCTTGAAGGTGTTGCATCCTCTGGCGTCCACAAGTGATACATCCCCACTTATGGCAAGGGGCGCTAAAAGCCTTCCCGTCAAGGTTAACTTTGGGTGCATCCGTGCGAATCACGGACAGCGGAGCTCACGTCACCTCACGTCACGCCGGAGAATAACAACGGCGATATCTCGGGTTTAAATTGACATCATCATAGATAGCCTTATTTGTCACGGTTCTGGGAGTTCAGGGTCAACACGAGTCCCAAGATCGCGGTCTTCAAGAAATTGACGGCCCTGCAATCTGTCCGGTAAATAGGTTTGGGCAACTTTTCCATCCACATAGTCTGGGTTGTACTTGTACTCTTGGCCATATCCCAGCTCTTTCATGAGTCTCGTGGGTGCGTTCCGTAAATGAATCGGAATAGGCAACCCAGCAACACCAGGTTCTTGAAGAGCCGCAAATGCGCTGCCCAATCCTCGATACGCTCTCGTGCTCTTTTGAGACAACGCCAAGGCAACTGTAACGTGGGCAAGGTTGATCCGAGCTTCTGGTAGGCCGATCTTTTCCACCGCCGTGTACGCCGCTGTGGCAAGAGGAAGCATTGAGTTGTCTGCAAGTCCAACGTCTTCCGAAGCAATGACAATCAGCCGCCGTGCAATGTAGAGTGGGTCCTCCCCGGATTGTATCATTCGCGCGAGGTAATATAGAGCGGCGTCAGGATCACTTCCCCGTATTGACTTGTGAAAAGCAGATATGGTGTCATAGTGTTGGTCCCCCGCCCGATCATAGACCAATGTACGGGTCAGTCCCTTTTTTAGCTCACTTTTGGTCATTCCCGGGCGTTTGGATAAATCCATCGCTAATTCTAGCAAATTGAGCGACGTCCGCGCATCACCGTCAGCAAATGCCGCCAGGTAGGCAACCAGCTCTTCATCCACCAGATCCGTGGGCGAATAGTTTGGGCCTTCAACCTCTCGTGCACGGTTAAGGATGGAGATGATGTCACTGTCGGTTAATTTTGAGAGAGTAAACGTGCGACATCGTGATAGTAACGCATTTTGAACCTTGAAAGATGGGTTCTCAGTCGTAGCCCCGATGAGGGTCACTTGACCGTTTTCCACAGGACCAAGGAATACATCCTGCTGCGACTTCGAGAAGCGATGGATCTCGTCACAGAAGATTATTGTTTTTCGGCCCGTCAAACCAAGCTCATTCCTCGCCTCTGCGAAAATCTTCTTGCACTCCGCCACACCTGAGCTGGTGCTGTTGATCTCCACAAAACGACTGCCCACCATGGTCGCTATCACTCGAGCGATAGTTGTCTTGCCTGTCCCTGTTCCGCCCCATAGTATCATGCTCGGCACCCGATCTGTCTCTATGAGACCGCGAAGCACTCCATTAGGCCCCACTAGTTCCTGCCCGCAGACTTCATCCAACGTTCGTGGCCTCATACGCTCCGCGAGCGGTGCCGCCTTCTCGAAAGCATTCGCTGGCTTTGGCTTCTTGATACGACGTTCGGAGCGATCGGCGGAAGGGACTGCAGATTCAGCATCGTCGCTATTGGAAGCTTGGGTGGCTCCCCGCTCTTCAATGGGAAGGTTTCTCTTCGCGCCCTGAAAGGGTTGACCGGGGGTTCCGCTAGCGACCGCTTTTGGTATCGATTTCAAGCTTGATTTCTTTGCCAGAGGTTGGAAGAAATCAGAGAATGGGGCCGTATTCTGGGAGGACGATTCACTCCCGTCCACCACTTCGATGAAATCCTTGCAATTTGAGTCAATGTGGTCGTTGATTTTGGTTTGCCTCACTGGTCTGCCACAGATAGGGCACTCAAATGACATAGTGGCTGCCGGTGTTAGAGCTCGGGGACTAACAGGACCATGTCTGAGCTCCCAAACTGATGTTATTGTAACGCTTTCCCTCTGTCCAACTCCCCGTGAGTCTAGCAGATGAGGTTGATTCACAGCAGAAGCTATGAAAGCTTAAGACAAACGCGAGCAAACGCGTCGGCTGCAGCCGTACAGCCAGCCAATCGGAGGGCGGCCTTGTGGGGCTCTTTCGGCATCGGCATCTCATGACAAACCACTCCTCAGGTGCTGTTGCGACGAAAAGGACCCTGGGTCTGGGAAGCTGTGTTTATCGCTGTGAATCTTGGTCTATTCTCGTTTCCGATGCGCATCTCTCAGAGACTGCTATCTTCTCCTCCACAGAGTGTATTTTCGGCTTTGAGGTTGCCAATATCAGTTCGCAAATCTCCGTCGATTCCAGCCAGTCTTCAGGTCGCCAGGAATATGTCGTCCACCCCAGCGCAATGCGATCCGTTTCGCCCTGCGAAAAGGGTTGCTGGTCAGCGACAAGATGTTTGGTAAATTCATGCCAAAAATCTTCTTAGCATGATAGACTCCTGATATGGTTGTGCCAAAAAGGTCTCTTGCTCGGGAAGCGGCCACGGCCTCCCCGATCCAACCCATCGTGAACATGGGGCAAGGCTTCTTGTGGGTTTCAACCGCTGCTTGTACAGTTTTGAGAGCACTAACCGAATGGCCAGCGGATATAATCCTCCCAACTTTATCCTTGACGCCGCAAAGGAGGAGCTGGACAAAGTGGTGTCAAACCAGTATGCGCCAACCAAAGTAAGAGCTGCGACATTACCACTCCGCACATCTATGGGATGCTAAGACCATACTAGGGTAATCCGCGACTAAAAAATGCAATTGCTGCAGCGTATTCTCCGTTCTTTGGGAAGCAAATCGACCCTGAAGCTGAAGTAGTGATTACCAGCGGGGCAAACGAAGGTAGCACTACTATCCCGCAAGGGAGAAGGATAACATAGCTCATTTGACCTTGTAGGAATGCTCAGCGCCTTTATGGGATTCGTGGAGGCAGGCGACGAGGTTATCATTTTTGAGCCATTTTTCGACCAGTCAGTGCTACTTTTACTTGTGATAATCATTTCATGTGGCTGACCTTTTTCAAGGTATATCAGTAATATCGAGATGCCTGGGGGTACCATTCGATACGTCCCTTTGCACCCACCAAAAGACGGCGCAAAAAGAAAGACCAAGGCATCCGAGTGGTCCATTGACTTTGACGAGCTGGAAAAGACCTTTAACGAAAAAACAAGAATGATTGTAGGTTCCTTCCGGGCTCTATATATTTGTTCAACGGCAGCTAATAGGGACTTTTATCCTAGGTTTTGAATACACCGTAAGACCCAACAGCTGTCCCAGACGCTCCAGATATACTGACATTAGACGACAAGCCATAACCCCGTGGGCAAGGTTTTATCTCGGGAAGAATTAGAGCGAATTGCAGATCTTTGCATAAAGTACAACACGATCATAGTCTCCGACGAAGTGTACGACCGTCTCTACTATGTGCCGTTTACCCGTATCGCAACCCTATCCCCCAAGGTTGCAGAGCGGACTCTTACGGTGGGTTCCGTGGGTAAAAATTTCTATGCAACAGGTTGGCGTGTGGGTTACCTTATTGGGCCCGAGCATCTCATCAAATACGCTGCTGCTGCGCACACTCGAATCTGCTATTCTAGTGTCGCTCCCCTTCAAGCAGCGGCTGCAATTGGGTTTGAGCAGGCAGATAAACTTGGCTTCTGGGACCAGAGCAGGCAGGAAATGCGCGGGAAAATAGAAAGGTTCTGTGAGGTCTTTGACGAACTAGACATTCCGGTAAGAGGGCCTGAGCTATATTTGTTTCCGTGCGGCTAATAAAACCGTCTGGTAGTACACTGATCCAGATGGTGGATACTTCGTCCTTGTAAACATGGCTTCGGTAAAGATCCCGGAAGACTATCCATTCCCGGAGTATATTGCCAGTCGTCCTCGCGACTTCAAACTGTTCTGGTTCTTAGCGATGGAGGTCGGCGTCGGAACCATCCCACCCACAGAGTTTTACACAGACACCAACGCCCATATTGGAGAGGATTGGATTCGGTTTTCGATTTGCAAGCCAGATGGGGATTTGGAAGAGGCCAAAAAGCGATTGCGAGGGCTGCAAAAGTATATCGTCCGGTAGAAGCTCCGTTTGCTTCACGGCGAACAGCAGACAGATTGGGATACAAGTCAGTAGCCCGTAGTCTTCAGACGTAGTCTAACGTGTACGACCTCTGGCTATCGAGAGTGTATTGGCCTCATCTTTGCTTCTGATAAAACTTTTGGCTTGACGGCAATTCTCAAAAGGTTTGATACGAAGATGCCGCTAAACCCTTTTGAGCCGGCTTGTTTCTGCCCTTCGAAAATCTGCGGGAAAAGGCGTGACGACCTGGAACAACCAGCTTCAGATACATATTCAGATGAATATCTGACTGTGTTGTGCCTGATTGTGAGAGGCACGGGTTACCTGAGTTTCCTTTGACTGAAGTAGTCTGCATTGAGCTTCCCCGTCAGCGTGCAATTCTTTCATGAATGTTTCATGGCCACACGCATCCAAACCTGCATTCTCCCTCGTTGCCCAGACTTTGTATTTTTATCTTGACCCAGCGGAACTCCCCCCAGTCCCTAAGGAAGCTGGACCATGGCCGACCAGCAGAACATATCCCAGATCCTGGCAGCTCTAGGTGAGTGCACGCGCGACACAGATATCGCATCTTGCTGCCATCGCCGGTACTAACTCCCTCTTGTTTGCAATAGCGGCCGCCCAGCCTGGCGCTTTAGCTGCAGGCTCGTTTGCGGGTTCAATTCCCTCCTCAACTCCGCATATGAACCAAACTAGCTACTCCCTCCCGCCTCCTGATAACACGGGAAGTGTCGATATTAGCGGTGTTCAGCCGGTTAATACCGGGTCTGTGAGCATCGCGGACGCGATTGCCAAAGCCCGTGGTATCGCGGCAGACAAGGGCATTGCTTACGGTTAGCTACCTACATATCCGCTTCTTAACAATGGAGATTAATTTAATTTATCTCTACTTTTTTAGACCAACGAAGCGCAGATCCACGACGGGACTCGCGATCGTACCATCGCTCGCGCTCACCGTCCAGAACACCGCCTCGGGTAGCGCGTGATGTTTTTAGAGACAATTATAATCCTTATCGCGATGAACGCCGTGGAGATAGACGTGGGAATGACCGTTCCTACGTAAGAGACCGATCCTTTTCGCCTCGTCCTGCCGGCCGAGGAGCGGAAGCGTACGGTTCTCAGCCCGGCAGACCTCCACGAGGTGCAGGCGAACGATCACCACCGGGAAGAAGAGGAACGGGGATCGACGATGTCTCAGAAACTATAAACATAGATTCAAAGCTTGTGGGACTGATTATTGGTAGGCAAGGGGATAACCTACGAAGGATCGAGTCGGATACCGGGACTCGGATACAATTTCTCGATAGCCCTGAGTCTAATATCAACATTAGACCATGCAGAATCACAGGACCCAGAGCCGCGCGAAATGATGCGAAGGCGGAAATCTTTCGTATGATTAGCGAAAATAATGCTGCAAGAGGTGCAAACGCAATCAGTGCCGGCGATCGCTTTGCGTCTCGCGTGCAGCATGAACCACCTAGCAGACCATCTGGCTATGGAGAGGAAGAGAATTCGACAACCCAAATGATGGTCCCTGATCGGACTGTAGGCCTGATCATCGGGCGTGGAGGTGAAACAATAAAGGACCTTCAAGACCGCAGTGGATGTCATGTGATTATTGCGCCTGAGGATAAAAGCCTCAATGGCCTTCGACCCGTTAATCTGAGCGGACCAGCGAGAGCTATCCAACGCGCGAAAGATCTAATTCTGGAAGTTGTAGAGACCGACTCACGCCAGGGCAATGCTCCACCACCGCGCGAACCACGAGGATATGCGCCAGAGAGAGATACAGGGGGCCCACTGCCTGAACGAGGCGACGATAGCATCTTCATCCCCAAAGAAGCAGTGGGGATGATTATTGGGAAAGGTATGGCCTAGCTCAACTCGTTGGATTAATTCTCTTGAGGCTGATGTAGATTCCATCAGGTGGCGACACTATAAAGGAAATGCAAACCGCAACTGGATGCAAGGTGAATATCTTGCCAGCAGTTGGCCGCGATACCGACAGGGAAGTTGTGATGATAGGATCGAGACAGTCAATTGACCAGATGAAAAGGAACATTTTGGAGAAGGTGGAAGCTTTTGTAAGTCTAGCGTGGCCGCCTTGAATTCCGTTCTCCGGCCCAACTGACTTGGATGGATTTTTAGAAATCGCGGAGCCAAACGAGACGTGACGATGGATACAGCGACCGACCCTCCCAAACACAATTTCGGAATTATCCCCAAGACCAGCAAAACAAGCCGTCACAACCACCACAGGGTCCAGTTTCAGCCGGAGGAGGTGGTGGTGGAGGCGGAGGAGGTGGTGATAGCGCTGATCCGTATGCAATGTACGGCGGTTATGAGAATTATGTGGCGATGTGGTATGCTGCCATGGCCCAGCAACAACAGCAACAGTCGCCTACCGCGGATTCCAAACCGCCAGGAGCCCTCTAAAACCGGTACTATGAATACCGTCTTCGTCTTGTCTTTTCTTGTTGATTTATTCATTGCTCACTCGCGGCACGCACGACGCATTAATAAAAGTCCAACTTCCAAATAATGCTCCAGGCGACTAATTGGAATCGATTCCAAACGGAACCCCAGTTTTATTATTTAACCTGCGTGGATTTTCTCCTTTTCATTACTCTTCAATTCCCAATCGGTACGGTTGAGCTCGCCGGCGTTGAACGGTCCATTTGATTCTGTGCGGAGTTCATAGGCGGATTGCAGAGAGGAGCAGTATTTTCTATTGCGTTTGTCGGTTTCCACAGTGTCTTTGGAACGCTGGAATGAGCCAGACGGACAAAGAGGAATATTTCAGAGACCGAGTCTTTTGATTCCCTTTTGACCTTTGGCCCCGAGTTGTTTTTCTGAAATTGCATGTTGATTGAATGTATGATGGATTGAAATGTGATGATTACCCAGTTTGCATGAGCGAGAATCTTCGACGTTCTAGCGACGAGTAGAAACAGTGTAATGTGGTTCTTTGGCAGCATGATGAATCTCCAAGAGATCCTAGCGCATAGGAGGAATCATTGTTCCCGGCCTGATTGAACTGTAACCTGCTGTCAGTCTGCGCTTATATAGTTGTAACTCCATCCTATAGATCATAACTATGTTGCCGAGTTACGCCGCCGCGCCAGCCTGACAGCGACGGTCTTCGCGTTGCGTCCGCAACATCTCGCACATCCAGCACTCGACATCAACGGCATGTTGCCGCCATGAGGCCGTTTAACGGTTTGGTGACGAGTTCCAATGCTTTATTTTTACTCGGGAAGAGCAGAATCATCTCTTTGACAGCTGACTCTCAAAACGTATCTGGTCTGGCCAGCGCGTCCCAAGAGACCTTGTTTTGCTACACCTCTGGCCGCTGGCTGTACAATGAACAGCGCCAGCTCGACCTTCGCTATGTCAGATTTGATGTTGAAGGCCTTTGCAAGACGGCGGGTGATGTATTAGGCGCCCCGTGCACTCAGATAACGAAGCTACGCGGGGGGCTCTACAATAAAGTCTTCTCCCTGAAGACGGACGCAGGCGAGGAACTGCTTGCCAGGATCCCAAACCCAAATGCTGGATCCTCGCGAGTAGTCATCGCTAGCGAAGTTGCCACTCTCGATTTTGTATGTTTTTTTTACTTTTTGCCTTGTGATATCCTGCTCTGCTAAGATGGGCAACATTTTAGCTTCGCAATGGTCTTGATATTCCTGTACCTGAGGTGGTGGCATGGAGCTCGCCATCGCAGCATCCTAACCTTGTGGGTGCTGAGTACATACTCATGAAGAGGATGCCCGGTCAACAACTCAGTGATGTTTGGGATGGCATGACCCAAGCCCAGCGTTTCGAATTAGTGAGGAGCCTGGTAGCCATCGAAGCAAAATTAGTTGCAGCAAAGATGTCAGGGTACGGAAGCCTCTATTATAGAGAAACCTACCCTGATGGCATATCTCTGGATGGCATGCTGCCTTCTTCATGGTCTACAGCAAAGAGCTTCGTTCTAGGCCCTTCAACTGACAGACGGTTTTGGGTGGATGGGCGAGGGGCATTAGATCTGGATCGCGGGCCATGTACGTCTCCCACCCGCTTGATAACAAAATAGCTAACTTGAATGTAGGGGCGTCTGCAGCGGAGTACTTTTCCGCAGTTGCGAAACGTGAGATAGAGTGCATTCGAACCTCTGCGATAAATGAGCCCAGTCTCATGGACTTTGGACGGAAGGCCACAGCACGCGAAGCTCATATCCACCTCCTCAACCAGTTCCTCATCGTCTTACCCCACATTCTACCACACCTACCTTTCTGCTGCCCTGTTCTGCTGCATCAAGATCTCCATCTAGATAACATCTTTGTCGACAGCACCGACCCGACCAAGATATCAGGCATAATTGACTGGCAGTCAACCACCTCTGCTCCACTCTTCATGCAAGCAAGATTCCCCTCCGTGTTTGATTGTGACGATCCGTACCCCTGGGGCGCGGTCCTCCCAGAACTGCCGGACGATTTCGACAGCCTGTCTAAGAATGCAAAAATAAAAGCACGAGAACAGCTTGAAAGGGTCCGCCTCAAGAAGTTTTATGAGATGGCGGCGCGGAAGTTCAACCCGGCCATCCCTCGCGCAATGGAGGCATTGCTCAATAAAAACGATGATGATCCAGTCTCATACATCTTCCCACTGCTAGAACAGACAGCAGTTGATGGCCCGTTGCCACTGCAGGAGCTGCTTATTGAGATCTTTGAAAGGTGGGATGAGATTTGCAAGAGGCATGGTTCCAGATCTGGGTTCCCATGTCCGATCAGCTATTCACAAGCGGAGATTTCGAGATTCCGGGAGCTAGTCCAGGAATATGCAGTGGCTCTTTGCGAGTTTACTGGCTATTTGGCGCAGGTGGGAGGAGGGAGGGATGGGTGGGTGTCAAATGGGGAGTTTGAAAACGCCATGCGCGTGTTTGACGAGCATAGGGACGAGCTGGAGAGGCTTCGGAGGAGGGTTGACGATATACTGTTTGTTCTTTGACAAAAATACCTGTTGCACCTTAGTTTGGTAAGGCGGGGCTATCTTATGTACTTTGCCTTGCCATAAATGAATAATAAATGTAGAATGTCACTGCCTTCCCCCTACTAATTAGCTCACCAACCTCAGGTTCCTCACCTCGCAAAATAGTTGTGCCGAAGCGCTCTGCCAAGACCGGGGAAGGCCGATTGCGCACTGTGATTGGCTGGGAGCGTGTTTCATCTTCTGCAGCGTCGATTCTTCACGACAATCCATGTTTCTTGCGACGACGACGACACTGAAACATGCTGGCGGTTAGAAGACTGCTGTTGTCTGTTCAACCAAGGACCCCAGAATAGACACATCGGATCTGAAGGCATCGGTTGCTGTGTCCCTG